TTCGAACTCTGGTGGTATAGGAGCTCACCACGAAGCTTTGCCTGGTGGCCAACGATACTTCCACTCTCGTCGAGTACGCAAGGGCGAGGTAGAAAAGCCATGGGCAGAGAAGAAAGACCCCAAGGAGAAGTGGGTGACGATTATTCCTCTGGTCGGCATCTTCATCGGCTTGGCCATCTCTGGGTTCCTGATATGGGATGGGATCAGGTCCGTGGTGAAGCACAAGTACTGTTTGGTGCTGGATGAGGATTGGAGTCAAGGAATTAGGGACAGTGTGTGGCAGCACGAGGTACAATTGGGTGGTTTTGGGTATGTTTTTTCCTTCTTTTTTTCCTCTTCATCTGTGTACATTTGCTAACATCAGGGGCAAAACAGCAACGGCGAATTCCAACAAACCACCAAAGACAACGCCTACATCGAAGAAGGAAAGCTTGTCATCAAAGCCACCCTCCAAGACGACAAGCTCCTCCTCTCCGACTCCAAAGTCGACCTCCTCGCCTCGGGCGACTGCACCTCCACCGTTTACCGAGACTGTGTAGCAGCCACCAACACCACTGTCGGCAACAGTTCCATCGTGCCTCCCGTCCTCTCGGCCCGCCTCAACACCCGCCTCGGCGCCTCCATCAAATACGGCCGTGTTGAAGTCACCGCCCGCCTGCCCGAAGGAGACTGGCTATGGCCCGCCATCTGGATGATGCCCGTTAACAGCACCTACGGCCAGTGGCCTCAATCCGGTGAGATTGATCTGGCCGAGTCCCGCGGCAACAACTACACGTACCCACAAGGCGGCAACGACATCATCTCCTCCACGCTGCACTGGGGTCCTTCTTCCCTTTCAGACGCCTTTTGGCGCACCAACGTCAAGCGCCAGGCCCTGCACACCACGTTCGCCAACAAGTTCCACACTTTCGGTCTCGAGTGGTCCGAGAAGTACCTATTCACCTACGTCGACTCGCGCCTGCTGCAAGTCCTCTACGTGAACTTCAACAAACCCCTCTGGCAACGGGGTAACTTCCCGCAGGTAGACGAGAACGGCACTCGCACCACTGACCCCTGGGGATACACGGGCCGCCTGAACACGCCGTTTGATCAAAAGTTCTATTTGATCTTGAATGTCGCGGTGGGAGGAACGAATGGGTGGTTCCAGGACCAGTCGAATGGCAAGCCGTGGGTGGATGCGAGTCCGAATGCCAAAAAGGACTTTTGGCTGGCTAAGGATCAGTGGTTCCCCACGTGGAAGAGCCCGCAGATGGAGGTGGAGAAGGTGGTTATGTGGCAGCAGTGTGATGGGCATGAGGAGCTGTAGGCCTTGTTTCTTTTCTTTTCCTTTTTGTTTTTGGGTCAGGGTGTCAGGGACATGGGATCGGATGGGAGTATGATTATAAGCATGGAGAGATTGGATAATACAATGATGACAGCTAGAGGTACTTAGACTAGTGTTGGACCTAATTGTTATCTCGGTTAATCTTGGTTATGTGTGTCTGTCTCTTACATGATGGTCATAACAATATATACTAGAGCTAACGTTCGTTACATGAGATACTTTGGGAGAAGAAATCCTGCAGTATGTTTTCTATGAATTTTGGAATCGCAAAACACAAAGGTTGAAGCCGAATCACAGTAGGTGGAGATAGCAGGGTGGTGAAAGTGGAAGGATTCCACTTGCCAGCGACAGAGCCCCGCGATGATCTCCCGCTGTGGATGCTGTCGTGGTCCGCTGCATTTCAGGGTCCGATCCACTAAGTTCCAGGACCGGTTCCACTAGGTTTTAGAAATGGTCGGGGTCGAGGGGGTGTGTGGACTGAACCCCAGGCAGCGATCGATGGCGGGGCAGAGGCCGGGGGGACACGGGCAACCTTGGACTTGCCCTTGAATTTCAAAATATGGATTCAATGTGTAGAATGTGCAAAGAGTTTGCATGTTTGTCAGTCTTTAATGTGTGTAGTATCATTGTCATTATTCGAATTACTTATGTGATGACATGATTTGGACGATAACATTGAGGTATACAAATACCTAACTACCTACATATATACAAGAGGCTCAGGCTGATGGAGAGGTAGTGTGGTCGTCGATCCCGTCCATGTCGGTGGACATACCCCAACCCAAAATAAGGAACGGGGCACCGGGCGGTGATCTCAACACCGGGGCCGATGTGTGGGGCTATCCGGACTCCCGGCCTTTTAGGCATCCGTCCCGAGAGTTTGCCGGTAACTCGCCGGATCGGAGACAACGAGATTAACTTGCGCGGTCCGTCCGCCCAGTCCTCGACTACCTACGGTTTTTGCAAAATCTCCTCACTCCAATCCTGTGTCACCAACTACTACGGCTCGCGACAGCCCCCGGTATTTTCCGTTGCAATGTCAACCAGTCATATCGCCGATGAAGTGCACGACCGCTGAAGATGAATACGAGGAAAGACCTACACATATGGGCCTTGCAGAGTGCCAAAAATAGGTGGGCGGTATTCACCTTGGCGTTTGCATTTCTTGTTAGCAAATCCCGGAAGGAATTGACCAGTGAAACACAAATGGTCTGGATAAATCGGCTCGAGAGTGGCTTGAAATGCCAAGTTTGGTGCCTGGCAGTGAAGCAATAGATACTGTGTAAGCCGCATATAAAAGGGCGGGCAAAGAGTTGGTAATTGGTGCGTTGGCAGCGCTCGTAGCCAACGGTAATTGAAGGGATAAAGAGGCTTTCCGATCTGGCGGTCGTTTCCTTGATTTTGAAATGTTGGTGATGAGAATGGAACGCTTCAACACTCCTGTTGAGGAATGGAAAAGATGGTGTGGTCTCCCTCGGGCCGTCTTGGGACCTCGCATTGTACATTGGATTGTTCCCTTGGTGATTTGACCAACAGCACCGTACGCTGAAAAGCTTATCTCCAGGGATAAGACAAACCATCCAGTAGGCAGCGAATGAGACGCAAACGAAAAAGTCAAGACAGAAAGATGGTTGATGTGGGTGATGCTGACAAGCGGTTCCGAATTGCCGTGAGCTGTCAGACTTGTCACTGCCGTGGTGCCGTGTGCTTGCTTTCGGGACTGGAGAACGCTCGAACTGCATATGGATACGATATCTCTTGGAGCATAAGGGCGGTTGTTAAGATGACAACGCATCGTGCCTCTGCTGAAAGCCTTATCATCTGTCTCTCGGAAGAGGCCCGGATCTCCGACCTAGATGGCTCCACGAGAGTGAGACAACACGCTCTTTTTAGATGCCCGAAGAGCTTCCAGAACAGGGACAGACATGGTGGTCAGCCAGCCTTTGCACAAAGCCATTGTTTCCTGAAGCGCTGTCAGTACTTAATCTTGTATCGAAGGAAGGCAGCTTATCTTTCAGTGTGTCATGAGTGGTTACAAAAGGGCGGGACTCAGCTATTGTTCGATAGTGACGTGCCAAGACTTATGCTTCTTTACCTGCATGCGAGGGACACTGTGTAAATAGAAAGTGTGTAGAAAATGCAAACTATCGCCTGTGATATTGGAGTGAACTGTGCTTAATGGAGATTTGCGGTGAATGGAGATTGTTGACGGAATGTTCTCCTTGGTAATGAGATGGCGCAAAACTGTGAAATTGTGGCGTGAGCGCCAGCCGAAAAAGAGTAAGAAAAAGGAAAGAACAAAGACGGACCAGCAAAAGTGGCGGATAGTAATTTCTGGACCCCCCCTCCCCGCGCGTACCTGAACGCCAAGCCAAGCCGGGTGTGGCAGGTGGGGGGTCAGATTCAACATGGGACAAGCAGTGGAGCAGGAGTGACCGGGCCGTTCCTTTGGGTCTCAGTCCTCTCCTCCTCCAGCCCTCTTCCTCCACTTTTCACGTCTGTTCCTCGTTCAGCATTTTCGAGCAACGTGAGCAGCACCAATGTCAAGTGGAATCAGAGGCATAGCGTGGGATCGAGACGACATTCGTCAAGCGCTTCAATTCCCGACACGTGAAGAAGGAAGAGACAAGCTCAGCCCCCCAGCCAAAAATTGAATCAATACTAGCCGCCATTGCTACACAGTGGACATTATACTATGGTATGGTATCCCCCAAGAGGGCAATATGGCCGATGTTCTGCCCATTTTCCATCTGTTTTCTTGTCATTAACTGCTCTTACTGACACCTCCCCTGTCTTCCTCCAGAACGGTGGACCATGTACCTCTATACGACCCTCGCCACAAATCCCTAGTAGGGACTCCGTTTCCTCCAGTCCAACAAGAAACGGATCACATGAACCGTGCCATTGGCATTAGTCAATCACACACTCTTTTGGCTGCTTGAACTTCTCAGGGAGTCTGTGTCAGAGGCCTGACCTGGCAGCCTTTCCCTGTTTAACCCTTCCAGACCATGTGTTGTTAGCGAGGATCCCGGAATGTTTGCCGTGTCAACAGGGGGGCCAATGGTAACATGGGCGAAATAGGTACCTCCTCGCGATGTACCGTTGCACACATATTGCTGGCAGTGGATAGGTTACTGAGATACCACCACATCTGGCCATCGTCGATATACATACCTCAAAACGGTTGTTTGCTCCTGTAACGCTAGGTATTCGACCAGACTCGGGTAAAGTTCCAAGGGGGTCCCTCATGTCCCCTCCAAGGTACCTCTATGGGCCTTTACACTTTTCTTTTCAACGAGGGGTGGGGGCTCCTTGCCCTCGACATCCAGCCCGAACTGTCGTGTTCTGTTCAGTCCAGGTCAGCTTTTCTTATCACAAAGTTCAGCTTCCTTTGCCAACATGAAAGCCTAGCCCCTCGCCTGTTACAGAACCTTTTATCCAGTCGAGGAAAACCCGGTCAATCTTTTCTGACCCGGTATCCCCTCTTACTTTGGCACATTCCCACACTCGCTTGACCCTGATTAGACTTCCGACATAACATAGGCAGACCGGCACAGAGGAGCAAGTCCCTTGATACCCAAGTAACACAGCAGAGCCACACGGCACCAGGTTTTATCCGACATCACCTTACACAACTGTCTCGCGGTGTTGGATGCAGATCGCCTCAAGGCAAAGAAAACACACCCTGTATGCCGACCCCCGTCACATTTTCTAGGAATTCCGGGGAGGTGTCTTTGAGAACCATGGGCTGACAGATTCATCCACCACAGGCACAAGGCCAACTCCATCTACTTCATCCTTGACATCTGCCACGGATTTCGGTCAACCTGTCTGATCGTTGCTCCCTTATCCCATCTCCCCTCAGTCACTCACTCTCCGGAAGTTTATCGACTGGAAAAGGTGAAGGTTGGATTTCCGTCGCCACCATGGGGATAGGGAGCTATTTCAAGGCCAAGAAGCCGGAGCCGGCAGGCCAACAACATGCTGCCTCAACACCATCGAGAGGTCGTCAACCTTCCACTGGGAACACACAAGCCGGTCAGGACGATGGCGACATACTCGCCCCTCCGCAGATCCGCTATGGGTCTAGATCTCGCTCGGCAACGCGCTCTATGATGTCGTCAACCAGCTCCGTGATCCTAGAAGATATCAAGCATGAGGTCATGGTCAACTATCTCTACCAGCAACAATGCTCGTACCTATGGGTAGCAAATGGCAGTGGCGAGATCGAGGGTGTGCTTCTTCGAAAATCCAGAGGCCAGTACATGGCCTGCCCGCCGGCCTTGGGGAACTCGCCCTTCGCCATGGCGTGTGCTGCTCTCAATGTTCAGGTATGATTTCCACGGCAGAGTTGGGTTGTTCCGAGCTAATAGCAAGATTACAGTGTGCAATGACTGTCAACTCACGAGTCATCAAGACCTTCCTCCAATGGTCGCCAGATGCTGTCGATGTCCCGCTTCTGAACGGCCTGCGAGTCCAAATTCTGCCCACCATCGAAGACCTTCCTCGTGCCAGGAAACACCAGTTTGCCGCCTTTATCGCGTCCGAGGGGTTGCTGGTGGTTTGGGATGACGACGCACTCCATCTGATCCCGAGAGCCAAGGAAATTGAGTCCGAGCTTATGCAGCTCGTGTGGAAGACTGGTGAGCCTGGTGAGATGGATGAGAAGGCCAATCCCATTGTGGGCGCTACCGAGATTGACGAGGAAAGCGGCGAGCCGAGGCCCGAAGCACGACCGGTCCACCTGCTCAACACCTACCTCGTCAGTATCACGATGGCGGTCGTCACAGTGTCTTTGGGAGCAGCCTGGAGGCAGTTGGCGATCGAGGTCATGGTCGACGGCGATTACGTCCGTTTGGCTCTCGTTGCGCTGGCGCCCGTACAAATCTTCTTCACTCTCTTCTTCGCTCAGGTCATTATCGGTTGTCTGGCCCAGATCTTTGGACCCATCAAGCAGCTCTCGGTCAACTCCAGGTTCTACTCGGCCAAGCCACCACCGAGATTGCAGACAGCCGTCCTTCCCCATGTTACAGTTCAGTGTCCCGTGTACAAGGAGGGCCTCAGTGGTGTCATTGCCCCTACGGTCAAATCCATCAAGCATGCCATGTCCACTTATGAGCTTCAGGGAGGTTCAGCCAACATGTTCATCAACGACGACGGTCTGCAGTTGCTTTCGGAAGAAGATCGTCAAGCCCGTATTGACTTTTACGCAGACCACAGCATTGGCTGGGTTGCACGCCCGCGACACGGCGAGAATGGTTTCCAGCGTCGCGGAAAGTTCAAGAAGGCGTCCAACATGAATTATGCCCTCATGATCTCCTGCAAGGTGGAAGAAAAGCTCGCCCAAGTTTCCAGACACTCCGAGTGGTCTCAGCATGACGAAGCCCAAGCGTATGAAAGGGCGCTAAAGGACGTTCTCGAGGAAAACGGTCGGGCATGGGCCGACGGTAACATCCGCATGGGCGATTATATCCTCCTCATTGACTCCGACACCCGTGTTCCTTCCGACTGCCTTCTGGACGCCGTCTCCGAAATGGAACAGTCCCCTGACGTTGGTATCATGCAGTTCTCGTCTGGTGTCATGCAAGTGGTGCATACCTACTTCGAAAACGGCATCACCTTCTTCACTAACCTCATCTACACGGCCATTCGTTACACCGTCTCCAACGGCGACGTTGCCCCCTTTGTTGGTCACAATGCCATTCTACGCTGGTCCGCCATCCAGCAAGTCTCGTACGAAGACGAAGACGGCTACGAGAAGTTCTGGTCCGAAAGTCACGTGTCCGAAGATTTCGACATGTCTTTGCGCTTGCAATGCAACGATTACATCATCCGTTTGGCCGCCTGGGCTGGTGATGGCTTCAAGGAGGGTGTCTCGCTTACCGTGTACGACGAACTGGCTCGCTGGGAAAAGTACGCCTATGGCTGCAACGAGCTGCTCTTCTACCCCATCAGGAAGTGGATCTGGAAGGGCCCCTTCACCCCCCTCTTCCGCCGGTTTCTGTTCTCCAACATCCGCTTCACTTCCAAGATCACCATCATCTCCTACATCGGCACCTACTATGCCATTGGCGCTGCGTGGATTTTGACGTCCGTCAACTACTTCCTCATGGGCTGGTACAATGGGTTCCTGGACAAGTACTACGTCGACTCGTGGCAGGTGTGGTTCTCCATCATTCTCGTCTTCAACGGCCTGGGCAATGTCGCATTGGCCGTGATGAGATACAGAGTCGGGGAGAGGAGCATTCTGGGGTCGATCCTTGAGAACTTCAAGTGGACGCTCATGTTGGCCATTTTCCTCGGTGGGCTGTCGCTGCATGTGTCTCAGGCGCTATTGGCGCACATGTTTGAAATTGACATGACGTGGGGTGCGACGAGTAAGGAGGCCGAATTTTCAAATTTCTTTATTGAGGTGCCGAAGGTGTTGAAAAAGGTAAGCCTCCCCTTCATACAGTCATCTTGTAAGTGATTGTTTGCTGACAGACTTGTCCAACAGTTCAAATTCTCCATGCTCTTCTCCATCGGATTCATCATCGGCATGGTCATCCTCGCCACGGCGCCCTTTATTCCTCACTCGTGGCACATTACCGATTTCGTGGCCATCTTGCCTATGGCAACGGTCGCGGCCAGCCATCTGTTGTTGCCGCTGGCGTTGAACCCGGCTTTGATGACTTTCTCGTGGTGAGGTCGGTTGCAATGGGAGTGGAGGCAAATGAAGGGAAACGTAAAGGAAGAACACACATTTCTGGAAAGAATTCTATGGAAGTAATAAGATCCGGTATACTACTAGAATGGGGATATATCACTTGGAACGGGGGTTGGTGATGGATCTAATGGATCTAATGTGTTTTTTTTTGGGTACATCTAACTGTGGATAATGTCACGAGGGAAAATACCAAATGAACGGGAACAAAGATAAGTACATATGAAGAGCTTCTAAATCACTTTGGCTAGGTAGGATGTGGCGGAATATGGTACATGAATGCTAGAAGAATTGGAACCTACACCAGGGCAGTAATACACATAGCACATCAAGATGCGCTTGTACACTTCTACTTCCCACAACCCAATAAGATCTCGTATCCGTTCAACCTTGGCGATTGTGGCTACTTGGCGTTTTATGGCCTGATGGAAATCACCAATGTCGCCAGTGGACGACTGGCCCTGCATCCGAGCTAGATCCAAAAGAGGCGCTTTTTGGGTGGCTTTGTTATGGTTAGAGGTATGGGCGCCTGTCGTACAACAGCGATAGGTAATTCGTGCAGTAGTGTATCGTATGCCGTCCGCATGGTGTCGTTCGGAATAAGGCTGAGGTGGGTCCAGGGGGAATGGCAACAATCCTGAGTGCCCTGCTCTGGCGGTAGCGGTCTGGAGCGGAATGAATGGGTGGGTTGATAGAGTAGGTGGAGATTCATAGGTGAGATTACCCCTGATTATGTGAATGGGTCGTTGCTGGAGTTGTTATGAAAGCGGTGGTGATGGTGGTAGTGTGAAGATGTAAATCTGCCAAGGGTGACAATTGCCAGTATCTCTACCTACTACTGTGTCGGAGTCAACTACCAAGTCCCATGGTACTGTACAAGTGGAGATAGATAAATATTTTCCTGCCTTGCTTCATTCTTGCGCCCTTCTTTTATCGAGACTCAACAAGTTTCCGATGCCGGACTAGCAACAAACACATGCATTTACCGGACCTCCGGCTGCATTTCGCACATCCCCAAAAGCACATGCCCTTTACTTGGATTCTTGGTCTTTTCATGATCTAACTTGGCCACCTCACCTACTGCTTCCAACTTTCTGCTTTGGGCATACATTGATTGTACGTCGGGCAGGTACATAGAAAGCGCCGAAAACGTGGCAGGAACATTGGAATCCAGATTTCGGACGCGCATACCTGTACTTACCGTACATTGCACCCAAGAACTGGTAAATGCTCAAAGCAGGTGTCGGATATAGAGTTCATGTATCATCAAACCTGTTGAGAAAATCAAGTCACCAAGAGTTCTCATACTTTCAGGAATACCACAACGCACGTCGGTTGGCACCCTGATATTTCCATGGCGTTTGGCTTGGTGAGCTGTGACTTACAAGGCTGAAAGTGGGTCCATGTCCAGGATCATAGGCCTCAGCCGAATGTCACTATCTACGGGACTACAGCATCGTCAATTAAGGATTTACCATTGCTGTCACTTTAGTTGTTTTACAACACATCTTACGGGAGTCGGGAGAACTGTGTTTGTGCTACATTCCGTTATTCCGTGTATCTATCGGTACAGTAGGTAGTTGCTTCCAATCCCAGAAATGTGGGTATCTCCAACGACATGCAAGCGTCAGGTACCAACTGGCCCTGTTTGCATTTTCCAAGCATGTTCCGTTCCTTCCAGGCGTGTTCCCGTCCCCCACCATTTTGTGTGTTCAACCACCAAAGCAGATTTCTCGATTTGACGAGAGCCAACTACCCCTGGTTTCCTCAACCTCCGAATCGGCGACCAAATCTTCCACGTCTCCGTTGGTCCTAGAAGAACCGTTGGTGGTCTAGAACACCAAGGACACCTGCCACGCCGCAACCTGTCGACAGCACTATAGCGGCCTTCCACCGTTCAGCGCCGTGCCATCATCGTTCTCGGGCTGGTAGTCGGGGTACTCAGGATCATCCCCTCTGTAACCCAACTCCCTGTAAAGAGAACTAACAGCATCCTCATTCTCAACCTCCTCCATCTCCTGGTGCTGTTGATGCTGTTGGTGTCCACCCACGAGCATGTTTGATGGCTGGTTGTGGTGGTGAGATTCCTGTTGGTGATCCACGTGCACGTGCATCCTACCTCCAGTTTGTGCAACACCTGGCCCCAACAGGTCGGACCATGACATGAAAACCATTGTGGGCGGCGTCACCTGCCCATCGCCATCCACCCCGCGCTGCTGCTGCTGGCTATGATAAGCGTAAACGCGATGAGTCTGGGCATTGCCATGTGCATGGTGCTGCTGACCATCCAGTGCCGGGTCCGGCAGGTTGTAGTCAGGCAGGAGGTTGTAGCTTTGGCTCTGACTGTGGTCATGGTTGTGGTGCGTCTGACCCTGACCTTGACCCGCCGCCATTTCTCTCATCAAAGCAGCAGTCTTCATGTTATTACCATGACCCCCCTGGCACTCTTCACACAGCCCCAGCTCCACCTCCACCTTATCCTCAAAGTCAAAGTGAGTGGGACAATTCTCACATTCTCTGTTCCGCTCCTCCTTGGTCATACCTCTTGTCCCCAAATCTGTCAAATGGGTAGAGAGAAAACCCGCACAGTCGACATATTTGATCTCAATTTCGTTCCAGTGGATGTGTCGCTGGGCGGAACCGAAGTGGCGGGGGTAGAAGCCCGATGGTAAGGCGTCGCGAGTATCAGAGGAGCGAATTTCGTCCAAAGTACTTTTGATGAGCTCCTCGAGGTTGGGCTTGAGTGCTTGTTGACTGGCGAAGGCGGCCATGGCGAACATCAAGGCGGAGGGAGTCAGAGTTCCATTGGTGGGAGCAGGGAAGGGGTAGTCTTGGCCGATGTTTGTGTTGTTGCTGTTGTTGTTATTGTTGTTGGAGCTCGCTGAAACTGTGCCTGAGGTGGAGTGACCGTAGAAGGGGAGGCTCAAGGAGGAGGTGGGGGCGATGGGGCTGTAGATCATGCCGTAGTTCTCGGACGGGGGGCCGGTGTTTGTGAGGTTGTTATTGTTGTTGTTGCTGGACCTCGCTGAACCTGAGGCTGAGGCCGAGTGGCCGAAGAAGGAGAAATTTGAGAAATGGGCGGGGGCGATGGGGGTGTCGATTGTGTCGAAGTTCTCGGAGGAGAAACTGGCAGGGGAACCAGCAGAGGGGCTGGCCCAGAGATTGGTGGTTGGTGTCGGAGAGATGGAGAAGGAGGGGGTAGTTGGGATTGAGGCTGATGGTGTGTCTACCTCTACGCTCGAAGGGGAGCGGATGGTGGAAGAGCCGATGGTGGCCCCGGTGGAGGAAGTCGAAGTGAGGGGGGAGGAAGCCGGAGAAAAGGGAGAGGCTCCGGCGTTGAGAGCTTGAGGGGTGGCGGTACCGCTGGGGGAGAGAGGCGGGGTTGAAACTGCCACCGTGATTGTCGGGGCGGCACTACTGTCTTGGCTGGCGGCATTGAGGTCGTCCTTGTTGCTGTCGCCTTCGCTAGCAGTGTTGGCATTGGCGGGCTGGTTGAGATGGTCGTAGAACGAGGTACTCGCAATGTTCCCTTGTCCCACATTGTCGGCGTTGGCGGCGACGAGGTTGCGCGAGTGGGAACAAGAGCGATGATTCCTCAACGGGCACTGGCATGCGAAGATGGTTGTGGTCTTATGGCACATCTTGGCGAGTCTTGTCGTTCTCGACTTTGGTGTCTGGTCAAAGAAAGCTGAGGAATAGAAAAAGAAGGATCCGAAAATCGTGCGAAGGTCCGCCTTTTATGTGTTTGACTAACGGGCAATGGGGCCTGTGTCTGGTGCGAGGGGTCGGGGCCAAAGCTGGTTATGCCTCTACTTTATGTGCAATATCAAGCTTGAGGCAGCTCCAGTTGTCAGGACCTTTGGCGGGCCTCGAGCGTGCGTCGCGGCCGGAGGTCCGAAGTCGACAGAGATCGTGCTTCGAGGGGTGAATGGTGCGCCTCACGATCTGTGCGATGGTTCGAGACGTGTCCGCTTCTGCAAAGAAGGAAAGGGATCAGTACAGATGGTATGCGGCGACTGGAGCGCGGCTCGGTGAACTGAAGTCCGAACCTACTGGTTTGTTCGTTGGAATCGGTGGTTGGAAATCGGGATGGTGGTTGCTTCGAAAATGACCGAGAGGTGATGGCAGTTGGTCGGAGGAGGAAGAAGACGAGCAAGTTTTGCGACAGAAGTGTGCAAGCCCTGTATTGCCTAGAAGTACTCGAATGTCGAAGGGTGATGTTGGGATGAAATGCTATTCACCTTGGAAACACTTCACCAAATCCCGCTGCCTCAGGTTTCAGTTTTGTTGTCCATCGGATGACGGCCTGCCTGGACTGTGCAGCGAACAGCTATCACGATCATGGTAAGTACAGCTTCACTTCCCTTGAATTTCGACTGTTGATTGGTGGGTTAGGCTTTCGATCATTTAATGGCCCACAGCATATGATCGACCCGCAGTAGGGCACGAGGATGAAGATGAGGAAGTACTCGGGAATAGTTTCAATTCTGCCAGCACACTGTCGGCGCTACTATCATGTTTGTCTGAAACCTTCCTCCTGTTCTGCCTGTACCAGTTCATGCTACCATACACGCACTTCCGTTCCAGGTTACCTACCTCTACTTTACTGGACCCCAAACTGGACATCAACCAAGTCCTAAAAGACCTAGGTTTGCCGTTGCCAACATAACGGCTCGCCTAGCCCTCAAGTCGTCAACGAGACATCACTCCATATCCATCCACCTGTTCAACGTCTCCATCATATCCCTCATCCCCTGCTCCATTTCATCCTCAGCCTCAACTTGACGCTCCTGACCGTGATTCTGAACCTGACCCCGGCCCTGGCCCTGACCCTGATCGTCACCTCGAATACCACCCTCCAGGTTGCTACCAAACCCATTTTGATTCTGATGCATGCCTCTCAAAGCATCCGCATGCACATCTCTACACTCCTCACACAGTCCCAGCATCTTCACCTCCTTATCCTCGTTTCCAAAGTACTCGGGGCAATTCATGTACTCCTCGTCCGAGTTGATGATGGTATCAAGATGCGTAGAGTGGTACGCGGCGCAGGGAAACCACTCGGTTCTCCAGACGTCCCAGTGGACGGCGCGCTGGACTTGGCCCATTTTACGCTCGTAGAAGAGGCCGTCGATGATGCGGGGCGGCTCGGACTCTTGGGCAGGCGCGGTAGGGGAGGGAAAACGGTCGTGCTCGTGCTCGGCAGAAAACTCGGGGGCGGAAGCATTGATGGTGTTCATGTTGCCAGTGTTGGTGTTGGTGCTAGTGGTGGTATTACCGGGGCCCGGGGACGAAGAAGCAGAAGAAGCAGAGTTGGGAGAGAACGGAGGGGGAGGAGCAAAACCGGGGGGAGGAGCCATGCCGGGGGGTAAAGCAGAAGAAGACATGGAGGGAAGGATCAAGGGGCGGGCAAACATCTCGGCGGCCAATTGCTCCATCCTGCTTCTTTCGAACTCGCCTTCGGCGAGGCAGGCAGAGTGAGGGCAGGCGGAGGTGTCGCGGAGGAAGCAGCGACAGGCAAAAATGGTGGTTTTTTTGTAGCACATTTTGATCGCTTGATCAAGATCTTGAGGGGAAGTGAGTCTGAGTTGAGGAGATTCCGATGGTTGCAACTTTGCAAGGCTCTTTTGAATCTGAAGAGAATCTGATGGTTAGCAGACTGTTTAGATTGCCTTGAATCTCTGTTCAGTTACCGAAGATGAAGCAGCGAGATCTCTTTGTCGACGCTGATGAGTCTTGCCCGAGTAACTTCAGGAGGAAACCTGGGAGATGCAGTGAAAGTTATCTCCTCATGAAGAAGAAAAATTCGGAGGGTAAGGAAAGAAGGGAGAAAGAGGGGAGAGGAGAGCTTATATATAAACCATGGCCCTGGGGTGTGCCTGTCAAGAAGCTATTGACCCAGTATCTCAATAGGATGCAACCACTACCAGTCTAACGTTATTCAGCATAACGGCTTGATGTGAAACGAGAATGGAAATATGAAGCACACTTCTGCGAAACTGAATAACAATTACGACAATAGGTAGCGGGGCGTAATATGAAGAGAACAATGACACACGGGACCAAGTATGAGCAGGATCGGAAGTAATTGTGATGAAGTCCAAATGGAAGGCATGGAATTCAGGAGCCAGGGATGCTTGATGACCAAAAAGATCTCGAGACTCGCAGATTACGTATAGGCAATCGTACCTCTAGGAAGGAGAGGCGGACTCGGTCATGGGAGGGGTAAGAACGTTGTTGACTTGCGTAGAAGCTCAGGAAGCGACTAGCCTAGGCCTCGATGACCAAAACACACAAGCAGGGCAAGAGAAATGACTGTTCATTACACATTGTCATTAATAAAATGAAGGGTATCTCCAAACATGCCTGAGCTATCATCATCCTCCCCATGTCATCATCAAATTTGCAAACACGGGACAAACCATGGGTATGGGCATTACTCATCACCGTACGACATCTCCCTTCCCGCCATACTGCCTCTTCCGAGTCACTTTCACTTCGGCCCCCCCTAGGTACATTCACCATCATTCGGCGCAGGCCCTCAGCTGCTATCAATCCCCTCCCTAACCTTCTCCCCCTTGACACTCTTCTCCTCTGGCGTCTGATCCCCCGGCGTCTTCCCCTCGGTGACCACCACTTCCCCAGCATGTCTTGCCTGATCAGCATGAATGGCCTTGACGCCCTTGCCCGTGATATCCCACCAAATGTACTTGCAAGTCCTGATCAGCGTCTCCCGCCCTTCGTAGATGGGGAACAGACCGACACCGATAAATGACAAGAATATCCAGATGATGCCGACGACGACCCAACCAGTAAAGAAGGGCTTGGAGAAGATGTAGCCGGTGCCGTAGAGGGGCATAGGCCAGAGAATCAGGAGGGCTAGGGTCTGTTGTTCGTTTCCATGTTAGCAACCTGGATTGGGAATGGAGGAAAAAGGGATGGAACTTACCAAAACAGCAGTCATGGTCTTACTGATCTTACTCGCCCTCCTCAGCTTTTTCTGCTCCTCCACTATCTCCCTGTCACTTTCCTCTCTGCCCCCCGGAACCTCCTCCAAATCCACCCCCGCCTCGCCCGCCACGTCATGGTCATCCCCCCTCGAGATCGCCATCATGCTCTTCCAGTCATACCTGGCCTTGCCAAAGACCAACGTCAACACAGGAACAAACACCACCGGACTCAACAGCGCCGTCACGTTTCCCGCCAACATCGGCATGTTACTCCCCGTGCAAGCAACGCTCATCTCGCCACACTCCTTCTTGGCCGTGACCAACCACGCCACCAGCGCCACGCAGAGTCCTAGGACAGGGGAGAGGGCAGCAGCCCATTTGTTCAGGCCGGACCACGTCAAAACCAGCGCCGCAGGCAGGACGGCAGAAGAAATAATGACGCCCATCATGACGTACAGATAACCCATTGAGATACCGGCGTACCACAGTCCGACGGAGAAGCTGGCAATGAAGAGGGCATAAGCGCAGACGACCACGTGCGACATGTAGATGAGTCGCTTGCCGGAGGCTTCAGGCTTGATGTATGTCCTGTATAGGTCGTAGACGATGATGGACGAGACGGCAATGAGCTGCGACGAGGTGGCCGAAGTAACGGCCATGAAGACAATCAGAAGCGTGGCGGCCGCTCCACCCTTTCCTAGCAGGGCGACGGCCGCGTAGGGGAGGACCAGACCAGCGCTGACATCGGCTTCGGGCATGCGGTTCGGATAGGTAGGGAAGCGCGGGCTGCTCTCCAGAGCGAGGCCGGACAAGCCCATGGTGGTGGCGGTAAGCCACGGGATGGCGAACCAGCAGAGACCGCCGAGGATGTAGCCGGGCAAAGCGTGCACGGGCGAGGCGGCGATGGCCTTGTTGTAGTACCCGTTGTCAAGGAAGACGGTGCCAAAGTTGCCGACGATGTTGATGACAAAGAAGATGGCGCCTTCGCGGGAGCGCATGGTAAGATAGGAACCCTCATGGTTGCCGTCAACGGGGTGGGCGGCGGCTGCTTTGACGAGGAGGTCGTAAACTGCGCTGGGCGAGCCGAGGACTTCGGAAGAGGCGTACGCGGAAAGGGCGAAGACGATGATGATGATGAGGAGGATGAAAGTGTGGATCCAATCGGTGAGAATGGTGGCCTTGAGACCGCCGACCAAGGTGTAAGCCACCACGCCGACGGGAAGGAGGTAGATGGCCGCAATGGTGTGCATCCCTGTTAGGGCGTTGATAGTGGCGCTGCCTCCGACGATCAACATCAGGGAAACCAAAATGTTGGTCATCAAGCCAAAGATCATGAAAACGATATGTGGCAGGGTGCCGAAGCGGGCGCGGATGACTTCGAGATAGGTATGCGCGTTGGGAGCACGGCGTTTGAGTTCGATGGCGAGGGTCGCGAAGAGGAGGATCTGGACGGTGGCACCGGAAGCGTACCACAAAGGACCCGAGACGCCATACCGATAGCAGACACCCGAGGACTGGAGGAGGGTGGCAGCCCAGGTCCAGGAGGAGACGACGGCGGAACCAACGAGACCGGACTTGACAGTGCGACCGGCCGTGTTGAACATTTCCGATGTTTGAAGCTCGCGGTTGTAGCGCTTGAGGATGAAGGTGACCAAGATCATGCCTGACAGGGTAGACATCCAGTCAGTGAGATTCATGGGGCTAGAGGGACTGAGAAGGGAAGGTAGGGTTGTACTCACCAAGAGCAAACAATGCTCCCAGCCCAATGACGATGCCATAGCCGACTCCTTGGTTTAGAGCCGTGGCTGTTTCTATCTTGACGGTTGTGTCTGCACCCCCCGCCATTATGTATGGTGTTTAGGGGACTTTGTTTGACAGTACTGTGAGCTTGGAAGCTTGTGACACTGGACAGGTAGACTCGACCCATGATGTCGGGATGCGGCTGGAGATATATAACTTGTGTCCCACGAAAGCAATGACAAGGCGATATGATCCCATGCGGTGGTTATCAGAGTGTGATATCCAAAAGTCGGATAAGATCTTGAATGACATCTTCCATCCACCGCGGAGTTTGGTGTACGCGGACAAGTTACCCCGGTCTCGCGTTCCGGTTGCGGGGTGTAACATCAAAGTCAGCCTGGACGTAATTCCTATTATGTTCTCCTTGGTGTGTATACCAAAGGCTGACAAAAGTTTTATCACTGCAAGTAATGGCGAGGAAAGCGTAACACAAGTCTTATCAGCAACCAGTGTAAGACACCCGAACTCCTCCGATGTCGTTCCTCTTTGGGGTTTCATCCGGCTCTTCAAAGTTCGAACCGTTAACTTCCCCACTTCAGCCATGTGTGTCCTTAACCCTTTTTACCCCATCCATGACGCCAATGCCGAAATGGCGGTTCCAATCGCTTCGGGGGATTTCATGGGGATTGAGTCTTTCACGGGGGGTTCCGGACATTCGTTGAGATAAGCTTCAGTTACGCTTCTGAAATCTTATCAGTTCGCCGCTTGGCACGCGGGAACTATCGAATGGTTGCACTGTCGCAACTTTGATAGAGACCGGAACTGACCAATCAGAACTCATGACTTATGGGAATTCGAGCTTTCTTATCTCGACTGATCAACCCGATCTGCAGGGCTTCGGATATGTATGGCGTTTCAAGCTGTGTGTAGGTACGTAACTTGCCGCGCCCAGAGACCAGCACCAGGTACCAGTTTCTGCTGAAAGTGCAGCTTTTACCACAAGTCTTTGTCAGATACCGATGATATGCATCCCACTGGATCCCGCTGGCCGAATTTGCCAAGATGGCCGAGATTCTCGACTGCTCAAAAGTGGCTGTTGTCTTGTTGTAAATGGATCAAGCTCGTCCGTGGAATGCCGATAACACTTAGCCGCTTTCCACCTCGCCATTGGATCAGACCTTTGACATCAACAAATTTCTGGATGCTCACTCGTTGGTTTTTGAGACGGCTGTTCAAGGTTGGATGGGACCCTCGGTAACCCCACAGACTCGACGGCTTGGATCATGAAAGATATCGGTACATGTAGTTGGAGCAGGGTGGATCAAGAATGTTTTGGGACCGGATGGGGGTGGTATCATCCCGAGAAAGCAAAGTGATCATCAAGCAAAGCAGACGCCCGTCATACGACCGCCATCGCAGCGAGCAAAGCCGTCGGACGTTGGAACAAAGGATTGAACATGCAAAAGGCTGACAAAAAGAGCAATCATTGCAACACATCATCGCACACAAAGGCAGGAACACTGCCTGCGGAATCCCGAATGTCACCCTCTCCAACGGACCCCCATCTTAACCCAGTGCAACCAACACCCTCTTCTCATAAACCTGCTTCCACGCCTCCTTCTTGATTTCTGCCAAATTGACGCGGTATCTAACATCCCTGTTATACTTGCCTGTACCCCTTCGTACCTGCATCGCCAACTTCTCCGGATCACAGAACGGCAGGTAATTGTTGGCAATGCGGATGAACTCGCATTTACCGTCACCCTTTTCATCCACTCCAATGTCCTGAGCCGTTGGGTCGCAAGGGTGCGTCCTCCCTACCACTTGTCCGTCATCGTCGATAATCTCTCGATAATACTTGGTGTACTCCTTCACATGCAACGGGTTCTCTTGCAACATCGACGGTCCCTGCACTTTGAGCTCCGAGAGTTTGAAGCGCGCTGATTCGGTCCAGAAGAAAATGAGCTGGTCGTCCGGTATGTCAAGCAGGACTTCGGGGGTCATGGAGGGCAGATTGTCAAAGATGTCGTCGAGGGTGACCGAGTACTTGCTGTCGTTGGTGTTGGGTATAGCCCACGAGTTGGCTCGTTCTGGGTCGTTATCGACGGAGATTCTTCGCACCGGAAACACGCGCAGTGGGTGGTTGCGCAGAACAAAACAAACCACCTTTGGGTTGAGTCCCACCTCGAGCTCGCGGTCCTGCACTTTGAGACAGATAGCTCCGGACCATCCCAGCCACGACCAAGTTGGGAAGGGAACATGCCGCTTGAAGCTGGTCATCTCCAACGTGCTCAGCTCCTCTCTCCTCTTGAGACCTCGTCGATAAGGCTCCCAGCACAGACAAAGCTCGAAGCGCCCGCTTGGCATGCCCCAGAGAAAGTTCTCACCAGTCATTCTGCGGACTTGCTCCACCACTGCACTGAACGCATCGAGAGCATCGCCTTGGAACTTTAGATTGCGGTTTGAGTAGTCTTGCACCAAGCGTTGGAACTTGTACCAGACTTGTTCTTCGGGCACGTCTTCGGTGTACCACGTTCGCTCGGACGAATTGAGAATGGGGTCAGACTCTTGCAGGCCGAACCATGCTAAGGAGCCGAGTGTAGCGGTCTCGCAGCAGGACTCCTCCGAGTAGTGAGACCGGGAACAGGACCAGAGGACGTGGCTCTTCATAATGACAATGGCCCGTCGGGAGAGGGCTCGTTCCTGGAGTGTCCACCCGCGCGAGGCCCAGATGGTCTTGCGGGTTGGGTGTTCATGGGACTGGTGGGTGGGAGAGAGGGCAGTGATGAGGGACAACCCGGGGTTGTTTTCTGATGGGGCGATGACCGGGACTACCTCTTGGACTGTATCCCGGGGGGTGCGGATACCAGGAAGACCAAAGTTGGAGTCGTCACCCGCAGCGGCCATGATAGTGAAGAGGGAGTGGGCGTAAACGTTGGCGATGTTGCCAAGTTGCGTTACCTTATCATCCTCGGAGTTTTGGATGATACAGAGGGCATCGACCCAGAGATATTGGAGGCCAAGTTGTTCAGTCAGGTGGATGGCGTCGGAGATGGTCTTGGAAACTTTGCCAACGAGAGAATTGGGCCGCTGGAGTTCATACTCGTTCTCGATAAGAAGGGTGAGTTTCTGAGGAGTGACACCCCAGACATAACTGAGTGAAGCAAACTTGAGGGCGGACATGTCGACGTCGTAGAGGTTGTACTTGGTGACGATACACTTTTTGTGCACGTCAATGAGACGGAAGAGAGGAATTGGTTTGCTGTGTCTGTCAGTTCATGCCCTCCAAAACACTGAAAGCGGTTACACTCACCCCAAACGCCTCATCTGTTCTACCAACTCCGGATCATCATCCTCATCTACCTCTTCACTAATCCCACAGACGTTCTTGTGGTTCTGCAAACACTCATTGAGCCATTGTTTGATCAAGCCAATGTCAATCATCTCCGGTCTCTTTCGTCCTGCGAACCACACCGTCTCCGGGGTTTCCTCATCTCCCATCAGCACCCCTTTTTTGTCTTCAGCAAAACCCCTTGGAATAGCAGTGTTCATGGTCTGAAAGATATCCATTGTGGAATACCAGCTTTCAATCTTTTTGGCCATACCCGGCTCATTCACATCTTCGTCTTTGTCGGCCGGCCGAAATAGCAGTCCCAACCGTCGGAGGAAGAAGCAATCCCTTTCCTTCAGTCCGCCATGCTTGTCATCATGCTCGAACCACGAGGTCCCGTCTGGCGCCGACAATCTCCCACAAAAGGCTAATGTACCCAAGACCAATGGATCCTGTACGCCCATATCGGTGAGGGTGGCGCGGACTTGCGGCTGCTGGTCTAGGACGGTACATATGGCGTGACAGAGGTTGCACGAGGCAGAAGATTTGTGAATGCGGGAAAGAAGGCCCAAAGTCCATGTTGGGTAGACTCTGGCATATGGGTTGCGCTTGAAGGGGCTGAGTTCTTGGGGTGCTGGGTTGCCGTCGTTCAGAGAGCGGAGATCGGTAGTTGTGGGGTAACGGAGCAACGAGAAGTCAATCTGGGAGCAAAAGGAGCAGAGGTTGGGTTCCGTGGCGGGTGAGGGAATGCTTGTAACGGTGACCGAGGATGTCTTGGTGGAAGACGGCCGCGCGACGTGCGAGGGGAGGGATATTGATGTTGGTGGCATTGTGGGACTTTGATGTGCTGGAGTTCAAGTTGCTTGTGTGTTTCGGCAGCGAATGTCCTGACATGAGGGGTTTTAACACCTTTTTGATGATATTTGGCTCAACGGCATTGTGACATCGGGTGTAGACGCCCTGTAACGATGTCAGCATTGGTGCGGTCCCAGGACGTTCGGGGTTGCGCACTTGAGCGGCGCGGACGAACCAGAGGGAATCCCAATACACCCTTGTATCCTCCTCGGCGTAGGGATGCTGTTTCTGCATCTCATGCGAGGTTCCGATCCTGGGATGCAACCAAAATAATGGCTCGTTTCTGGCGGGTAATGTCGCGAGACTGATGTGTTCTCGTCCTCAAGGCCTATCTTCCAGCCTTGGGGGCCTTGAAGGAGACGGCGAGAGGTATAAGAGAATACCGACCCATCAGAGGTTTCTGTCGCGTCACGAACCCTTCGCATTGTCCCACACCACGGCAAATGGAGGATACTTTCTCTCTTGAAGGGCGAATAAGGCTGCCTGGAGGGGCCCGGCGAATCTGACCAACATGCACCGACCATTCCCCAGGGAGTAAGCACATCTATCCCACACCCCACATGTCACTTGCCCTGGGTCGTCAGCAGTAAGGACGTAACGGTTTCAGGGCTTCGTAAGCCACCACCACCAAAATCGGTTCAATCAGCATCTGGGCCAGCTGGGTTCCCTGGAGAGGTTGGTAAGGCTGTGAAGGGTCGTGCCACACATGGCGCCGTGGAAGCCGTGTCTACCTAGGTTGTTGGAAGCAAGGGGACAGAGGTGCGGCAAGGTGGCTTGCAGGAGGAGGGTCGCTGGATGTAACACTATCAGTCCCGGAGATAATGGCTTTTCAGGCACCCATTTAAGGACTTGGTCGTCTTTCTCACCTGGCATGGAACCCCAAGGAGGCACGCTTCGCCATGCTCGGTGTCAGGGCCCATGGCAATAACCATGATACAGTGACTTTGTAGAGAACAAGTCAAGCTGGATCATTGGCGGAACGGCGTGGCTCGGGGTGGTTCATATTGTCGGCAATGGTTTCGTTACGTTCTCCATGCTGGGTCCAATTGCCGCGTTTGCGTTGTCGTTTGTGTATGTGGTGGTTCTCTGAGTGGTTGGGAACATCCGATGGGAGGACGAGGGGTTCAGGTTGCGAGAGGAAGACGGGAGGAGTGAGTGACAGACAGGCTTTCAGACGGAGGAGGATGGAGTGCAGTGGCCTCGCTCTGCACACTGCAGGCCCAGCAGCTCGAGTGCTCCTTCCCCGACAGCACAAGTCAGCGGAAGGAAATGGAGATTGGCCAATGGCGAGAAAGGACAGGAAAAGGTTGAACCATCAAGGTCCTCAATGGCCCGGAGGGGATCACGTACCTGCATTAACCCTAACCCCCTCTGATCCTGACTGACTTTTCCTCAAGTTCGGGATCCCGTCGACAAGGATAAGGAGGTATGCCGAGTGGACACTCCAGTCTGGGCACTTTCTACTTAGAAGTCCGAATACCGGGACGGGGATCCCGTGAGTCATTAAAAGTACCTCTACGTAGTACACTAAACCCCCCCGCCACGTGCCAGCGAAGAGGGTTCCATAGTATTTTACTACGTATTTCCATTGTTTTGACAGCTCGGCCACAACTAAAGACATCACCATTAACACAAACCACATTTCAACAATGCCCGCCGCCACCAACGACCACATCCTCACCCTGTCATGCCCTGACAAGCCGGGCATTGTTCACGCCGTCACGGGCGTGTTCGCCCAGCAGGGCCACAACATTCTCGACCTCCAGCAATTCTCGGACCCCGTCTCGGAAAAATTCTTCATGCGCGTGCACTTTGGCCCTACGCCCACGCCCTCGACCGAGCACCTCATCGAGCCCTTCAACAAGCTTGCGACCGACTACCAGATGGAGTACAAGATCCGCCCTGTCGCGCAAAAGACACGGGTTCTGATCATGGTGTCCAAGATCGGCCACTGCCTCAACGACCTCCTCTTCCGCGCCAAGACCGGCCAGCTCCCCATCGACATCCCCCTCATTGTGTCCAACCACCCTACCTTTGAGCCGCTGGCCCAGTCGTACGGCATCGAGTTCCACCACTTGCCCGTTACCAAGGACACCAAGGCCCAGCAGGAGTCGCAGGTCCTCGAGCTGGCCAAGCAGCACGGCATCGAGCTGATTGTGCTTGCCCGCTACATGCAGGTTCTGTCGCCCACGCTCTGCGAGGCCATGTCGGGCCGCATCATCAACATCCACCACTCCTTCTTGCCATCTTTCAAGGGCGCCAAGCCCTACCATCAGGCGTACGAGAGGGGTGTCAAGATTATCGGTGCCACGGCGCACTTTGTCACGGCGGATTTGGACGAGGGTCCCATCATCGAGCAGAGGGTCACCAGAGTTGATCACGGTATGGGACCGGAGAGGTTGGTGGATGAGGGCTCCAACGTCGAGAGCCAGGTGTTGGCGGCGGCGGTCAAGTGGTATGCCGAGCAGAGGCTGTTCCTCAACAACGGCAAGACCGTAGTCTTTTCTTAGGCGTCTGGAAGAGGGTGCTTGAGACTGTGTTGCGTTGTACATAATAATGATTGAATACCCGTACATACAAGCTCCCCCATTCCAAGTGAAACTGTGAGCTTCCAGATGGTGAAATCCCTTCAAGACCTGAGATCGGATGTTTCTTGGTTACATTGTGGACAACCCAAGCAACTGAACACCGAGGCAACGCCGAAAAAAAAAACAAAAAAAGAACAGAGCATGGAACCCCTGAAATTACAGGGCCAGAAGCGCCTGTTCCCCTTCAGGCAGGCTTTCGTTGGGTTCAATGGCGGGGCTCGCGGGGGAGGGGCATTGCAAGAGTCAGATCCAATCAGTGACATCATTACAGAAACTCCACTGGAGATCCGAACTAGGAAAAGATGGAGTTATGTGATTGGCTGTTTGCCAAGCCCTTTTCAAGTTTCAATCCAATTCGTCGGTATTTTGCTCCATTTTCTCTCCAACAAAACCCGAGTTACGCAGATGAACAACGCCCACGTAACACGACCTTGTTGGCGTTCAGCTGTGTTATCGTCGCTTGGGCCGTCTTAATTGAAACATATTCCCCCCCGTTTTGTCTCTCTCTCTCCCCCGGACTCGACGACGAGGCCACCTTTCCAATCCGACACCATCAACAATTGTAGAGATACCGACATCCAATCCGATTCGTCGGCACAACCGAGTAACGAGACCAGACCGCACACCGTACCTTTCTTTGGTTGTACATATCTCGACCATACCTCGACCATAATACCCATCTGTACCTGCAGTCCACCACTGTGTCGCTTTATATCGCGCATCTCCAGTGTTGTAGTGGTCGACCTCGGACGTCATGGTCCAACCCTCTGCCGCCGCCAACACGGCCGCCGGCGCATCCTCATCCTCATCACGGCCGCAGACTCCTCGAACTCCTCGAACCCCTCGCGCTCCCCGACCACAGCGAACCACGTCTTCCGGGTCATTTCACGCTGGCGCTCCGTTCCCCCAGTTCAACAGCCCCTTCAATGACAACGGTCGAAGAACCTCGGTGGCCACGATACGTCCCATCCGCCGACAGTCCACCCACAAATACCACACCTTCCCAACACAACCACCCAAGACGCCCTCCTCACCACCGCGAAACGACCCGTGGAGTGCATATGCCCAACAACGACGCGACGACGAGCATGGCCATGACGATGGAAGTATATCAGATACATCACAAGGTGAAGGCGACGCTGTCACACCGCTACCATGGAAACAGCTGGGCCTCCTGGCGCTGTTGTCCCTAGCCGAACAGACAGCCCTCAACTCCATCGGTCCATACCTTCCCACCATGGTGGCATCTTTTGACGAGATTCCTGATGGCGACGAGGGACTGTATGTCGGTCTTTTGGCCTCGGCCTTTGCTCTCGCGCAGTTGGTGACCAACCTGTTCTGGGGCTACCTCTCGGATCGCATCGGTCGTAAACCTGTCATGCTTGCAGGCTCCCTTCTACTGATGGGCTGCTTCGTGTGCTTCGGCTTCTGCAAGACATATGTCCAGCTCATCATGGTTCATGTTGCCATGGGATTGCTCAATGGAAATGCGGCCGTGGTGCCAACAGCCCTGGGAGAAGTCACGGATCGCACAAACCAGACTAGAGCCTTCACCTGGCTGCCTATCATTTACAGCCTTGGTAGCATCACCGGTCCTGCTCTCGGTGGTCTGCTGGTTGGTACCGTCGGGGCCGACAAGTACCCATTCCTTGGCCCCAACCTCATGAGCGCCGGATTCCTGTTCGTTGCCGTTCTAATTCTCGCCATCTGGTTCCGAGAGACATTGGAGAAGGATGAGGATGAAGACGCCAGCGACTATACTACCATGTTCAAAAAGGCTCGTACCCTTCTCGCCGGCTGTCTGGGCCGAAACAACAAGTCCAATCACCAGAATGACGAAAGCGACGCTCTCCTCGGCGAGCATGGAGATGCCACAAGCGCCAAAGACATCGCCTCGGATCAAAAGTCTGCTTTCCGCCAACTTGCCAACCGTACCACCTTGATCCTGCTTTGCACCTATCTTGTCTTCCAACTGACCAACATCTCCTACAACTCGCTCTACCCCATCTTCGCCTCGGCGCCCCCGCCCAACGGCCGTAACCTGGGACCCAGCACGATTGGTCTCAGCTTGTCTCTGGCAGGATTGGCTACCATTGCATTTCAGGCTTTCGTCTTCCAACCGCTCAAGGCGCGCGCGGGCAACATGGGTACTTACAGATACTCCCTTCTGGGAATGGCCATATCTATGGCGCTCATGCCTTGGATCGGCTACAAGGACCAGAAAGACACTTGGTTCGGGATTGGGTCCGGCAAAGCTTGGCTGTACAGCGAGTTGGGTGTCATTTTGTTGCTCAAGAACATTTGCGCTGTTGGTGGCTTGAGCAGTGTGATGCTTCTGGTATGATATTTGTCCTTTAGTCCCCTTTATATCTTTCATCTAGCGTCTCCTAACATACACTAATTGCAGATCACGAACTCTGCCCCTTCCCACGAATCCCTCGGCACACTGAATGGCATTGCCCAGACACTTTCCGCTGCTGGTCGTAGCGTCGGTCCCTTCATCTCCGGCGGGCTTTTTACCCTGACAAATCATGTCCAACCAAAGGGAGAGGCGATTGCCTGGGGCGTATTTGCCGGTGTCGCCCTTCTTGGGTGGTTTGGCACCTTGATGATTCGAGGACGTGAGTTGGAGAGCGCCGACTGGCAAGGCGATGAGGAGGATGAGGATCACGACGAGGAGGCCGCCCATAATTCGGGCCGGTGACCAGTGAGTTACTATCGTCACGATGGAGACAGCACAAAATAATACATGATTTCCTTTCTTTCCTTGGGTATAACGAGCATCATACGATCAGCGGTACTAAATCGATTTGCATTATCACGAGTCCTTCCGTCTCTCTTGGCTGATTTGTTCTATGTATTTGCCTCCTTGTCATGTCGGTCCTGGATTTCTTCATCGCAGCCGCGTTTACGCTCAATTAATGCGTAACCAACCGCAGTATAACTGTCTGTTGGCCCAAAAACAGGGTCAAGCGCCCACATTCTCAGAACCACTGGCAGATATGACACTGACTGGCGGGAGCTCATGTGCCACATCCTTGATCTACAATCCCTCTGCATCTAGGGTTGCATATAATGGAGGAGGCTCTGTTTACGCCTCTCATATTCCACAGTCCCATAGTCCATTTTCAGTCTGTATATAGGCTAACCACCGGGATAGGACTACCAAAGCCACTGCCACTGGGTACATCGAAGATTGATACGGGGATAGGCCTGTGTAAACGCCGAAAAATACAACCAAACCAAATCGCGATTATCTCTTTGGAAAAAGGATATCCAGCCGTATCTTGGTTGTGAAAGGGGACATTACTTGACGTGACGGAACGAATCTCCGCGGTATATTACCGTTCATCTTCCTGTCGTTGACCATGCGGAATCTATGGATGCTGCAACTGACAACTGGACTACCCCATTTCGTCAGAGGTCACCGGCATCAGCCCTGGTACTCCCATCCACGCCATTTCTTAAAGGAAATAAGGGTACTGGCATCACCATGAACTTGCCAAGTTGGTAAACCCCCAACCCAAGACTGACCAACTCATCCATACAGCCATCTGAATTTCAACAAGATCCAGTGTCACCGACATATTCTGCCAAGGCATCCACGGATCTTATACGACCCTTCCATCCTCAAAGCCCTCTGAGATGCACATCGGCACTTCGACATGATGGTGCTGGACTCATTTCTCCATTATTCACCGTTCAGCTCGTTACCTCGGCAGCGTGTCAGTAACGGCTTGTGTTTTGGCGTGACGTCAGGATGGACTGAATCTTTTGAAGAACAAGAAACGGGAAGGTATCGATTATGCTCTCGTGCAATGCAGAAACATGGACTGAACTGAACTACCCCATTCTGAGGCTGCGAATCTGTATATATCCACATGCCCTCTTATCACTACCAGTTCTTCAACGAAGCGGCTGCACGTCCCGATACGAGATTAGTTTTTGCTCATTTTGCCGCCCAGATCAATGTTGGTTTGTTTGTCAGCTCGAGATCCACGACCTCCTCAGACAAGGGGGAAAAAACAAGGGATCCCGGAGCCCCTATTGGTCCAGCCAAACAACACCAAGTCAGGGTCAAGAACAACAACTGATCGTATACATGTACCGCACACATGCACCAAAACTTGCTCTTCAGCAGCGGGCAATAGCCAACTGATATGCTATTCACGCCACCAGTCCAGCCTAGCTATTCCGAAAGTGGTAAAAGAGTCCTTTGCAAGTGTGTTTACCATGCTTACCTACCAACAGCCAGGGGTCAAACTATATACACAGAAAATTGGTTACCGGGAGGTAGGTGCTGAAGAAACTCGTATACGAGGGAACATACAGCTTGGAACATATGTGCCCACTCAAATCTTGGTGCAGCCCTGTGATGCCCAGCGAGGGAATTTCCCAGTGATCTCTTAACCAAATTCTATACCTCGGTGTACTATCACTAAGCCAACTAAGCATCATGAATGCCTCAAGATGAGGGCTGACTTGGCTTGCCAGAAATATTCCGGCCTCGGCTTGCTTCCTAACTGTCGGCTCGACTTGTGTAGAAAACGGGTATAAAGAAGTGTCATATCCCCCGCCATCAATTATTTTTTTTTTTTCCCCTCAACCTCACAACCCAAGTCAGAACCATCATCATCATCGGTCAACATGGCCCGCTTTGCTTTCACAACCCTCGCTTTCCTCCTCTTGGAGGTACTGGCAGTCAATGCCAGTGACGACAACAACGACAACAGCCCCTACTACGGTGGTGACGACAACTACCCCGTCTACGGAGGTGACGACGGTGACTGTGACAATAACCCCTACAACTTCACCTTTCTCGCCGATCCCGGTGTCTTTGGTCCTCCTCTCGAGGCCGTCCACGCCTACTTTGGTGAATGGCCCAACGGCGTGAGCGTCTCGAGCACCGGCCGTATCTTCTCCAACTTCCCCGCCATCGTGCTGGGCAACGTCAACAACGGCACGCCCGGGGTCTTTCAAGTTGCCGAACTCACCTCTCCCTCCACCGAAGAGGCCTATCCCTCTGAGGACATCAACACCCCTCCCTGCCCCGGCGGTGCCGTGAACCTGACGGACCCCGAAAACCCCGTCGGATGCGGAAGCCCGGATCACTTCATTTCCGTGCAGAGCGTCCAGGTAGATGCTGAAGACCGACTATGGATTCTTGACACGGGAAGGCCGATCTACACCTTGCCCGACGGCTCTGTGATTCTCGTAAACTCCAGCTACGGCGGGCCCAAGCTCGTCGGCGTCGATCTTTCCACCGACCTTGTGTTCCAAACCATCCTTTTCCCTGAAGACGTCGTCTTTCCTGATACGTCCTACATCGACGATGTCCGCATTGACCTGAACGCCAGCCTGTCCAACACCACCGGCGAGGGCGTCGCTTACATCACGGACACTTCCTTGTGGGGGGATAACGCCATCATCGTCGTCGACCTCGGCACCGGCGACTCCTGGCGGCGATTGGAAGGAGACCCGTCCGTCGTGGCCGAAGCCAACTTCCTCCCTTTTATCTGGGGTCAACCTCTCTACTTCACTGAGGACCCCGGCAACCCGCCGGATGGCAACCTGACGACCACGACGCCCGCTTACCTCCCTGCGGGCGTGAACGGTCTCACTCTCTCTGCCGATGGCGAAACGCTCTTCTACACCCCCCTCGCGGGCAGGAACCTCTACTCGGTGCCTACCGCCCTGTTGCGCGAGCGCGACGATGCCGTCGAGGCGGAACTAGCTGCTGCGGTAGTGAACTATGGCAATACGGGATTCAGCGACGGGATGGAGACCGATCCCGAGACCGGATTCATCTACAAGGGAAGTTTCGAAGCGAATGCCGTGGTGGCGTTTGATGCTGATACGGGCGTGACGCAGACGGTGGTGCGGGACCCGCGGCTGGGGTGGATGGATTCGTTCAGTGTGGCGGAGCTGGAAGATGAGGAGACGGGAGAGACGCAGAGCTGGTTGTATATCTCGAGTGATCAGTTTGATCGGTCTTGGTGGTTCTGGGCGCCCGGAGCGCACTCGGGGGATATCCAGGAGAGGCCGTTTGGGTTGTTTAGGGTGCCGTTGCCGTTGCCTGACCCTGATTGCGAATTTGCGGGTGCCTCTAACTACTAAGGTACCTCTAGGTACCTAATGGGGGAGGGACATGTTCAAGGGTGGGAAGAGAATGAAGGGAGAAAGTACGTTACCTGCACTGGGTAAATGAAGGGAGAGCCAAGAATGTATTGAACCAGGCAAGAAAGGAGGACAAGAGAGGCCGGTATATCGGAGTACCTCCAAGTACACTGAGTGGAGGAAACACGAATGTACACAAGCCCAGAGTAAACGAAAGTATCCGAATAATAAACTTGGTGGTTGAAAAACAAGAAAGGCATGTATACCTAGGTACATGACTGAATCTGCTCAACAGACAGGGTGTTTGACTGTGTGATGAAGTGAGGATGTAAAGGGATGGGCGTCTCAGGCTTGAGACCGTGAGGTGATGATGGAGGGGAAGTTTGGTTGGAGATGTGCAATTGCAGCTTTTCTCTTCCCAAGGGTCACTAACAATTCTTACAGCGGTCTTGAATGCCAGCCGATGGATCACGGAGAAAAGTGGGTCTAGCAGAATGGTTGTTTCCATGCTTCCCGTCGTTCCTGGGTTGGAAGATAGGTACCTATCATTGCAACGACCGAGTATTGCTTCTCTGTCACATCTCTTGACCAAACACAGCGGAAAAGGCATTTCCTGCCGATAAATGGATACCCCATGCTCTTTCTCGTATCATGGTAAGTCTTTAACTCGCTACATTTTGGTCGTGGCTGAGCTCTCGTCGTAATTTGGCAAACGGCTTCAGAGGATCGCTAACAATTTTACAGGGCAATTGCGTCGGCGAGGAGTTGCGGTTTTCGGTTTTTTTTTTTTTTTTTTTTTTTTTTTTGTTTACTTCCACTTTCCTTCTTAGGACTTTTCAACTCTTGCATCTGGCATCACCAGTAATCCGCGATGCCATCCTTATCGCCCCTACAGCCTTTGAATTTTCCCTGCAACCGTTGCTCTTTCCTTTCCCCTTCCATGTCCAACCAGCACTGATCGGCCATCGGACCCCGGAATCGGCAACTCCCCGCCATGTCCGGTGGATCGCGAAAGCCGGAAGCTCTGTTGCTGTCAAGGATTGGTCTGCCAAGAGCAGTCTATCGGCCTTACCAGATGAGTCCAGGCCGATGACTCCGCCGGCCAAAGCCTGGAGGGCCGGGACCCGGAGAGGCCGGAAACTCGGAACGGAGGAAGCCAAGGAGGATATAAACCACTAGCAACGACATAACAAACAAACAAACACGGAGAAGTGAGCCCGCTATTGGATATCTCAATCCTCTTTTCACCACTCTACCTTTGTGAGGCAAACCACAAAGATGACCATCACCCTCCGCCCCGCCACCGAGGCTGACGCCCCTTCCATCGCCCGCATCGCCACAGCCGCCTTCGCCGACTCCCTCTCTCCCCTCATCTTCCCGCGCTCCAAACTGGCTACGGCAACCGTCACCGAAGCCGATCTGACCGCCGACGAGATTACATGGCGCACGTCCATGTACATCAAGCGGATGCGCGAGGGGAAGCCGTGCGTGGTTGCCGTGGATGTTGACGAATCCACCGGTGAGGAAAAGGAAATCCTGGGTTCTGCACACTGGCAAAAGCCGGGTCCTGAGGGACCAGAGGTGTTGGGGGTGGAGGTCAGGCCGGCGACGTATGACAAGGACATGTTTGCCAAAGTTGTCGAGAGGTTTACGACGAAGGACAAGGAGACTTTGGGACCAAGGGGACATGAAGATTATTGGTGTGAGTATTGGTGGGGTTTGAGGACTAAGGAAGGCATGGACTGACGAAGAGATGGGACAGATGCAATCCTGATCAGTGTCGATCCCAAGCAGCACAGGAGGGGAATTGGTAGGAAGTTGCTGAACTGGGGGTTGGAGCACGCGAGGAAGGAGGGAAGGGATGCGTACTTGACTGCTACCGATGCCGGAGTGCCGCTTTACAAGGTTTGCGGGTTTCAGAGCATGGAGACATATGATTGCTACGGCGTGCTGCTGACGAGCATGGTTTGGAGCTTGGACAAGAACCAGCAGTGAGTGTTGAAAGGAGCAATTGGCTTGAAAATGGCTGGGGAAGATTCAAGGGAAGGAAGAAGTTATCAGGGATTGGATAAAAGGATGAAGGTGGACAGTCTCAACAACGACGACCGCGACTTCCTCTCAATGATCGAATGCACCTCTTGGAGGAAACCGTACTCCGCAACTCAGCTTTTGGGCTTGGAGTTGCAGTCTTCGGTGGTTCCGACTTACAACCTAAATACCTCTGCTGACGGTCCCTTCAACTTTTCTCAACTCAAAGAGCTCCAACAAAGGATCCTTCTCCATCGCAACGCTTGTGGCACCCCCTTGTCATAACCCTCCCAGGATTCCAGACTATGGTAGGCGCCAACCTGCGCCCCTAAAAGGCACCACCCGTTCCCCATTTCGGGGATAGCCTCCCCTCTAGCGAGAATCCTTCAGCGGCCCGTTGGTTCATTAACGCCGAGCTGGGCTGATGTTCCTTCTGCCGAAAATCGACATCAACACTTCCATCGTCCATCACGTCCTATCTGTAACCATCATCGTCTCAATCCGTCGTCCCGTCTGATCTACTATGCCATGTTTGGTGCACCGGCCCGCCTCACGTTCACATGAGCATCATCGGGAGCCCTCCCAGTAATGCGAAGAAATGAGCTGACGGAGACGTATCAGTGAATTTCATGACAGTAACGAGCCTTCGGTTACCCCGGGATTTAGACCATGTTCCATTTTGGCAGCGAATGAATCGCTTTTTCTCTCGATCAATTCGGAGCCTGTTGACACTTTCAGTTCGAACGAGGGGACCATATCATCGGCGTAGCCGAGAAATCGATCGAGAAGGACTAAGCAACCACTTTCGCAGGTTATACAACTGACAACGAAATGGGACCTTGCACGAGAGACGATGCAATGCAGCATGGTTGACAGGGTTTTTGTTCTATCCCCGGGGTCATGCCCACATGTTTCGACAACTTGACGAAACCGGGCACTGCTCGGCTTTTCTGAGCTTCGTTCCACAAGTTCCAAGCCAGCATCGCCCTACACTACTTTGAGCGGATGGAACAGTGGAAGTATTGAAGCGGTGTACCTAACAGTGGGATCTTTTCATTTGCGAAAAGCTGCACTGGGTACACTGCGGTCAAACTGAGGGCACCCTTGCAAGCCATAGCCCTACAGGGCTAAGGACTATACACTGTGCATGCCAACAGCACTCGAGGACCTTTACCACCTTGATGACACTCAAGTCACGACGTGCTTTGCACTGGCGGTTTTTTTCTGTGTGTTTTGGAATGACCTTTTGAGGTACGGATGGGGAGGCTGTCTTTGAGATTTGAACCGTACCTGGGTACCTATGTACCGCAGAGCTACTTTCAGGGGGAGACTGCGTGCTGTAGTGATGATCGGACATTGCAGTTATCCCCGATCATCAACGATCACGATGACCACAGCAAGAAAGAGACATCAGCACTCATACCAACCTTGACCGGCACTTAACGAGTAGAGAATGGCAGTTGAAGGACTGGCAAAGAGTTGCCACCGACGAACGCGCTATCATTACCTCGAAGTCAGGTCATATCATGTTCAACTCGGGAAAAGCTAGCTGCCTCTACGATAGTATCGGGGACGGCTCGCCACGCTACGACCCTACAGCCCCAGTCTATTCCTTTGATTGTTTGAAGAGGGTTGGGGACGTCTCAGTCTTCTCGGGGACATCGTCAAGCCCCTTTTAGAGATTTAAATTGCTGCCTAATGGCCTGGTTACAGTGAACACTCGGATATTTCTCGCTACCTGGACCAGTGATAGGCAGACAACAAGAACTCCCGTGGCTATATCCACCGGCGGATAGAGTAGCATAAGCGCGACAACGACAAGGAACAACCAGGGGTGATTTGCCCTGCTGTTCACCCTGACTGCTGGCCGCTGACCCCAAATTCTGATGTTGCCTGGTGTTGCCATCAGCCGTGCTGGGCGGTAAGACAAGACTTCTTCTAGAAGAAAGCAACAGACCGGACAAGCCGGGGGGCATGATACACGTACACCATCAAGAAAAAAGACAAGAGTGGGTGAGACTTCCTACGCCGGCAGTGCAGTGGTGCCACGGTACCCCCCCTTTTCTTCCAGTCTTTGTCCCATGTCCAGCCTCCCCACCCCAGCCACGGCAATTGCTTGCCATGTCATCATTTGCTCCACGCCTGGAGCCGCAAGTCTCCGATTTGGGTCCCTAAGTCAGAAATGGGGCCGGAGCTTGATCAATTTCTAAGTTCTTGAACGTCTAACTCTGCGGAACACTGGAGACATGAGCTGCGTGATATCATTGCCTGGAAGGTCGACAAAGCTGTTAACTGACACTCTGATGGAGTCAGCTCTTGACTCGATGCTGGGGTATATGTCTCGACAATAATCATCTGAACCCAGCAGCACAAAATGATGAAAACTTCAAGTCATTCTAGGCATTGTCTCCATGTACGCTTTTCACAACAAAAACACCTGGATCACGACATCTATGAAGCCTCTTGAGACCTTCAGCATCAACAAGGATGAACAAGACAAAGTCCAATCAAACGACAAAATGGGGAACTGCTTGCGCCCAATGTGCTGCAGCCAAAGCAAAGTGCTCTCGAACGTCCGAGACACGAGGGTCCAAGTGTGACAGATGCGAGCGGTTGCTCAAGACCTGTACGGAACGAATACAGGGGCCCAGGAAGCAGAGACAGTCAAGGACAGCAAGGTTTGTTTCCATTACCCTTCGGTATTCACCATGATCTACTTTCGGTGCTCTCTAACCGCCTTGGCTTCCCTTCAGCAGGAAAGAATATACATCTCCTTCCCTCGACGGTGACACCTGCGGCTCCCTTTCACCTTCCTCCACCACGTCAACTGCAGATTTCACATCAACATCAATCGCCGACCTTGCTGCCGACATCAAAATACCTCTGAAACAGGCCCCATCAAGAAGCGGGACCTCATCACCCTTACTCTCTATAACCCTCTCCCCGTCTCCCGCCCTCCGGACATCCGTTCCGCCTCTCGATAATCTCCAAAGTTATCCATGGTCCCCATAAAGTCCTACAGCAGATCAAGACGCTGTGCAAACGTTCCTGACCCAAATCCAACCAAGTTTCCCGTTTATATTAGTTCCAAACAACGTGGATAGTCAAGCGTTGGCAGTGGAGAGGCCGGTGCTCATGTCAGCGATCCGCCTTGCGGCTGCCACCACTTTCACTGCCACGACAAACGTGTCAGAGTCAACGCTACTAAGTCAGGTATATCAGTTTGTCAACCATGTCTCTGGCATGGTGATGCTGAGGGGAGAGAGCACCCTAGAGATGCTGATGACAGCTGTGATGGTGCTTGGACGGTGGAGATGGTGGTGTGAACAGCATAGAGGAGGGTTTGACAGTCTGTTAGGGATAGCGGAAGGGTTGGTCCAGGACTTGGGACTCAACCGCAACCCGAGGCAGACCCAAGACAAAGAGGAGAGGTTAACTGATATTGAGAAGAGATTATTACTCGGAGTATGGTATTTACGGTCATGGTATGTCTTCCTTTCGTTGCTTCGATTCCCTTCTCCCATAAAAAGGGTACCCGGCGGGGTGTTCACGGGTTGTAGAAAGCTAGATGCCCAGAACAGCTAATATGAGATGACCAACAGCGCCGCAACACATCTATCCCACCTCACACCAACAGTCTTCACGCCTTACATGCTCCAATGTCTCAAGGATCTCGAAATGTCGAGCCAGCCTTCCGACCAAGTGCTCGTTCAAGCCGTCAAAGTCCAACATCTTGAGGAGAGAATACGAAGACTGAACGGATTTACCCAGTTTCGACCCAACAGAAGACGAAGCAAATATCGCAAGAATTATCGGTTTGAGGAACGACTGGGAGTTGTTGAGCCGGAGCTCTCCCGAGCTGATGCACAATCGTGAGTGTTTGTTGTTGTTTCCTTGACCATGAGCGTTACACCACCATCCCAAACCTGACCTGTATCCCTGTCACATCAACGAGAAATACATAGGGTAGTATGAGCCCAAATCTTCCCCCAACTCTTCTTTCCTATTATCAAGACCGAAAACACAAACAGCTAACAACCACAAAAGCACTGGTAGCCTCCCACCTCAAAACGACCTTCCTCCGCCTCCACAAGTTTCTAGTAGAGCAGACTTCCAACATGCATTTAGATCTATCGAGGCCGGCCCCAATTCCTACCTCTAATTTGCTCTTAGCTTCAGAAACTGGGTCCTCCTCCTTTCCTACCTCTACTACCTCTACAGACTCCGAGTACATGTATCAACACTATTAGTTGGATTTTGATGTGGATGTTGACATGGCTTTCCCACCAACTCACGGCATGCAGTACGGTAGCCATCATCAGAGTCAAGGCTATAGACAGCAGATGCTAGAGCAGCAGTGGGCTGCGGCAGGAGCACAACGATGGCGGGAAGAGAATGCAGGTGCGGTGATGGTTTGGGGGCAGGAGCATCATGTGCAACAGATACATGGACATCATGGGTGCCAGGGATAGGACATAGAGGTTGGGGCAGGGGAGATGAACATAACTTGGCAGCGGCATTGATGTAAACAGGTTGGGCATGCATGGAAGGCGTCGCGTGGAGGGTTCGGGAGCGCATATGGCTCTTGCTTCTCTCAACTTGGAGTATTTGGATGCGAGGGTTCTTCCGTCCTTGTTCCTTCCGCGAGTGATTCAAGCTCGAGATTGCGTACCTTGGTCGAACAGTCCGTCACCAGGATTGCAACACCGAGGTCGCTCTTGCATTTTATCACTGGTATCAGCTCGACGCAAATGCCAAACACAGCACAAAACAACTGGAAAACCTGGACTTTAACCTCGTTGCAGATCGGAGTCTAGGCTCACTACCTCTCCAAGTCGATCCTCGTCATCCCCATACCACCACCGCTACCACGACGATCATCTTGCTCCATCCTCCGATAGCCGCCCGAAATCACCGGATCAACAGGCACATCCCCGTTCCCATTCAACCCAATTCCACCACTCACAGGCAAATTCCACCCCAACCATTCCAAAATACTCGTCTGCTCGCTCTCCAAATCCAACAAGCCACTCAACAAGTTGGCACTGCCATTTCCATTCCTATTCTCACCTGCACCAGTTGCACTTCCTCTCCGCGAAGAGTGCTGTCCCCAATCCCCCGCTGCAAACTCTTCATCGCCTACTCCCTCCAGCTTCTGGCTCCCCGGCGCTCCAAAACTTTGATGTAGGAGCATTATCAGACTAACCGAGACTCTAGCGAGGGAGTAATCCACTGCCACCGGCTTGCCGTTGGAGTTCATAGTCGCGTGCGGAGATGGGAGGGTAAGGAGGTAGCTGCGATCTTGGGGTTCGAGGTCCAGGGGCGGCGGGCGTTGTTGTTGTTGTTGTTGCCGATGCTGCTGCTGTTGTTCCCACAGTCGGTAAGTGACAGAAGATTCTACAACCGCAAGCAAAGCCCTCATGCGCCTCCACCACCTCTCTGCCCCATCTCTCCCTCCTCCCAAGCGAGCGCACAGCTCCAAAACAACTAGACAATCGCGTACACGCTCGAGTTCGCCGTGCCAGCCATAGCGGTCCTGGTATTCCCATTCGTTCATGGCGTTTGTCTCACCTCTCGTGCCTCTTGACGTTGTTTGTGGAGGGTAAAGACCGATGCTGTTGATCATCTTGCCTACTACTGACCAGAGCAGAACCGCGCAGCTGGTGTAAGCCTGGAACCCAGCCGTCCAGGAGGGCATCAGAATTTCTTCGTCATTGTGAATCATTCTCCGCAACACCACGGCGCTTAGTCCGGCGACGCGGATCGCGTCATCCGCGTGCTCCAGGAGAAGTTCCCGAAGGGGTGTGTCCAGTGCATGATGTCCCTCGTGGTTGCCGTGCAGCCGGCAGGTGATGCTTTGGGAGATTAACCAGCGGTACAACAAGGTGATGGAGTCGGAGTAGAGGATGTGGATGTGGTGGATGGAGCGATGGGTTTCGAGGAGGCCGGAGGTCGAGCCTGAAGAGACTCCGGAAGTCGTCTGGGGGAAGGGCGAACCGGCGGGCGAGAAGCGAGACAGGTTGTGGAAGTTGAGTTGGATGGCCGAGGGGAGGGTGTGGTACCAGTGGCGAAGGGAGTGGAGGACGTGACGGATGGAGTGGGGGGTAAGATCCCGGTTGGAGGCACGGAGGCGCAGGATGAAGGATTTGATGTAGCAGAGGCGGGTCAGGGCTATTTCTGTGACTGTGGGAGATGTTAGTTGGAGACGAGATTGGTGGTGGTGGTGGTGTTGATGTTTGATCAAAGGGGATGACTCGGAAGGGTTGACACAGGGGCAGTTGTGATGGTGACACTGTGCAAAAAAGGGGCGTTGTAAACAATGACAACAGAGAAACCAAACGCCCGGACTTACTCTCGACCAAATCCGCATTCTCGGGATACGGCGGCTCAGCTTCCGGACTCTGCTACTGGTCAGCACATTGCTCTCTCTCTCTCTCTCTCTCTTAAGGCCGAGAATCCGAGGCATCTAATAGTAGTGTGGAGATTATAGGCCTCCCAATAGCCTCCCAATAGTTCCAAACAGCAATTAAGGAAAATAACTCACCAATTGTCTCTCAACCAACAAGTCGCTACCAATAATGTATCCGTGAGCCGAGCTCAGCCAACTGGAGACGACGGAAACATTAGCATTCCTGGCAACACGGCAGGGAACTACCTCTACCTGTCCAATAGCGACAAAACCGACGATCAGTGGAGAAAGCGGCCGGTTCCGCAGTTCCCCCCTTTGTCACACTACACCATCCATCCATACGTTGTCCATTGGCACCATGCCGGCACGCGCACGCACACGGTCCGTGCAGCAGCAACGACGACATGGAATGGAACGACATCGAAACAAGTTGACGTTGATACAACAACAGAAAAAAAAACGATACGTACCTCGCCAGAAAAACCAACGTCCGCCAACTTCTTCCATGGCCGATTGTTTCCTTGTGCGGCAGCACAGGAGGAGACAAGGCGAGCTGCGCCTGCAAAGAAGAAGAAGAAGAAGAAGAAGCAGCAGCAGCAGCAGCAGCAGCAGCAGCCAGAGTCTGGTGGTGTCTCTGCGCCTGTTGGGCCTCGAGTAGTTGTGCCTGTTTCTGCGCCGCATCGTGATTCATCCTGTAGGCTCTAGAAAACAGGTTTATTCCCGTTTCTTTAAAAGGGGGGAGGATTGCATATCTTGGCGTTAGTGCATCTCGATTCAGTCTGTGTTCGATTCGGACGGGGGAGATGGGCCGTAGATCTCCCCAGCCGTGAATGAGGATCTTCTCACAACTTCTTCTTGTTCCAACCTCGTTCTTTCCTTCCAGTCTAAGCTCCTGTTGCACTGCAATTGGGATTGGCCTTTCATGACATCAGGTGTTTCTAGAAGGAATGAAGGGCAGAAAATGAGGGAAAAAAAAAGAGGAAGCTGAAAGACTGGAAAGCCGGCGGAGAGAAGGAAAGAAAAAAGGCAAAAGGGGGGAAGGAAACACACCAACATAACTGAGCGCCAACCCAGGCTTGTTCATAATCACTGTCCCCGCCAGCAGCGCACACACTCGTACTGCGTCCAACGGCGCGTGCTCGATAACCACATCCAAGTAATGTCTGGCGATATTCGTAAACGCTTCTTGTTCTTGAACCCGGCTGTCCGTCTGCGCATCCATAAGGCACTGAGCACCAAGGGAGGCGACGGCTGTGAGGCAGCTGAGGGCTATTTGCTGTTGCCGTTTCCGGTCCATGGGGGCAGAATTCAGTGTAGAGTCGTCAAGGCCGGAGGCGATTCGGTGCAGAGATTTGAGCTCGTCGCGGGAAAAGGGCTGGAAGAGCTGGTCGATACGGATAAAGTACTCGTTGATAGCGGCGTTGGTAGTCTCGAGGTCGGGAATCGGAATCTGAATGGCTGCCGATGGGAAGGATTGTCGTCGTCCATCGCTGCTGCTGAACGCTCCTCCGGGAGACGGATTGACCGCGGTGCTGCTGTTGTCCACCCATGGTTGCCACGGCGTCGGAGACAAGATGGGCGGCTCGGTCGAGATTGATGCTCGATCACGGAAGGGAGACGCTTCTTCTCGTTCCTGGTGTGCCAGACCGGTCATGGACTGGCCAGAGCTGTGCCGTGACCCAGAAGCCGTAGAGACATTCCCAACCGAGGTCGTAACCGTCGATGGCGATGTGCCGGTAGGGGTATTCATGTTCTCATCCTCATCAACAGCCGCCATGGGGGTGAAAAAATCGTCAGGCGTCTGCTTCAGCTCCTCAATCAAGCGCACCGCCTGCTCGGCCGTCGCTTTCCTCAGCTGCTGCATCGTCTTCTCCAGCAGTGCCAGGCGCGACTTCATGGCCTTGTACCGCGACTGGCCCTCTTCGCCATCGTAACCGCATTGTCGTCCTTTGGCTTTGCAGTTGTTGCACTTGGGACGTTGTCCGCCGCACTAGATTGGGGGGGTTGCCCGTGGTAAACAAGAACCGGGACAGGGGTTAGCAAACACTGACATGACACAGACACACGTTAACTTGACACGCGGGTGGCTAACGGGTAACACGGGTATGCAAGCCACGGGAAATAGGCGAAATGATGGGAAAAGGGTGGCGAAGAAGGACATGAAGGACATGACGAATAGTGTAGAGCACCAGAAAAACAAACAAATGTCACACCTTGGCCTTTGTCTTGCGGCAGTCACGGCATGCTTGAACCACACTGCGCTTTCTCCTCGGAAGCACAATACTTTCCAATCGCTGTGGCCCTTGGACGGATATTGGAAGGCCTGTATTTCCGGCAGCAACTGCAAAGCCTGGGGCAACGACATGGGGGAGATTGTGAGTGTGACGCTGTTGTTGTTGCTGCTCAGCGTGGTCTCGTGGCTGTAGTGCTGGTTGTGCTGCTACTCCCTCAACATCGTGGCCGCCGTTGGTTGGGATGGAAGCCGGTCGAATCTCGCGAAAGTTTTGCATCGGTACCTGCTCGAACTCGGAAAGGACTGGGTAGGGGATGCTCTAGACGAGAACAATGGTCCTTGGGCTGGTGCTGCTGAAATGTCCAGGGGGAGAGGGAACGACAACAGGAAGAACAAAGGTCTGCTTGGGTCCGTAGCCGCATGGAAAGGCACGACAGGGAGTTGAGGTGGTACTGGATGTTGTTGTAATCCACGTTGTTGAGGAACAAGGATGAGGTGGTATTGCTCTCTCTTCCCTTTTTTTTTCGTCCTCCGATGGGTGAGGAGAAAGCGAAGCAAAAGGCTTTCTTTCTGTCAGCGGTGTCTGGCTGCCCTGTCCTGGCCTGGCCTGAATCCCGAAGACCCGATGCTTCTCTTGTGGATCCTACCCGAGCCAGCAACAGCTGCAACCGTGGTAGGCAGTGGCCAGCATAAGCAGCGGGCCAGCTCAAAGAGGTAGCCTCCCAGCTGTCAACAAGCGGTCCGTAAGGAAAACTGAAGCAATACGTATGTACACCCACGCACACACGGGTGATGCTTCCCTGGTCGAGACTGGGGGGGCACGAGGGGGGGTGGGCGGTCACAACGGGACCACACTGCTGCTCAACTGGAACCGGGATCACTTCCAACCAACCCGAGAAAAACACTCCGCGAGGAACCGGCCCCGAATGCCGGTAAAGCCTCTCTTGGCTACCTATCCTTTCTGGCCCAAGGTACAGTGTGCCCGCAGCACGCTTTCAAAGAATGGGATCCAGCCAACGGAGCAGGTTCCTAGACTAGAGGTACTCTTGCCCCACCAAATTGCTGCAGCGATGGATCACTGGACGGAGACGGATGATCAGCGAGCTGTTCCTTGGTACATAGGTCAGGGTGTGTCTATGATCGCAAGATGACGATGATGATTTTCCAATCGGAGGCCCCCATGAACACGGCCAGAGGAGGAATCTTTCTGTGAGAACGAACGTCCACTCGACCACTCGTGTGCCCGCTCAGGGGGCCAGGCATTTACCTTGATTGGGCCCTACGCAGTCTTTGTTCCCTAACAGAAACGACTCAGCGATGGCACGAAAGCCCGGACGCGGGGAACGAAGCGCGTTGAAATCTCCGGGTGCTCCTCTTTGCTGGATGGATGGATGGGATTGCCCCAAGGTGTGAAACGGTTGGAGCACGGCACGGGCAAAACTTGGGTGGTGATAACGACCCCAACGGTTCCGTGGCTTCCACTCTCCCTTCGCCCCCTTTTTTTTCACCTTGATTTTGGTCCAATCACGCCTCTCGAAATCAGCCAGCTCCAGTCAGATATTGTTAGGAACCCTACCAGCTCAGACGCAGCAAGTCGTGGGATCCCGGTTACGTCCACTAACATAATCCGGAGGTGAGTCCGGTCCCCCGCCGCCAACTCCCCGTACCCTGCGTGACAGAACGAGGACCCAAGAGGGGGATTGTACCTTGCGCTTGCGGTCCATGTCACGGCGGAAGCACGAACTTGTTGCTGACTAGCACCGGAGATACAGCTGGCCTTTTTCTCGTCAGTCAGACGTCCATGTCCCCATTGGTGGCCCCGTGATGGATGCATGTGTAATCCGAAATGGATTCTCGATCCCTTCCCCACAGACTTGTTTTTTTCCCGCAAACCGCCGCCCACTCGACTGGTGACCCAAGCCGGGGTGGTCCTGGGCCAGCGGCCTACATACTGCGGAGACTTTGTGGTGAAGGCGAAAGGATCGGACTTTGAAGGTGGCATCGCCGGACATTCCATCAAGCATCTGCGGCCGGATGACTGCAAAAGGAATGGATGGGCCTGACAATCTCCAGGACGGGCTCAACGGTGTTCGACATACCAGACAGTTCTAGGCCCAAATTGTCGACTCGCGCAGGTTTGGTGGGATGGAGCCCCCTACCTATCTCGAGTGTGTTTACTTGCATCTGTGAATGGCCTCATCACCTGATTTTGACAATTTCTGATGGCTTTGCTGCTCGGCCCGTCCTTACAGGGGAAATCAGCCCCACAAATATTGAGGGAAATACCAAGGGCGCATCGAGATGGTTGATTAAGCGAGGCGGTTTTCTCTTGTACCAGGTGAAACCCAGACCTGAAATGTCATCGAGATCTCAGTTGCTGACGGACAAACAGTGGGGAAACGCTACAAGAAAATAAAAATAAAAAAAATAAAAAAAAATAGCGGTGGCCGCCAGGGAGCAGCGAGAATGGACCAACCGCTAAGAGATCAATCCTCCTGGCACACATGACGGCCAACCATCTGGACTTCAGCCGTACACTATGCATCGGTGACTGAACGGGATGCGCATTGCACTCTTGTCATGCATGGAAATGGGATGAGCTACGGCGATGCAGCTGTTTGCCACGCGCTGCTGTGCGACGACGCTGGTATGAGGGTCGTACAGTGAGCGTGCTTGACGACTGACCTGCCACCCGCGCGCGGAGATTTGACGACGTCGAGATGCATCCTCCAACCTCGAACATCACCATCCAACCCTCTTAGCCATCGTCCGAGTTCATCGCCGATATGTCTTCCGCACTAGACGTAGGCCAACCCAAGACTAGTCCATCCGCGGCTCCCTCCTCGACAACCTCCCCGACCTCCTCCTCCCCCTCGATCCAGAACTTCCGCCCCCGCGCCGCCATCCTCGGCGCCGGCATCTCGGGCCTCTCCGCCTCTGTTTCCCTCCGCCGAGCCGGTTGGTCGTGCACCATCTTCGAGCGCTCGCTCTTTTCCAACGAGACCGGCGCCGCCATCACTTTGCCTCCCAACGCCAGCTTGTGTCTCTCGCGATGGGGCTTCGATTTCAACAAGGCAGAGCCGGTGCCGAATTGGAGTATTCGATTTGCGAGGGCGGATACATTGGAGGTTGTCAAGTCGGAGGAATATGAAGGGTTTGGGGAGGATTTGGGAGTGGGAGGTGAAAAGGGACATGGGGGCTCTTGGGGCGTTCATAGGGCAGATTTACATTGGGGGTTGAGGGAGTTGGTTGGGGCGCAGAGGGTAAAGGGGGCGATATCTAGAAGTAAAGAAAATACGAAGGAAACGGAGGGGAAAATAGATGGGGGGCATGGGACGAAAAGGATGGTCGATGGAGGACCGGTCAGAATTGAATTGGGAAGAGAAGTGGTGGGATTGGACTGCGAAGAAGGGGTGATTGAGTTCAGGGATGGAACAAAACTGGAGGGATGGGATCTGGTGGTTGTTGCTGACGGTGCTCACGTACGTTTTACGTGCCCCTTCCTCTTTCTTGCGTTTGCCATTTCCTTCATTTTTTCCCTCCTTTCGCTACCCTCCTTCCCTCCTTGCATCACCTTCGCTAACTTTCTTTCCCCCGACAGTCCAAGCTCCTCCCGTCCATCCTGCCACCTTCCTCGACACCATCCTCGTACCTAACACAACCAACCAGCCGCTCAATCTACCGCTTCCTCCTCCCCCTCACCCCCTCCTCCCCGCTTCTCACCAACCCTTCCCTGCGCCCGCACTTTCTTCCTCACAGCCAAGGCGGCCCCCTTCCCGGCTTTTTGTCATGGCACGATCCTATTAAAGATGTACTCTGGGTCTCTTACCCCTGCCGCGGCGGACGCGTACTCAACAACGCTATCGTGCATGACACGCCGCCGCAACCTAGTGGGGAGGCGGGGGAGTCGTCACCACCGGGTCGGGGTTGGTCGACGGCGGTAGGGAAGGAGGAGGTGCTGAAAGTTTTGAGCGGGTTTCATGGGGCGGTGAGGGCCTTGGTCGATTTGGCTTATGAGGAGGAAGGAGAAGAGAAAGAGGAAGAGGAGAATGGAAGGGGGACAGGCGAGAAAGGCATCAAAGTCCATCACCTCTTCAAAAGACCCGCCTTGAACTCCTTCGTCCGCGGCAAAGCAGTGGTGATGGGCGACGCGGCGCACGTCATGATGCCCACGCATGCAGCGGGCGGAGCCATTGCCATCGAGTCGGCCGCCACAATGGAAGTCCTCTTTCGCGACTTTCCCTCTGATCCTCCGCAGCTTGGAGAGTTTGTCAAGCGCCGTCTGAAGCTGTTTGATCAGCTACGTATCCCGAGGTGTAACTTGACCATGTTGGCGTCCAATGCTGGGCCCCAATGGCTGAACGTCGAAGGCGTGGAGGAAGAGGTGAGGAGGTATCACAAGGGGCCGTTGCCGCACAAGGATACATTGCCGTGGACCAAGGAGTTTAGGCAAGTGTTGTTTTGTTATGATGCGTTTGAGGCGGCGAAGGAGGCGGTCAGGAAAGAAGGGAGGGTAGCCGTGGCGGCTTCCCGTTCTGGGGCAATGGGCTCGGAGGTGGAGGCTGAGAACATGTGAATGGAGATGTGACCGGGTAAGTTGGCGTGATGACATTCTGATGGGAGTGAGCTATTGAGCCTCATGTGATTGTGATAGCGGGATGCTTTACGTAGGTATCTTGGTATTCTGGATACGGAAATGGCTTCGTCTGTCCCGTCGTTTCATCCTTCTTTGGCTGTTCCAACCGCACATCAGGTACCCAACTTCCCCAGACACAATAGGAAAAGAACAATGAAGTCACCCAGTTTCTGCCAAGACGGTATAACAACAACGTGGTTTTCGGAAGATGGTTGACACGGGACAAGATTCCCCGTTCCTGCAGCAACATAAACTCGGCAAACCCGGCAGCCGGTTATTTAGCCTCTTTATTAGGTGGCTCTCCCGCAACAACTTTCCAACTTCCAAACGGTTATATCCCGGCGAACAGCACGACCGAGTGGTTATTCCCTTTCTGGCTGTTGACAAAATTCCTGGGCGTCTTATCACATGTGCATGTGTCTGTCCACGTCAACCAAAAGTTTGGTATCGAGGGTCCTTGAGCCAAGAAGGGAGAGTGAGTGATCAATTGTGGGGGGAGCCGGCGAAAAAGAAAGTCCCGAAAGAGCTTCAAAACCTTTCATATGCCCTCCTCCCCTCATCGGGCTTGTTTCCCTCATCATGCCGTGATCTTTCGGTCTCCAGGTTCGGACCAAATAACCCTTCATTGTCAAAAGACAGGAACTCGATCAAAATGAAGTTCCTCAACCTCCTCGCGCGGAGCTGGTGGTCCCTTCCAGCTCTCGCCAACGACTTTTCCCTCCCAGACCGACAACTCCTCCGCGCCCTCGCCCGTCGTCAACATCAACCCCCCAACGGCACCTCCCTGTCCGAACTCCGCGCTCTAGGTCTTGACGATTCCCCCCACGAACCGGTTCATATCCGTCAAACCACCACCGGCCGATGCGGAGCCGACTATGGCCGCTGCCCCGACAGCCTCTGCTGTTCCGAGTACGGCTACTGTGGCGACACCGTAGACCACTGCTACCCGGGCTTTGATTGCCAGCCTGCTTATGGTGTCTGTGGATGGCCTCGACCCGTGGCTACCACCTCTACCACTACGACGTCGACCACCGTAAGGTCGACTAGCAGCACATCCACCACCACCACCAGCATTACCTCGACACGCAGCAGCACCAGTACCACCAGAAGCAGCAGCAGTAGCAGCAGCAGCAGCAGCAGCAGTAGTTTCGTCCCCATCCCCACTGGAATCATCACCACCAACGGCCAATGCGGCAACTCCACCATCTGTCCCGGCATCACCGGCGCAGGTTGGGGCCCCTGCTGCTCTCGTTTCTTCTGGTGCGGTTCCGGACCCGAGTACTGCGGCGCTGGATGTCAATCTGCTTTTGGTCTTTGCGAGGATGATTCCGGATCCCCTGGGACCACCACTACCACCACTTCCACTTTCACCACCAGTACTACTACTTCAGCCCAGACAAGAACCAGCACGAGCGCCGGACCGACATTCACCTTACCGCCCGGCCAAGTGTCAAGTACAGATGGGCGGTGCGGAAACGGACAGAACTGTTTGGAAAGTGCCTATGGCCGGTGTTGCAGCCAGTTTGGATGGTGTGGAGATGGGGATCAGTTCTGTCCGTATATCGTGGGTTGTCAGCCCGAGTTTGGGTACTGTGATCCGCAGCCGGCGACTTTCTGATTTTGTTTTGTATGTCTGTTTGGTGGTGGTCGGCTGGAAAGGGAGATTAGTTGGTTTAGACAGCGAGTTTCAGGCCTTGACGTTCATGGATGGAAAATGGATTTCGGACAGGACAAAGAAGCGAAGGCTGTTTGGCCATGTACGTTTTGCTGTGGGTAAATGTTTGAATGATGCACTCCGATGCCTTCGCTCCTTAATGCTAGTCTGGAGATGGTAAGGTAGAGAATTCCATGGATCACGGCCGGCCAAAACCTCCTCGGTCAGATCCTTCGAGTACCCAGGTTCTCCTACTCGCTACAGCTCCCGCCTTGTCCTAGGGACAACATGCCCAAATCATCCCTCCAAATATCCCGAGGCCGCCTTGTTCATCGTCAACCTTACGTCAATCCCTCCCCTTTCTCTCGCTTGAACAAAAGTCGTAAAGCCATCCAACCTCGATATCGTCGTGAATGGCGGGGCTGCCAACACTGCCTCAACATGATCCAGCGCTGTCCGTTCCCCATACAGCTCGTACTTGCTCCAATCCGTATTCACAAAGCACCACGTCGCAAACAGGTTGAAGTCGACTTTGGCCAGGCGCTTGTCGGGCAAGTCACACATCCAGTTGGTGACCGCCAACGCGTATTCGGTGCTGGCAGTCTCGGGATGGCGTATCGCCTCGTGTACTAGTTTGGCCACCTGCCAGAGCGGGGCATCGTACAAGTCAATCGTATCGTCCTCAGCCACGGTCAAGAAAACGGGAAGAACGGCATTGGGAAAGTAATGACTCTTTCCCATCCCCTTGCTTTGTCCAGCGAGGTCGAGGCGGTTGGAATGGGAAAAGTTGATGTTGGTCCAAAAGCTGGGTGTCGGGACGCTTTTGGGGTCGCCGGTGGGCATACGATGGGCTTGATCGGAAGCGGCGCGGACGCGGGCCTGGTGGGCTTGCTGCCACAGGTGGGCAAGGAGGGCTTCAAACGTGGATACCCAGGAGTCGGAGTCGTTGGGGTTGGTAGCTTTGATTTTGAGGTTGGCAAGTTCAGAGGGGGAGTAGTGCAGATAAGTGTCGGCAATAGCCTTGGGAGGTTCTTGGACAGCAGTGTCTGAAGAGACTGTACTCTTCATGTGCTTGTCGGCATCGCCGCCTAGTGCTTCGCCTGGATGGAAGGAGACTAGGTAGCCCAAGGGCGGATTTTCAATGGCATGATTTTGTGATTCCTCGTTGGGGGTGGTTATTCGGTCGGCGGCAAAGGGGATGATGTGCGGTGGGAGGTCAAGGACCCCGGCTTCACAACGAGAAAGCTTGCGGTAGATTTCGCACAGATCTTGGTATAGATGAATGCACCCCTCTGCGGCGCAGACGGCGTGGGAGATGCGATACCCGATGGCGACACCGCCGCACTTGAACTGGGTACGTTGGATCACCAGAAGGGGACCGCGCTGGATGCCCGTTTCCTCGTCGATAGAGGGATCCCAGTGAGCCGTAGTAGCCAGCATCGCTTCTGTAGGGAATGAGGGAGGAATCAGCGCTTCGCCTGCCCCTGGGAGATCGGTCATCTCAATATGCTCATGATCTGGAGACGGCGACAGCGGCTGGTCGCAAGATGCTTCAAACAGGGAGACGCCCGTGCCCAGCTTGGTGATACTCCGGACGCCATTGGAAGGGTCAACGGCGAGGCGGCCCGTCAAATGGGGGTAGTAGTTGAGGAGGTTGCTGATGGCGTCACGCAGTCGTGCGATGGGAATAAAATCCCTGGCCTGAAGGAAATCGGGCTTCTCGTAGACGTAGACCAGATCGGTGGGGACGGCAGTATGGGCAAAGTGATCCAAGGGCCCAAATCGGAAAGGCGACGGGAGGTGGTCTACGCTCTTGGGGTTGGCGAACTTGATGATGTGTGCGGCCGTGATGTTGACGACCGGGGTTTGGCCGGGGGTTTGGCTGGGGGCCGATGTCGTCGTCGCCGGCATGTTTGCGAACTCAGGTTTGGTCAGATTTAGGGATGGAATGACATCAGCCCCATTGGCCGTGGTGGGCGGACATGATATATGTCGACTGGCGTGTGCCTGTTTCCATGGTGGCGGTGGTCGTCGTTGCTGGATCTCTGTCGTTTCATTGCTGACTAGCATGGATGGTGATGAAAGATGAATCATGGTGGTTCATGTTGACAAACGCCGACCCAACTTGAAGAGTGCAAGTGTGGCTTGGCAAGGTGGGGACTGTGGCGGGCCTGCTCAGAAAGCTGTCCCCACCTGTTTCGTTCAGCCCCACAATGTCTGTATTGCTGTGAGTGGCTGAGGAAGTGTTGCAGTGATCAACGTTACTACTAGCCACGAGTGACTGAAAACCAACGTGATCGTCTTCCCTTATTGACCCGGGGCCCCTCGTCGCTTCTTTCTCCCCTTACCCTGATCTACAACGGTTTTCATTCCATGTCATTTCCGACTTCCTTTCCCATCTCTTCCAAGACTTTTCAATATCAAAGTCTGGAGGAATGACCTAAGGTCCAGGTGAGAGCACCAGACCTGGGAAGCGGGGAAACCTGCACTAACAAAGCTGTTGGGACGAAAAGCGAACGGAAAAGCCCGTCCGTCAGCACTGCTCTCTGTTGTTGCCCGCTGGACGTATAGCGCCAAGAGCCTCAACGCCGTCCAGGTCCCTCTTAGTTTGGTCCCAGTCTTGGTTCGGTCCAATTCCCAACACCAAAAGACCTACAACACGCGATATCCGCAACCGAAGCAAAAGGAAAAAGGGGCAATATCAAGAAAGCACTGCAACACCCGCAATGTCTTGTGTTGCCAAAGTGAATCACCTCAGCTCGAAACTGATGCTTTGCCCGTCTCAAAAATGTCGTCCCTCCTTGTCCATGCATATGTGAAGGGCACACACCAGTAACGCCATGAACGCCACCAGATTGCGTTTTCACAACTATCGCTATGCCTGTTGCTTGATATACCCGTACCCATCCCCTTGAGTTCCATTGTATGCGATCGTAGGAGGTTCCGGGGCACCACGTCACTGGCTGACGCCAATCTCCGGGCGGCTTACCATCAACCAAACATTTAAAAATGTGGTTATTCATGCTTAATCTTATTTGGAACAAAAGGGCGTTGGTGGTGATACACAAACACACAACAATAAACCGGCCCTCTTTGGTAGACAAGTGGTGTGGTACCTATCGTCCTCCATATGACAGCACAATGATCCAACGTCTAACAGTCGCATTGCTGATGGGGGTTCACAAAGCGGGTAGCTAGGCAGACCATAACTGAAACATGGTCATCGGTTTGTGCCTTTAGTTCCTTTTTCGAGAATCGGGGGTGGGAAAGGTCCTATTTATCTCGAGACACTTGACGCCATTAACATCCCTTTTTGACCAAAAGCAGCGGGGGAGGTGCAACATCGAATACGAAGAAAGGACCGAAGGACGAGAAGCCGGCGGTAAACATGGCTCTGGCGGACGACAAGTCCGCACCGCTCATCCCAACAACCGTACAGAGCACCTAGTGACATGATCTCGTGATGCTTCTTCGTGGCAGTCCACCGCCAAGGATCGAGTCCAGTCCCCAGGACAGGGAGCTCAGCTTATCAGCTCGGTTCACGTAGCAAGCTCGAGGAGCTACCGCAGAGGCGGGTATCATTAAGCCATAACAACACGTGCGACCGACCATCGTCAACGGTCGTTCTGTTCGTGGTGGAGATGAGGCAATGCCGGAGGACAAGGGGGAGGAGGGTGGCCAAACCGCTGGCAATCCGATGCGACTGCAGCATTCAGAATGGATCCTCACTCCAAACCCCGGGCACGGCGCAAACACCCGCTCCTGCAGGCGAAGCCGTGTGTGGCTTGAGTTGATGCATGCACTAACACTAAGCTGAGAGTTATCGGTGGCCGCGGCTACTGTAATTGACAGACACCAAGGGATATCCAGCGAGTTCTCAAAACAAACATCGTGATGGCGACAACCGCAGCAACTGGACGACGCAGGAAATCCAAGACTCGATTAATCCCGTAGGCGTCTGCTGAGCTTGCTTGACGGGTAACCGCATCCCGATTTCATACCTCGATGCTTCCATCCACCCGACGGCTTCATCCACAGATCGAATACCTCTAGTGTAAGTGTTAGTGCCTGTTAGTGCTGGCACTTGTTAAACACGCAATTTCATTTCCCCGGCCTTCCTTTCGACCTTTCGTCTTTCCAATTACCGAATATCCAATGGCTGAAAGGCATTCAGGCTCATCCGGTCAACGTCCCGGATCTACACCTTTCCCCTTTCAATCCAACCAACTATGTATAGTGAACACCACGTAGGAAAATCCGCATGCAAGGGCATCAAGGGAAATGATTATGATCGGGACTCGCGCTACATCAGCTCATTGGGGATCCCAGGACATGGTGGCCACGAGAACCAAGGTTGACAGCTCAACCAAGTTGTTCGTGATAGTGACTGCATTGAACACGTCGAAGGAGCCATGGAAACAAACAAAGCCGAGACTACCTCTACTTAGATAGCATGGCGCAACAGGGATCCCGAATCGGTAGGAATCCAGAACAGTACAGGGGGGCTCTGGTAATGTATGTACACTAACATGGAGACCGGGGTAGGTGTAAGACTGGGGGATTATTAACAGCTTGGCGTAGCATGTACCTACCAAACCCCCGGGGAGATGAGCTAGTATCAACACATGGTAAAGGAGATGGATACAGTAATGTGCCTAGTAAATGCTAGACCCAATAAATGCAAAGACCCAGTAAATACTAGGAGTTTCCGTATCCAAATTATTTTAGTATAGCATAGCCTGCAAGCTGCAATATGCAAGCCGCTCAACCAGCCCACTACATAAATTTGCAGCTAATAGGGTAGCTACCAGGGGATTGTGGCACCCCTATTACCTATATTGGGGCTATTACTGGCTATCAGAACCCCTCATTAGAACTCTCACTGGCTATCAGAACCCCTCATTAGAACTCTCACTGGCTATCACGCAAGCCCAAATGTAAGTACCAGTAAATGCAAGGACCCAGTAAATGCAAGGAAAATGACCTGCCCGAGTGGTTTGCATTTACTTGGCACATTACTGTACCTTCCAAGAGTACCAGCATCTGACACAGAAGCGGTCTAGATAGTATCATCGGGTTACTTTAAGCTTATACGAGTCCTCCATTCCTCTGGCATCGGCACCTTCGGGGCGCCAGTGGGCAACGACATGGCCAAGACAAGCGAAACTAAGAGAAAACACAGACCGCCAAGTCTCAGCATCACGATGCTTGCAGTGATGGAAGAGATACGTACCCAGGTACCCTTCCCTACCTCCACAACGGACGCTATGGTAGATCTCTGCCTCCGATCCACGGGCCAAGAGAGGCTTCAAGCCACCAATCCGATCTGTGGACTCGACCCAGGATAGTTGAGAACACTCGGGACAACGCCGGATATTGCAAACCACCCACCATCCGCATGTTCACCATGTTCACCAGCAAGAGGGTGTAGTCACCTCTAAGTAATGTAGGTGGTGTGTAGAGCTAATTTCGAACCGCGTATTGCGGAAAAGTTCCAGGTTTCCATTGATGCTTGTTCAGTCTTCGGCCAAGCAGCCAACACCCTCCCGGAAGGCGCTAGTCGATGGTGTTTGATATCAGCCGGCTCCTTCCCGCCTGAGGTGGCTTTCGTTGCTTCGCATGCGCGATGGCGCCGGACTAATATTAGACTAACAGGGAGAGACGGAAGGAACGACTGCTGGTGTGTCTCCTACTCTGGTACTGACCTGACCAGACCACGCCATGGGCCAAGCCATGAATGAGGAGTGCCGCCATCCACTCAATGCACACTCACAATTAGTACATGACTCCATCGTACCTTCATTTTCTTACCTCCTTGTCCATAAGGTTTGAAGAAAGCACTCATTACTAGACTGCCATCTCCCCGATTCCACGACCACTCAGTTTTGGCCCTTCTCCTCTCTTTTCTCCTTTCTGTCATGATTTGAAAACCACAACTAAGCATCTTTTACTCGACGACTTCCAACAGTATCTTTTCTCAGACCTGGAACTAATACCCGATCCCCATCACAACTCCCCCGCAACTTGACCGTTGGGCGCAGAGATCATCATCATAATTACATGATTTTTTGTTGTTGTTTTGCTTTTGCTACTCCTCGCTGCAGCGATCAACCGGCTACCGTACCATTGCCGACTCGGCTATCCTCGCTATCCTCGCCTCCCGCCTCACTTCCTTTCACATACTGCGGGACCGACCCACGACTCGGAGGTAAAGACACCAAGGACACACCTGGCATCTTGGGCGGCTTTGATCTTCCCGTCTCCGATCGTAACGGCTTTTACTTTTCAAGTGCTCCACCTGTTCATCCCGACCGAATCGCCAAACGTTCGTTAACCGCCCGAAACCGCACATTGCAGCGTCACCATTGCTTCTTGATTTCGTTTCGGCGTCATCATCACACCGCTGGTGCGGGCATCAGTCCAGAGCAGACGGGAATTCTTGTACCGGTGTTTCACTGCAGCAGTCTCGAGTGCAAAACAAAAGAGAGCAGCCGGCAGACAAAGCAGGGATCGTCGTGGTCCAAGGACAAGCAGACGTTCAAGGGTACCAAGCGCTTTGTTCAACCATAGCATCCCGGTAAAGCCGTTGAACCACTGCATCTGTTGCCCGCACACACGTCCCTAGCCGACAGACGCATCAGCCCACCAGGACATCATCGCCTGTTGATCGAACAGCACCCGAGCTCGAGGAACACAGAGGCAGATAGACAGACAGACACTATGGGTGCCCACGCTCCAGTCGTCTCCTCGGCCTCCGTGGTCGAGATAGATAAAAGCCCTCCTCCCTCGCGGCAGACAACATTCCTGCTGTCACCACCATCAGAGAAGAAAGCTGGCCTACATCCTGTCTCAGTCTCCATTACACCTATCCCACCTCCCACGCCCACCACCAAGTACACCCTTTCCCATACCCACTCTCATCAGTCGAGCACTTTGACGGCCGTTGGAAGAGGCTCCTCCAGAGGCATCATGGCCCCCTTTGCCAACATGTCGCACCCCTTGCGCACCAATCTTGTCTTTGGGATAGGCGAGTTTGTCGGAACCTTCTTGTTCTTGTTCTTTGCCTTTGCTGGGACACAGGTCGCCAACACGGCTCCGGCCAACGCCGCGAAGCTACCCTCGACGAGCAACCTGCTGTACATTGCCTTCGCTTTTGGCTTCAGTCTGATGGTGAACGTTTGGGCCTTTTTCAGGGTTACCGGCGGTGCTTTTAATCCTGCTGTAAGTTTTTACTCTTTCCCATTTTCCCAGACCATGAAACATACTAACACACATATCACAGGTTACGCTCGCACTTGTCCTCGTTGGTGGCTTCCCCGCCGTTCGTGCTGCCATTGTCATCGTTGCTCAGATCCTGGGCGCCACTGCGGCTGCTGGGTTGGTTCAAGTGATTTTCCCTGGTCCGTTGGCTGTGGAAACTACTCTGGGAGGCGGAGCGACTGTTGCTCAGGGCTTCTTCATCGAGCTATTCTTGACGTGCGAGTTGGTCTTTGTCATTTTGATGATGGCCGTCGAGAAACACGAAGGGACGTTTGCTGCTCCAGTAGCCATTGGCCTGTCTTTGTTCCTGTCTCAGTTAGTCGGTAGGTTCTTTTTCCTTCTCTTTCCACTTTTCCAGATCATATGCTCACGGTCGATCAACAGGCGTCTACTTCACCGGCGGCAGTCTCAACCCTGTCCGCTCCCTCGGCCCGGCCATTGTCAACCGCCACTTCCCTGGATACCACTGGATCTACTGGCTGGGCCCCGTGCTCGGTGCTCTCCTGGCTTGCGGGTTTTACAAGCTGTTGCAGGCCCTCCGGTACCACGATCTCAACCCGGGTGCGGACGGCGACGGTCGTGGCGACCTTGAGGGTGCCCGTCACGCGCATCAAGATGGATTGAAACACACTCCTACCAACCTTACGCAACCCCTCGCTAATGGCGAGACGGCCGCACTCCACAACCAGCCGGCGCAGGTACCGAGGGAGGAGTTGTGATGGCCCAAAAGACGTGGGGGGCGATGATTGGTGATTCCTGAGTGGGTGCTGCTGTTCGTGTGTTACTGACAAGTACTCGCTTGGCATTCTTTTCTTTTTTTTCTTTTTTCTTTTTTTCTTTTTGCTTCTTTTGTTTTTGGATGACCTTTGGCGTTGGGATTAGAATGGATGCCTCTTATGCTTTGAACGGAACGGATACTTGAACTGAAATCTTGGTTGGGACGAGAAATGGACAATGGATAACGAATCCCTGAGTAACGACGATGAAAAGGGCACTTACAATGCGACCAGACCTATAGTACCAGAGCCCCGTTGTGGCCATGCTAGTAATGCCTACTACCTACTACCTAGTACTGCCATAGTGATCAGTATCAATTAGAAAAATAATGATATGGTGAGAAGAAGGGTACACAGACTGACCTTTGTGTTGCGTGACTGTTGCTGGAGATGGGCTTGTTGGCGGTGATTTTCAGGGGACCGATGTCGATCTGTCAACAGGTGTAACCAGCAACGATGAAGAAAGCAAGCAGCAGACGAGAACAGCCAAAGGACAATAAAAGGGGCCATGAATTGCATCCGTTCCGTTCCGTATTTCCAAAATGCGAACAACAAGGACGCGTTTGGGGTATCCGCAGCGTAGGTGTGTACAGACCAAATAACCAAAAAAATAAGTAAGTATGCTGTACAACTATTTGTAGTAGTAGATCATCGATGCGAGAGAGGAAGGGAACCAGCACCCTTCCTCCGTCTTTTTGTCTCCCGGTGAACCCGAAAATACCCAGATCTATCCAACTGCTCTTCGCTAAAGCCAACTCTAGCTCCTCCTTTTCTCTTCACATCCCTCCTCTTTCTTGTCAGATTCAAACAGACAGACAGACCTCCTCTAGTCTAACCCCTTCCACCATTATAATCAGCGCCCCCCGCCTTTCGTAGTCTCCGCACAATCTCCTCCTCGTCAATGTCGCGCACCTCGCTCGCATCCACCGTGATACTGTGATGCGCCAGCACGCGCTTGACCTCCCCGGATTCGATGGACACACGCGCTTTGCGCATCACCTTGGTCTGCTCGCCGATCCAGATGATCAGGGCAAACTTGACGCGCACCGACTCGGCGTCATTGGCGTACTGGATGCGCACGTACGCGTATTGCACTTCGGTGGGCGATAGGTGGGATAAAAGCTCGGGAATGCCGCCGGAGCCGGTGGCTTTGAGAGAGAGGGTTTGTGTGGTGGGCGAGGCGTTGGACAGGAGAAGCCAGTTCTCCGGCGAGCGGTCGGAGCGGACAGCGTCGTAGGCGGTGAGGATTTCGGGGGAGGAGAGGGACATTTTGGCGAGATTATTTGGGGAGCCGTGGGAGTGGTAGTATCTTGTCGTTGTTCTCGTGGTTGTAGGAGGTCGTACGGAGAAGAGAGGACCTCGAAAAAGGGGGGTTCGGTGTTCAGGGGATGATGGTTCGGAGTGTCCGAGTCGGTCGCGTTGCCGTCAAGGCCCGTGTGGAAAGTAGGTAGGATTAGGTAGGTATATTAAAAGGTGGTATTCGCAATCCGGAAGCCGTCAATTGACCGGTGTGTAGTTGTTGTTTCGAGAGTCCGGAGACGGAAGACGGTGACCTGGTCGGAGTGAGGTGGTGTTAAAGGGGGTAAAAGACGGGGAAGGGGGGCCGAGTCGGATGTCGTGTGCCACGTTGGCGAAGGGGAAGCTCCCCCGGGGCCGTCCGTTAAATTGTTAGTGCACCCCGCCAAGCTGGAACCAGGGGCAGCTTCAGCGGGAAGACGGCATGTTTCAGGGGCTGGCCCGCTGACGGACGGGGGACTTGATCTGCCCCTGGGACGAGGTCCAATTGGAGGGGTGTCTCTGGTCTTGGCAGCTGCGTCCATGCCTTGAAACAGCTGGCACGTGATCACCCTGAAGAGCTCATTGCCAGCTGACAGGTCGTCGTCCGGGTTGAGTCCCTCTTCCACCTTTCATCGTCATCGCCAACTAGACTACCTACCTACCTCTAGCCAACCAAAAACAGACCGGCGACCACCAAATCACCACGATAGCGACAGCTGAAAGCAAACGACAGCCCAGCTTCACGTCGCACTTCACACGCTAATCAATCATTTTTCCGAATTCTGCGCCGTCGTGCTCTACACCATCCATGTCCGTTCTATTGCCAAATTGATTTGGCTTCTTCATCATCAAAAGCTAGAATCCAAACCCATTGCTCCACCGTCCTTGTCCAGTTCCATCACGGCTCTTAGTATGGTGTTTTCTCGACTGTCCAACTATCGCTTTCCCATCTCTGTGCTCAATACTATCTACCTATCTAACACAGCCAATGCCCGCATAGTAGCATAGGACTAACACCATCTATGTACAGTTCCACCACGACGCCAATGACATTGAATAATCACTGATCATCGCCAACTGGGCTGATTGCCTATCACAAGTGGAGATGGCTGCTCACGATCCCAGTAAGCAAGGGCTCCTCGGCTCCACGTCCACCGAGCATCACGCCGATTACTCGTCCGACTCCGACGACAACGTCAACATCAACACCACCCCCAAACGTCCCGCCCACAGACAGAAACAACAGCGAACACGACGCACCCAGCCCACCAACCCAACACTACCAACCTTCCAGCCACTGCCCACCCGCAAACCATGGCTAGCTAGACGCAGCAGGTACTGCCTCATCTTTGCCGCCTTTGGGCTCATCCTCTTCGTCATCCTCCTCGTCGGGGGAGGTCTAGGATACAAGGCCGCTCTCCAAGAACCTCCCTACGGCCTCTCACCACCATGGTATCCTTCTCCAAAGGGTGGCATAGCCGGCACCTGGTATGAGTCCTACCAAAAGGCGGCCAAACTGGTGTCCAAAATGACCCTGGCCGAGAAAGTCAACATCACCACCGGCGTCGGCTGGCAAATGGGTCTGGCAGTCGGCACCACCGCCCCTGCTGTGCTCGTCGGCTTCCCTGCTTTACAACTACAGGATGGACCGCTGGGTATCCGAAATGCGAACAACATCACTGCTTTCCCAGCCGGAATCACCGTCGGCGCGACCTGGAATCGTCAGTTGATGTACGCCCGTGGTAAAGCACACGCCATCGAGGCCCGTGCCAAGGGGGTAAACGCCATTCTCGGCCCCTGTGTCGGTCCTCTTGGTCGCATGCCCGCCGGCGGTCGCAACTGGGAGGGTTTTGGCTCGGATCCCTACTTGCAGGGCATCGCGGGGGCGGAAACGATCAGAGGCATCCAGTCCGAGGGCGTCATGGCGACCGTCAAGCATTTCATTGCTAACGAGCAGGAACACTTTCGCCAGCCGTGGGAGTGGGGACTGCCGAATGCTATTTCCTCCAACGTGGACGACAGGACATTGCACGAGTTGTATGCCTGGCCTTTTGGCGACGCGGTCAAGGCGGGCGTGGCCAGCGTCATGTGCTCATATAACATGGTCAACAACAGCTATGCGTGTGGGAACAGCAAGTTGCTGAATGGGATCCTCAAGGACGAGCTGGGGTTCCAGGGGTTTGTCATGAGTGATTGGCTGGCGCAAAGGGCAGGAGTCAGTACGGCGTTGGCGGGGTTGGATATGACGATGCCGGGTGATGGACTCAGGTGGGCGAATGGCAAAAGTCTGTGGGGGAAGGAGTTGAGCAAGGCGGTGCTGAATGGGAGTGTACCGGTGGAGAGGATGGATGATATGGCTACGAGAGTGGTGGCGGCTTGGTATCAGATGGGCCAGGATAATGAGGAAAGGTGGCCAAGGGATAAGGGGCCGAACTTTTCGAGTTGGACGAACGAACAGATGGGGGTTTTTAGCCCAGGGAGCCCGACGGAGCAGGAGACGGTGGTGGTTAACCAGTTTGTGGATGTACGGGCGAATCACTCGGTTATTGCGAGGCAGGTGGCGGCCGAGGGGACGGTGCTGTTGAAGAACGAGGGTCCGGTCTTACCACTTAGCCGAGCGGGACTTCGCAAACGCCAGGCCGCCAATAACACCCCCGACAGGGTCAAAATCGGCATCTTTGGCGAAGACGCCGGTCCCTTGCCCGGAGGTCCCAACTCCTGCCCAGACCGCGGCTGCAACCAGGGCACTTTGGGATCCGGCTGGGGTTCAGGGGCTGTGGAATTCCCATACCTGGTCACACCTGTCGAAGCTCTCCGCAAGCAGTTCGACTCGTCAAAGGTTGAGCTGCACGAGCATCTATCCAACCAACTTCCTTTTTCACTTTCTGAAAAGGCCGTGATCGATGACCTTGACCTTTGCCTCGTCTTCGTCAATGCCGATGCCGGCGAGGGCTTCAAGGCGTGGGAAAACGTCCGTGGTGATCGACCTGATCTCTTCCTACAGAAGAACGGCGATGCTTTGATCCAGGAAGTAGCTGCTAGGTGCGGCGGCGGGTTTAGTGATGTCGTGGTCGTCATCCATGCCGTCGGCCCGGTGGTGATGGAGCGCTGGATCGATCTCCCCCAGATCAAAGCCGTTGTGTTCGCTAACCTTCCCGGTGAGGAGTCCGGAAACGCTTTGGTGGACGTGCTGTTCGGTCATGTCAATCCCTCCGGCCATCTTCCCTTTACTATCGGCAAATCGTTAGAAGACTATGGACCAGGCGGACAGGTCCTCTACCTCCCCAACGGCGTCGTCCCGCAGCAGAATTTCAGCGAAGGGCTGTACGTCGACTACCGATGGTTTGACAGGATGGGCATCACCCCCCGCTTCGAATTCGGCTACGGCCTGAGTTACACCCCTTTTGAACTCGGTAACGCCACCGTCAAGACTATCCGGCCCAAATCCGCCCTACCTTTTCCTCGTCTTGATGCGCTTGTGGAACCGCCCACCTACTCAACCGACATCCCTCCGGTCGAAGAGGTCCTCTGGCCTGAAGGCGACAAGGAGATCAGGAGGTTGGACAAGTACATCTACCCGTATCTCTCTCCAGATGAAGCACACAACGCTGTGGCATCCAGAAAAGGAGGCAAGAAGTATCCTTATCCTGATGGCTACGACACCCCCGCACCTTTGAGTCAAGCAGGCGGTGACGAGGGTGGGAACCCCGAGCTCTGGGCGGTTTATGCCAAGGTGACAGTGGACGTGCGGAATACGGGCAAGGTAGCGGGTTCCGTGGTGCCGCAGCTGTATCTCTCTTATCCTGATTCTCCGAAGGAGTCTGCAAATGGAACGGTCCAGGTAGATTTCCCCGTCAAGGTACTAAGGGGGTTCGACAAAGTCTACTTGGAGGCGGGCAAGTCGGCAAAGGTGGAGTTTAACTTGACGAGAAGGGATCTGAGTTATTGGGATGTTGAAGTGCAGAATTGGGTGATGATTATGGAGGGGGCGTATACTTTCCATGTGGGACAAAGTAGTAGGGATTTGCCGGTGTCTGTTACATGGTAGAGGGAGGACTGACTGCGGATTACCCCAATAATATGAGATGATGTGATGTAGTTTTGGCTTGATGTATAGTTCTTTGAACAATTGATCGTTTGATTACTTTCCCTATTGACCTGGTTTGATAAAGGTAGTGGCAATGCTCGCCTCACAAGTTTTCTTGTCAACCTATCTTTCCATCAATGATGTTCTTTTTTTTTCTCTCCAGCTGTATGGCCACTTGTTAAGCTACCAAACCAACCTGCCTTTCTGTTCACAAACCATAGGTAATCACTTGCTTGACCGAAGGGTTGTGATGTGCAGAGTTGTCTGGGCGCAAGAGGAAAGAAATGTTGTCCAAGTCAGACAAACGATGGATTGATGTCGGGGTACGTACCTCCTAGAAGTGGGGAAATCCTGTAAGTCAGACAGAGACCCAATACCAGAGAGCACGCCCAGGGGTGAATGAGCGAACGAACACAGCCGAAATGGGAAAATGCACTGCCCCAACTGGCTGCATGATTGGTTGGCTCACAGCTTTGAGTGGAGCATGTCGGATGCTCATTGTGCTACCCCACCTTCAGCCCGGGCACTCACCACAGATCGTGATCCACTTCTGTAACGAGGGGGAGGGGAGTGCCCTGAAAGGGACCACCCGGGACCCGACGTCTATTTCTTTGCCTCCTTCTTGACTTCTTCTCCCGATTGACTTTCTCTTCCCTTTCCCCATCAACCACAACACTCCAGTCTGGTGACTCGGACTGGCAACCCCCTTTGCATTTAACCCCTTCAAGACAATCTTCTCCCGGCCTCGATCGAGAGGCCGTCCATACTCTGCAAGAATGGCCGCCGCAGCATGCTCAGCAGCCGCCAGCGTCCGCGTCTCGGTCTTCTTCTTCCAGCCTGCAATACTCGTTGCAGGACACGCCGCCCTTTGACTTTGACTTTTCTTGCGATTTATTAAGCGATTACGATTTCCTTCATCATCAGCAACAAGACTTTAACTGGGCCGACCCTCTTCTGTTTCCCGACCAACGGGATCTGACATCTCTCGCCTTTCCAATCTCGACTACGACTACTACTACTACTTGCGACACTGCTCCAACTTCAACCACTGTCTCGCCCTTTGCCCCGACATTACCTTTGTCAGTAACACCATCGCCACTCCTCGCCGACACCAACGACATCTTTCAACAACAAGGCTGGGCCGACCCTTCACCATCGGCACCACCACAACCGCCCATGCACCTTTCTCTTGACCATCATCACCTTTCCTCCGACGACCCATACGCCGCCGCTTCCCTCAGCCATGTCACCGACACGCTCTCCACCACCATGGGCTTGACCATGCCAAGTGGACGGAACACAACAACCCTGGACCTGTACAGGACAGCCAGCAACAATTCCGGCAGCAGCAGCAACAACAACATGGGCTACAGTCAACTCAACGCCACCACCTCTTCCAGTTCTCGCGATCACTCAACCACCCCTCCCACCTCGCAATCTTCTGGCTCCACTTCCCCGACAGCATCGACCAGCCATGACGGGCACGGGGGGCAAGGCCATCTCTACCCCGGCCTAACCCTCCCGTCTCCCGTCGATGCTTCCAGCAAGCCCAAGCGCGGTCGTCCACCCGGTCCCAAGAAGCGCGCTCTTTCTCCTAGCGTCGCTGCCGAAGGCGAGCTCACAGACTCTGAGGACATCCTGATCAAGCGGCAGCGCAACAACATTGCCGCGAAAAAGTACCGCCAGAAGAAGATTGACAGGATACAAGAGCTCGAGGAGGAGGTGGATCAGATCAAAAAGGAGAGGGACGAGTTGAGGCTGATGCTGGCCAAGAGGGATGCGGAGGTGGGCATGTTGAGGGAGATGCTTGTCATGGCTAAGCAGGGGCGGTGACGTACCTGAGAGATCTGTATTGGGGTTCAAGGGCAATGACTGATGATACAGGCAATGGCAATAGGAATGGGCAAGACACAAGTCAGTTGTTAGCAAGGCGTTCTTTTGAGATGGAAGGACATTAGGGATGGAGGATTATGATTCGAGACTCAGACGATGTCGGCTCTTCTTAATTGACATTTGTGTTTTTTTTTTCCGCATTGCAGCTTTGATCTGACTGCTCGGAATAGGGAACGAGATTGCATCATGGTGAATGTGAAGCGTGCTGATACTTGTCGTTGACTTACCCGTAAGTAATGAAGTGCTTATTTCCCACTGTGTTTGACCTAGTGGTTTACAGATGGCGATGTAAGGCTCAACGAAGGCAGATGCTTCATTCATTTCCCAAACCGTCTACTTGAAGCTATTTACAATTGGGATATCCTACCAACAACCCTCACGGGCTTCAAACATACATCATGAATCATAGCAGATTCATCTACCATCACCGGAAGAACGAGGTAGCTAGCCGGTCGTTTGTTGAGTGCCTTGCATCTGCCGCGGGGTGCTTACAGGACATCAATAACCGCACCATCTAGACTAGGTACTCACCGGTGATGGGAACAATATCCTGCCGTTGCCGTATTCTGCAAGACTACAGACGACGTCGACTAGGCTACCTCCAAGTGCCAATGCCCCTATTGAAGGTTACACAAGAGAAAGGAGACGACCCGGGGAGTGCCAAGCACGGGCCTTTACTATCAATCTCCCTATCAAAGCTACGAGCAAAACTGTTAGAGGCAGGGAAGTAGTAGTGTACGATAGAAGGCACCAGTTCCCTTCCATGAACTGCGCTCAAACCAAGTACGCAATAGAAATCGCGGATGAAATGGGCTCATCCAGTTCCACTGGTTTCGTGTAACCACTTTCTCGGAAATAGGGACAACACGAGACTTCCATCCCAATCTGTACCTATGCATCTCTCGCGTGCAGTCTCACCGCGTCCCAATTACAACGGCAACCATTGATTGGCTCAAGACGGGATGAATGATGGTTGATGCAGGATGAACCAAGATGAATCCAAAGTGATGGAAAATGAATCATGATAAATCATTTAGTAGACTTACCCCCGCGGGGTGAAGGGCCAGAAATTGGGGTAATAGTGGAGTTAGGTGGAAGTTGGAGAGCAGCCCGCCGGGCCGGCGGCGGCGTGGAGGCCTGTGGGGGACCCGACGGGAGCTGAAGAGAGCTTTATCCTTTTTGAGATTAGCGAGATTGGTGGGGGTGTTGTGGTGTCAGGTACGTGCAGCACTTTAACCATAAGTTGTGCATTGACACAGTAGTGTAGTGTACATAGGTAAGTACAGGATTTTAAGCTTAGCCACTAGGCATAACTTATGAACTGAACCCTCGATTGCCTGGTCAAATGGTCTTGTACATTATGCGCGGATGTTGGGATGGCTGGAATGGGATGATGGTCATGTTTGATCTGGTCTCTTTGGTCGTGAGATTGATGCCTGGGCTTTCATCGTTTCCGTTGCGGCTCGGGGTTTGGCGGTCCTGAAACCTGTCTCGATTGTACTGGCGCCTGGGGGTTGGGGATGTGGTAAATGCAGTGAGCAAAATGCCTTCTTGGCGTCAGCGTCAGAGAAACTTGGGGAGCCAGAAAAAAGCAATGGCCACAACCACGTTTTCTTATTGACTTGATGCCGTGGAACGCAACCGTGTAACCGTGGGGTGTGGTGGTGGATGTTGATTTCTAATGTCCTGCGGCGTTAGGCGTTTAAGGTTATCGCTCTCTCGAGTCTTGACGTCGTTGATGAGCTGCCGTCGAATTCTGCACACGGAATTAATAATCGGGGTACACCGCTTGCCGGCATATGAGTTGTTAGTGTGGCACCTGCACTGTACAAGATTCAGGGGGTGTGAGGGTGTAAAAAGCCACCTTCTTTTGTACGAGATTCAAGGTTACCGCCATGCTGTCATTCACCGCGCTAACATTTGGATTGCTGGCAGAGGTGTACATGCCGAAGAAGATCCACACGAGGCTCCGGATTCAAGATTGGCGTTTTGTATCTGACAATGGCCTAACTCCGATGATGGCGAAGAAGGACGACGAACACATTGGGACGGTTTACTCAATTGTGCGAACATGGAAAGCTTTATGTTTACTCTCACGACAGCAGCTAAGCGCCGTCACTATCATTCATTATTGCTGTTTACCCTCCGCAACGGACTGAGGCTTATCATAAGCGAAATCCCTCCGTCCTCATCGCCGGCATTGGAGTCCGGGAAAGGCTTGGTGATCGGGAAAAGTCAACGGCATTCATCTCAACTCAGATTGCCTTCAAAACCGACCAGTTCGAAATGTGCAAATGTCAAATGCGAAACCGAAGCGCACAAAGGGCCGTGTGCGGACTGCAGTGCGGGCTGAGACCGTCAGCGGCTCATGGCTGTCAGATAGGGCCGCCGCCACTGCAGGCGCAAAGTTCTGTTGCGGCAGGGGCCAGGGGGGAGATTGTTTTCCTCTTTTGGGCTTACAAATTCGAGCCTCCCGCCCGCCAACCCCACCTGGTCTTATCTCACTGCTTTTTTCTTCTTCTTTTTCTCGACAAGCTTTTCATTTGTTCCCATTCCATCCAACCCAATTTTGACCTCAAAATCAATAAAAATGCCATTCCGTCATGATTCAGGATGAATGGCGCAAGAGGGCCAAGATCTTCCATTTGTCATATACCGATTCTGCACCCACCCAAAAGACCCAATTAATGGAGACAACGATGGAATTAGGTTTGTGGGAGGTCTGCAAACGGCCAATGGCCAGGAGATAACCGGCCTTTTCGGACTTATTAGAGGTTTTTCATTGGTCGGATTCCTGCTTGCGCACAGACCACATCAGAGACACAACCTTCCCTTCGAAGAACATCTGAGACGAGCAGGTTGCGCATGCATCATCTACACTACTGTAGTGTACACTATGAACAGGTAGGTATAGGTACTGCTGGGTTGATCTGACGGTGATATCCATTTGCTGCATTCAGCAATAGACACATGGTTGTTTCTTTTTTTCTTTTTTGGGTCTATCGGGCAACCCCCTTCCCTGTATCACCAATCCGCGCCGTCCAGGCAACCCATCATTTCCTAATCCAGGTGGAGATCAATCTTTGAGTCTCTCCGTGATGACAATTCCAAAATGTTCGAGAGCTCTCAACGACCTTTACGGATGTAGTCTAGTGTAACATGGGCGGATGCATCTGATATATACTTGACATGTTGTCCTATCCTTCTTGGTCACTCGGGTCAAGCACCACTCGACGTTTGACAGCTCACAGACGGACTGGACACTCGGTGTCGACTTACATCGATTGGAGAGGCTGGTGGTGCTTGCATACCTATCTCAGTACTTAGCACGGGACCGCGGCAATATCTGCACTGTTGAAGAAGCAAACTACTAACATTTCATCGACCCACCCATTTGAGGAAAAAAGACTGACGGTCCAGGTCCCCCCTCTGCCCCCCTCCATCCTTGAAACTGAAGTGCCGGGTGTTTTACCGTCTTTTCAGCCCTTTGGTTCCTTCTTCTTTTTCCCCTTTTCGGATTTCCCATCTTGGGGGCCCTTTGATTGGTCGCCACTGGGATCGACAACCAACACATAAGGCAGGCACACACTGCTTGTTGGTGAATGGAACTTTCCGGTCTTGACACAATTCAGTCGGAGATAAAGTAAGACTCGATCCTTCCTGCCTTTTCTTGACACGACATGGGACATTTTTGCTGACAGACTGCAGTCAGTCATTCCTTCCCAGGAAGCAAAAGTTCTTCGCTTCTTCTTTTTTTTACTCGTATTTTCCAACCCTAATCAACCATTTTCTCACCGACACACACACAACATCACAGACAAGTGTGCAACACCAAACGCAGGAACAAGTGGAATCCTCCACAAAACATACCGGCCCATCATGCTCGGCCATCAGTCCGAGGAGGCCTACCGTCGAAGCGCTGCCAACACGCTTCCCAACGAACTCCACCACCGGGCAAGTCGTGACGATGATGAGAAGCCCGAAGAGACAAACCCAGAACTCAGCACCTCGTCGATATCCCACCATGGCGATGGCGATGGCGATGGCGCCTGGGGAGAGCGCGATGTCGGCGGGCCTGTCGACAGGGAGGCTGCCATGCAGGAATTCCAAGAGCTGCAACTAGGTCTTTCACGCTTGAGCAGGGAGAGATCGACAGCATCAAGACCATCTTCACGCCCGGCTTCGAGGGCATCTCGCGCCTCTCGCGCCACCAGTGGAGGGAGACCAGATGGCTTGTTCAAGCGCTTGTCAGTTGCCGTGAGCAACGCCATGGGCGATGCCAAGCCTCAGGACCAGGAGGAATCCGAGGACGAAGGCGATAACAGAGACGTTTCGTCCAGCGAGCGTAACAGCGGCGACGACTTTCACCTCGAGCAGTTCATGCGTGATGGCCATCTCGAGAAGCGCAACGAAGCCGGCGAGTCCACCAAAAAGGTCGGCGTCGTCTTCAAGAACCTCACCGTCAAGGGCGTCAGCACCGGCGCCACCTTTGTCCGAACCCTTCCCGAAGCCATCCTGGGCACCTTTGGCCCTGATCTCTACCGCATTATCGGCAACTACATGCCCGCTTTGCGCTTCGGCCGCCAGCCCGAGCTTCGCACGCTTCTCCACAACTTCACTGGTGTCGTCCGTCATGGAGAGATCATGCTTGTCCTTGGTCGTCCAGGCAGCGGCTGCAGCACCTTCCTCAAGGTGGCCGCCAACAACCGCGGAGATTACGCTGCCGTCGAGGGTGAAGTCCACTATGGCGGTATCTCCGCCGAAGAAGTAGCCAAAAAGTACCGCGGCGAAGTCGTGTACAATGGCGAAGACGACATTCATCTGCCCACCCTCACCGTCGAGCAAACACTCAAGTTCTCCCTCCTCAACAAGACCAAGAAGCGCCTGCGCGGCGACGTGGAGCTGATCATCACCGCTCTGCTCAAGATGTTCGCCATGTCGCATACCCGCCACACCATCGTCGGTGACGCCTACGTTCGCGGCGTGTCAGGTGGCGAGCGCAAGCGTGTCTCTATCCAGGAGTCGCTGGCGACCAAGTCGTCTGTCGTCTGTTGGGACAACTCCACCCGTGGCCTCGACGCTTCTTCTGCTCTCGACTATGCCCGCTCGCTGCGCATCATGACCGACGTCAGTGACCGCACCACCATCACCACGCTGTACCAAGCTGGCGAGGGTATCTACGAGCTGATGGACAAGGTTCTTGTCATTGACGAGGGCAGGATGCTCTACCAGGGTCCGGCGTCCAAAGCCAGACAGTACTTTATCGATCTCGGTTTCCACGCGCCCCCTCGCCAAACCACCCCCGACTTTTTGACCTCCATCTGTGACCCCAACTCTCGCCAGTTCCGCCCCGGCTGGAAAGACCGCTGCCCCAAAACGGCTGAAGAACTCGAAAAGGCTTTCCTCGCCAGCGAAGCCTACCAAGACGTCCTCGCCGACGTTCGCGACTACGAATCCCACCTCCAAGAAACCAACCACGCCGACACCCATGCCTTTAAGGAGTCTGTTGTGTCGCAAAAGTCCCGCCGTGTCTCCAAAGAGTCCAACTACACCGTCTCTTTCTTCAAGCAAGTCGCCGCCTGCACGCGCCGCGAGGCCTGGCTGGCTTGGGGCGACAAGCAGGAACTGCGGACCAAGTTCTTCATCATTATTGGCTGCGCTCTTGTCGTCAGCTCTCTGTTCTACGATTCCCCCTTGGATACTTCCGGCGCTTTCATGAGAGGCGGTACCACCTTCTACAGCATCATCTTCCTCGGCTGGCTCCAGATGGGAGAGCTGATGAAGGCTGTCAGTGGACGGGCGGTGGTGGAAAGGCACAAGGCGTATGCTTTTTACCGACCATCGGCTGTTAATCTCGCTCGCGCAATTCTCGATTTCCCCTTGTTGCTCATCCAGGTCATCGTCTTCAGCTTGATTGTCTACTTCATGACGGGGCTGGACCGCGACCCGGGCAAGTTCTTCACCTACGTCCTCTTGATCTTCACGACCACGTACTGCCTGACCGCCTTGTATCGCATGTTTGCTGCTCTAAGTCCCACCATCGACGACGCAGTGCGGTTTGCCGGGCTGGCTCTCAACTTGATCGTCATGTACTGTGGCTACGTCATCGCCAAGCCCGTCATGCTCGGCCAGAAGATCTGGTTCGGCTGGTTGTACTATGTCAGTCCTGTCGGCTACTCGTTTGAGGCCGTCCTGACCAATGACTTCCACGGAAGGCAGATGCAGTGCTCGCCGGGTATGTTGGTGCCCCAGGGCCCTGGCGTCCAGCAGCAGAATCAGGGATGCACGCTGCCGGGTGGTATGCCGGGGGATGACACGGTGAACGGGGATGCCTATCTCGCCCAGCAGTTCCAGTACACGAGGGGACACTTGTGGAGGAACTGGGCGGTCATCATTGCCTTTTCTGTACTCTATCTGCTGGTTACCGTGTTGGCGACTGAGAAGCTGTCCTTTGTTGGTGGTGGCGGCGGCGCGCTGGTGTTCAAGAAGACTTCCAAGGCCAAGAAGAACTTGACGCTCGGCAACCAAGGCCAGCATGACGAAGAAAAGGGCAGCTCGAGGGGCTCCTCTACCGACGATATCGGCAAGAAAACGCCCCAGGGCCCATCTCGCAAGGATATGGATGGCACCATCGAAAAGTCCCAGAAGGTCTTCACGTGGGAGAATGTCACTTACACCGTTCCCACGCCCCAAGGCCCCAAGCGTCTGTTGAACAACGTCACTGGCTACGTCAAACCAGGCGTCATGGTCGCGTTGATGGGTGCCTCGGGAGCCGGCAAGACGACCCTTCTCAACACGTTGTCTCAGCGCCAAACCGTTGGTGTCGTCACTGGCGATATGCTCGTTGACAGCAAGCCCCTTGGACCCGAATTTCAGCGCAGCACCGGCTTTGTCGAGCAAATGGACCTGCACGATGAGTCCACCACCATCCGTGAAGCCCTCGAATTCTCGGCCCTCCTGCGCCAATCCCGCGACACTCCCCGGGCCGAAAAGCTTGCATACGTGGATAGCATCATCAACCTCCTTGAGCTGGAAGAGATTCAAGACGCCATCATTGCTTCCCTGGGAGTCGAGCAGAAGAAGCGGTTGACCATTGGTGTTGAGCTGGCCGCCAAGCCTTCGCTCTTGCTGTTCCTTGACGAGCCCACCAGTGGCTTGGATTCGCAGTCGGCCATGTCCATCGTCCGCTTCCTGAGGAAGTTGTGTGCGGCTGGACAGGCCATCATTTGCACCATCCATCAGCCCAGTTCCGATCTGATCCAGGAGTTTGACAAGATCCTGGCCCTGAACCCTGGCGGTAATGTCTTCTACTTTGGTCCCGTTGGCGAAAACGGCTCTTCGGTCGTCAACTACTTTGCCGCTCGGGGTGTCGAGTGTCCGCCGGGCAAGAACGTGGCCGAGTTCCTTCTCGAGACCGCCGCGAAGCCGCACAAACGAAAGGGTGAGGATGGGAAGAGCAGGAGGATTGTTTGGGCGACGGAGTGGAAGGAGAGTGAAGAGTACCGTCAAGTCCTTACCGAGATCAGCCAGATCAAGAAAGCCCGGGCCTTGGCCAACCAACTTAGCCTCGCCAACGACCAAGCTCAGCCTGTCCAGCACGAGTTCGCAGCGCCCATTCCCACGCAAGCCTGGCTCCTTACCAAGCGCATGTTCATCCGCCAATGGCGCGACCCCTCGTACCTCTACGGCCGTCTGTTCATTTGCTTGATCATGGGCATCTTCAACGGCTTCACCTACTGGAAGATTTCGTCTCCACACTATTCCCGCCCGCTCTCCCTCACCGACCTCCAAAACACCCTCTTCACGGCCTTCCTGATCATCATGATCCCCAGCACCGTCCTCAACGCCGTCCTGCCCAAGTTCTACATGTCCCGCTCTCTCTGGGAAGCGCGCGAACACCCGTCCCGCATCTACGGCTGGGTAGCCTACTGCACCGCTGAGATTCTCTCGGAGATCCCTGGCTCGGTCGTGGCTGGCACCATTTACTTTTTGGCATGGTATCTCCCTACCGGCTTGCCCCGCGGTGCTGGCTCCACCGAGTCAGAGTCAGCAGTCTACGTCTGGCTGATGAGCGTCGCCTTCATGGTCTTCATTGCTAGCTGGGGCCAGTGGATTTGCGCTTTTGCTCCCTCTTTCACCGTCATCACCAACGTTTTGCCGTTCTTCCTTGTTATCTTTTCACTGTTTAACGGCGTCGTGGTGCCGTGGCAACAGATGAACGTTGCATGGAAGTGGTGGTTGTACTACATCAACCCGGCGACGTACTGGATCGGCGGCAACATGGCTGCCGTCCTTCGAGGACAGACTGTCCACTGCGCTGATAACGAGATGGCTGTGTTCCGCCCGCCGGTGGGAGAGTCGTGCCAGAGCTTTGCGGGTACTTGGTTGTCTGATGTGGGCAAGGGGTACTTGACGACAATAGGAGTTGGTAACGATGGCGGGTTTGAGTGTGGGTATTGTCCGTATGCGGACGGCGAGGAGTACTTGGCCAGTCTGAACGTGAAGTCGAGCCAGATGTGGAGGAACTTTGGTATTTTTGCGGCGTTTTGTGTCTCTAACTGGGCGTGAGTATTTCCCTGCTTTTGGCAATTGTTGAAACAGAAATGCTAACAAACTGATGAACAGGCTCGTGTACTTCTTCATCTACACTGTCAGAGTCAAGGGGTGGTCATTCGGCTTTGGCTTTGTGGCAAGCGTTGTGGGAGCGGTGGTTAGCACTGTGAAGGAGAGTGTGGAGGGTCTGTTTGGGAAGAAGGAGGAGAAGGAGGAAAAGAAGTGAGTAGGTAATGGACATATGAGATGACGAACATGTGCGTGATGTTGGGTTTGGTTTCTTACTTTGTTTGCGCATTTGGCGTCATGTTGCGGATATCGGATGTGGAAGGCATGGATGGGTGGGATGGAAGAAAGTTGTGATACCTCTCTCGCAGTTACCTAGACTCGGTGTTTTTTTGGAGGAAGATGATAGATAATATCTTATGTAATGAACTCTTTATGATATTCTTTGTATCTTTTGTCTGGTTGTCCCTTTTCTTTTGATTCTTTAGTTCGTGATACAGTGGAATCCAACGTCTTTTTAAGTTCTTGGCCTTGGTCGATTCGTACCTCGAAATCCGATGAACGGACAACGGGCAATGCTGCGGGATACCGAAAGCGGAAAACTGTTTACATCGTGCTGCTGTATGACGGGAAGCGCTGTGACTGGCGAACCTTCCGTCTTTCAGGCACTCGGACCGTTGATTGGGGCTGCCCGATGACGTAGGCATGTCGTACCTTGGAAATGACGTCGTTTGAAGAAGGAGGACGGATTTGTTCAGTTTCCTTTTATATCGTTGTTGCTCCTCTGATTCCAGGAGAAGACGAAACAACAATTAGAGAGCCATCATCCAACCCAATCCAGCCCAACCACGCGAATAACACAAAATGGTCGGCACGCACAACCTCCAAGCTTCCAAGCTCTTCAACGTCGATGGCTGGGCCTGTCTCGTCACGGGCGGCGGCACCGGCATCGGTCTGATGAACGCCCAAGCGCTTGCTGCCAACGGCGCCCGCGTGTACATTACGGGGCGGCGGTATGGGGTTCTTGTGAATGCGGCCAAGGAACATAGTCCCAAAGAGGGAAATGGCAAGATTATTCCGTGAGTCCAGTCGTTTGTTTTGCTCTCCTCGCGGATTCACCAAGGAAAAACACCCTCCTAACTAAACCCGTGTGTCTAGCATCGGCCCCTGCGACGTCACCAACAAAGAGTCACTTGAATCCCTCGTGCACAAGTTCTCGTCGCTTGAACCGCATCTCAACCTGCTCGTCTGCAACGCCGGCATCTCGGGCCCCAAAGCCGACCCGTCCGTCTCCTCGTCGGCCAAGGACATTGCCCACGAGCTCTGGACCAAGGAAAACTTTTCCGACTGGTCGTCCGTCTTCACCACCAACGTTTCGTCGGTTTATTTTACTACCATCGCCTTCTTGCCTCTGCTGCAAGCCTGCAGCGCCGCCCACCCCGAGGGCCACAACCACATGGCGGGCAACGTGATCGTCATCAGCTCCATGTCGGGCATCATGCGCAACGCGCAGAAACACTTTGCCTATAACGCGTCCAAGGGGGCGACGGTGCACTTGACCAAGCTGATGTCGACCGAGTTTGAGAAGACGGGCGTGCGGGTGAACTCGATTGCGCCCGGGTATTTCCCGAGCGAGATGACGACGGGGGAGAGTGATGAGCAGAATAAGAGCGACTTGTCGGATGACAAGGTCAAGGGACACGGTCACAAGGTGCCGGCGCAGAGGGCGGGGCATGATGAGGAGATGGCCATGGCAGTGCTGTTTTTGGCCAAGGATCGCTATGTCAACGGGAGTGTGATTTGTGTGGATGGCGGTGTTTTGGGGGTTGTGCCTGGTAACTGAGGTGAATACCTATTCAGGTGAGGAGGAAGAAGGAAACGATAACAGCAGCAGCATATCGATGGCGTTCGGAGTTTGGCCTGCAAACAATGATGATGACGCAGGGTATAAGGTTACAGGAAACAATTCATCACATGGAGATATTACGCTTGCTGGGTGCCTTTTTGAGGTGGTCTCTGCGGATCAGAAGAATAACAGTCAATACGTCTCGCTCGCTTTCACAAAAGTGTAACAGGGAGTACAATGATATACGAAATGCTTAGAAGCTAGATCCAAAGATCGAACAAAGATGCGTGGATGCACGTAATGTACGGACCGTAATGTGTTCTGTTTACTTGTACGACCATCGCCTACTTAAATGCTGTGGCAACGGGCGCTAACAATTTCTCTTTGGCCGCTATGGTATTTCTTGGCACGAACCGGTGGGGGGCATCCAGCGGCAATGGAATTTTGACCAAAACACCAAATTACCCAACAACACGAAGCATGGCACGAAGACGCCAGGTCAGTACCTACTAATTGATGCTTTGATTTCTAACCTAGGCATCACATGAAAACCACAAAGAGACAATCACATTCCAATAATCCGAAAATTTCAAGCGACCGACCGACGCCGACCACGATGCTATCCCAACCACCACCCTATGCAACAAAAACCGATGACGATGACTCCCCCGTCTAAATCCCAGGCAGAGTAACAAGACCCGTATACGACCCCTCATCGCGATGCACAACCGTCTTCTTGCCCGTCTCGACATCAACCGCATACACGCTCCCACCCAAGTCGCACACAAAGATCTGCTTCCTGGCCAGATCCAACTTGAGGCCAATCGGCTCATGGAACCGTCTCGCCAGAATCTTGACCTCCATCATGTCGCCCTCGCCGTTGCCCGAGACCTTGGCGCAGTTCAGCGAGCAACCGCGCGGGTGCTCACCGCGATCAGTCCAGTACAGCACCCCCGTCTCGCTCTCCATCTCGACATCAATCGGCTCAGGCAGCTTGTCGAACACGACCTCGATATCGGAGCGGTTCGAAGCAGTCTCGCCGGCAGCGAGGAAATCATAATCCATGTTGGCGCGGAAAATGCGACCGAGGTTGGACTTGGCAGGACCCTTTTGCGTCCAGTAGAACTTGCGCTGCTTAAGGTCGACGGTGATGCCGACGCACCAGTCCATCAAGTCACCGACACCGCCGGGATTTTGCACGAGGACTTCGTGCTCGCTGCCGTCGACGTTGCACCGGTGCACGGAACAGCCCTCGCGGTCGCAAAAATAGAGCTTCTCGGTGCCTGACTCCTGGTCCTTGACGAGCACGAGCTGCTTGGGCGTCGTGAGGATGCCGTCGCCCAAGAGGACCTTCTTGTCGGTGCCGTCCAGGGTGGCGGACATGAGCGAGCCATCCTTGGCGGTCACGTCGGCGCCCATGTTGGTCCAGTACATGCGGTTGGCGGACGGGTCGACGTCGATGCCGTCGGGGAGGGGGAGGCCGGTGACGAGGGCCTTGGGCGGCTGGTTGGGTGCGTCGAGGCGGAGGATCTTGCCGTTGGTGGAAATGCCGGCGAGGGAGGGGTAGGCGGGGGAATTGGCGCCGAGACCAACGTCGAGGACGAAGATGGGCGGCATCTGCTTCTCGGCGGTGGTGGTGCCGGCGGCGGCGACGACGGTGGAGGGAGGGTAGAGACCACCCTGCTCGGGGGTCTTGAGACCGAGCTTGCCCTGGGCGATGTAGTGTTTGCGGAGCCAGTCAACGGTCAGGGACCCGTCGAGCTTGCGCTCGTTGATGTAGTTGTCCTCGATGAAAGCGACGGTGTCAAGGCCAACGCGGTCCATCATTTGGCAGGGGACGACCGAGGTCTGGAACATGTGAGCCCAGAGGGCGTCAATCTCGGCGGCGTCCGAGACTCCCTCGGCGAGGGTGGTGAGGATTTCGCGCTTGACCGCAGCCCAAATGCGGTTGAAGATGAAGCTAGCAAGTGTCAGTGGTGATCTCTCGGGGGTCCAAGTGGATCGTCGGCCAGGATAGGGGGCGTGGAAACTCACCCAGTAGACTCCTTCCTTGCCGTCGCCGGGAGCATGCCGCACAGCCTGAGCACGTCGCTCAAGAACGGAAAGATCTCTTGATGGGTATACCCATCGCTCATCAACTCCACCGTCCTCACCATCGGGGGCATTGTGTAGTGCACATTGCACACCATCTTTCTCCTCTCGTCGCTGACCAGGTCCAGCATCAACCCGCTCCTGAAACTGCTCGAGTTGGATCCCAGGATACAGTCCTTGGGCGCGTACTTGTCCAGCTGCCCAAAGGTATCAATCTTGAGCTCGATCTTCTCCGGCACCGCCTCGATGACGAGCCATGCGTCCTTAACCGCCGTCTCGATGTCGGCCGACGCCGTGTAGGTGCCGTACGGAGCGGGCTTGCCGTTGGGGCAGAAGGTGGTGTAGAATTCCTTGTTGTCGTCAATGTACTTGAGGGCGTCCTCACGTGCTTGGGGAGAGGGATCCCGGATGTGCACATTGAAACCGCCGGCGACGTAGGAGCAGGCGATGCGGCGGCCGAGGACACCACCGCCCAGGATGGTGACGGGGCGGGAGCCGATATAGGGGGCTGACCAGACCATGTTGGATATGTGTTTGCAGTCGGGTATCAAGTGTGGTCGTTTTACGGTAAGGTGGTAGGTGAAAAGTGAAAGATGCGATGAATGGACAATGGTTTCTAGACAGAATGAATGATGAAGGAATATGCTGACAACGCTCCAACATGGTCAAAGCATGGCAGATATATACAGCATATATTCAGAGCAAGGTTTCCTGAATCCGGGTATAGGTGCCATGGAAATAGCACCCATCAGTTACGAGTTCTCGCGGCACCGACCAAGCCGTGTGCATGGAAACTTTGAAGACTGGCCTGGCCGTCCCGAGAACTCCGTCGGCTACTATCTTGGTTGTTGGTCAGGTGCTGGTGAATCGTGATAAGGTGCACGGGAAGGTCCGGTACAAAAATGGGCAATGCGAGGATAATTCAAGGGAGATCCCATTGATGATCGATATCATGGATATGTTAGTATGGGATGTTATGGGATGGGATACAAGGGGAAGGAAGGGGAGCATGGCCGGCCGAAGCTCGGACGAGGAAAGCCCGGTGTCAGCAGCTTGTTTCGCGAGTTCAAAACCCAATCGGCGGGCACGGCGGCCGGGCTATCAAGCCTGTCATCCACTTCAGCAGTTCCAGTCCTAAGAAAAGATGTCCCGGAATAGGTACATACCAACAAAAGGGTCCGGTCTTGAGTCCAAGACGCGATGAACTCTGAGTCTGTGCTTTGGAGAACATATGGGAGAAATCAGAGAGAGAGAGAGAGAGAGATGGCTAGAAGGTCCAATCAGAAGAACGGGATCTGACAGCTCAATGCAAGGAAATGACGAAACGTGCCAGATCGGACCGACAGGCTGGGACATGATTCTGGAGATGCCGGGATGAGCGTCAAGGCTGAAGACCGTCGAGGCCACGTGCGTCGATGTTGGTGTAGTGACCGATGAAGCTGGTGCATAATTCTCCTAGTGCCCCTTAGAGGTAATCTCCGTGCCCGATCAGCGAGCCTCGACAGCCAGACCGATTCAAAATCCAAGTTTCGTACAACCAACCATCTTCCAAGAATCTCGCTTCATGCGAAAGCTCGCCCCTCGTTCGTCGTCCTGAACTTTGAGGGTTATCTCGTCGTGTCCCGAGCGTGCCGATGTGATTTGACTTGATGGATCCATATATTCTTTTGCGCATGCACGGCTCGGACGGGTGAAACTCGCTACCGTATCGGAGTGAGGAGATTCAACACCGCTCGTAGGTACACGTGTAGACGGTCTCGACGGTGTAGCTCGGCTTTACCAACGGCCAACAGGTAACTAACGGTCAACAACCTGGGTTAGTGGGCGTGTGTTTGGGTTGCTGTGCAGGGGTCAATGGCGAAACTGGTCCAGACAAATACATCGACGTCATCAAGTGATCGAATCTTGCACGGTCCCCGGAGACTTTGTGGGTTGACGATGGAGCCAGCGAGCAGGGACAGGCCTTTGTCTGTCAGGGGCATCATGTTTCCATATGCCTCATTTGTGGAGTCGGGTCAAGAAAGGAATTCTTCGAAGTATCGACCATGCCCACCCGATGTTTTCAATGAATGTCCCAGGCGGACAGCAGTCTGGAACGCCGGTATTAGTGGGCTTGGCGACGGTGGTGTCCAGTGCCTAGCATCGGACATTTTTCGTTCTAGGCATGGGATTTCTTTAGTGCCGGCAAGTAATTCGCCTCCTTGATGGTGTTGTTCCCGAACGTAGTGGAGGTGGAGACGAGTTGAAGATCGTTTTCTTCGATGATCAATGTTTGCGCAGTCGGAGATTTCGTGCGTTGACGAGACACCAATTTCACAAAAACATCTCAGATGTAAGTGAACTCTTCATTCGGGACATGTGGAAGGGACAGGATGTTTAAGGAGTTATTTACAGCCTTTTCAGACTTTAAGAGAACCCCTCGACAAAGGTACCTTCGTCATACGTGAACAGAAGACAACAATCACGAACACCCAAAAGGCACCATCAATGATGTAAATGATCGTTCAAATCTATGACAAAGGAAAAAGTCTTTCATATGAAAAACAGTAATATCCCATCCACATCCGAATCAGAGAACCCATTTTGCTTCCTCTACCTGAAGAATCTAGATCGCAAACCCTGTAAATGCAGTTACAACAGCATACGTAATGATGACCACCACCACTCCATGTCATTACCTCTAAATAACAAACTCTCAAAATATCCCACCGGAGAAAGTCCCAAAAATGGCACCCATACACCCGTACATAGGACCTAGCCTTAAAACAGAAACACCTGATCGGTAGCCTTGGAAAGCGTGCCAGGGGCCGTGAACCCAAGAGAAACCAGATTCTTGCTCATGGCAGCCACCATAGGAGGAGGTCCGCAAAGCAACATTTTGGTGGTATCCGCCGCAGGAGGCAAGAAATCCTTGATCATATCGGCAGTTACGAAACCCCTAAGGCCCGTCCAGTTCTCGTCCGCCTGGCCGAGGACGTACTGCACCGACAGCTTCTCGGGGAACGCCTTGACGAACCCATCGAGCTCCTCCCTCAGCAGGATGTCCGCCTCGGTGTTGTTGGCATACAGCAGCGAGATCTTGGTCTTGTCGCTCTCGTCCTCGCAGATGGCGCGGATGAGCTGGTACATGGGCGTGATACCCGTGCCGCCGGCAATCATGCCAATCTCCTTGGCGTAACTGTTGGGCACGTACTGCATGGCGCCCTTGGGCCCGCGCATCTCGATCTGGTCGCCAATCTCCATGCGCTCGAGGTGCTTGGTCATGAGGCCCTGGTCGTAGACCTTGATGAGCAGCTCGACGCGGCCGAGGTCCGAGTTGTTGGAGACGGGGGTGTACGAACGCGAGACCGATTTACCGTCGATGAGCGCGCGGAGGGCGACGTGCTGGCCGGTGGGAAGACCGAGGACGTCGGTGGGGTGGGGGAGGGCGAAGACGAGGTGGTAGACGTTGGGAGACACCAACACTTTGCGCACCAGCTTGAACTTGCGCCAGTCGGCCGGATCCATCACCTTGACGGGAGGCTTGACGGCAGGACCCGAGGTGGAGTTGGTGGGGATCTTGAGGATGGCCACCTTGCGCTCCTTCTTGGCCGGACGGCTGCGGGGGAAGTGGGTGAACTCCCTTTGGGCCTCGAACTTGGAGAGCGCCCAGGTGGTGGCGGCCGTGGTCAAGGAGAGCTCGACGACGGTGGCGATGCCGACGCCCCACCAGAAGAGCTTGGAGGAGCTGCCGTTTTGGGCAAACTTGGAGCGGATAAAGTCGGCGAGCTGGTTGATGGGCTTTTGCGCGGTGGTGACGGCGGCGAGAGCCCATTCGGGACCAGTCCACCAGCCCTTGGCCAAACCAACGGCGCCAACGCTGGCGATGACGGAGGACATGGCGATGGTCCTCCTGACACTCTTCTTAACCTTGCTGACAGTGGCTTTCTCGACTTTGACAGCGGCCTCCATAGCGACCTTTTCATATGTTGGCCTGAAAATCTCGACCTCCTCAGCGTGTTCCTGTAGACAATATTTGGTGAGCGATGAATCAGGGGCAAGTAAACAAACAAGCCGGGGATCAAAACCTACCTCTTCCGCCAAATCACCCACGTAGAGCTCTTTTAGGATATCGGTGGCCTCGACAGAGTGTCCGATTTCCACAAACTGTTCGGTCGCATCCGTACCGGCAACCTCACGAAGAATAATGGAGCCACCAGGATGATCCTCGAGGTATGTTGTGACATTGTAGACTGAGAAGGTCAGCAAAGGGGTCACCATCGGTGGAAATGAGGGAAAGAACAAGTCACCTTTGTTGTGAATGACCATCCAGACATCGTCCTTGCTGTTGTGCTTGCGCACGTCGTCCAGAGTAAATGTGGCGGCCATGATGATTTTTCCTTGGCTTTGAACAAGTGTTGCAATCCGGATATTACAGCCTTGCGAATGAGATACCAAGAGAGTAAAATGAGTGTAGTCGGTGTATATGATCCCACAAGCAACAAATAAAGTTGAACCAAGCAAGACTGGAACAACCGGTGTGATGGTCAAAAAGGGGGTATTCGTTCTTGTATACACCTCTACGGATGTACAAACCGCAAAGTCGGAACCGGAATTGGATATTCTCGCCCTGGTCGGCGAGATATTCCCGGCGCGCCGTTGCGGAACCGGGTGCCGAACAGAGGGACATGCTAGATGGAGTAGCGGGTGAACCTCCTTCCTCGGTCCCCGTCTCGAAATCTCCACGCCTCCGCCCTATTCTCGACTTGGAAGGTCCATGTAACTTTTTCCTCTTGCTTTTCATGATGGACTGTCACCCTGTGCTGCATTCGTTGACGAGAACAGCAAGTGGTCCACCCTCGATGGATATCTCCGAGTTTCATCGCCCCCCCCTTGTCGCAACCCTGAAAGCTTGACAGTTGGATTTCTGCACCATCCGATTGGTGATCGCCGCCACTTGCCCAACGTCTGCGGTGGGTCATGTTGAGCGCGCGAACTTCGGTCGAGTTACCACCTTGGCCCGTCCCTGGTTTCCGCCGATGCCCGTTGTTCCATCCCTTTTCCTTCGTGGGCCTTCCGTCCTTGCCGCCCGGACTTACACCGGACGAAGACCAAACATGGGCCCGAAACTCCACCATTTTTAGATATTGGTCCTGCACTGACACGGGGCGCGGGGAGGGGGCGGACAATGATCGGTGATTGACGGCATCGAACTCTTCGAAGAACAACCCTACCCGCACTCAGATCTTGGATGGTTCTTTGGCAATTCTGCTTTTTGCGTAATGCTGCCAACAGTGCCACTGACCCAGTCGCAGTGCAACAGACGGCGGAAAGCGAGATGCCGAGACCCGATCATCCCCCTCCCCCATGTTTTGCTCACCAAGGGGCTATAATTTGATATATAAAACTACAAAACCACCTGGCGATAGTTTATTCGGAATGATCGATACCTGTGTCTAACATTTCAAGTGTTGTCTACACCTGGATCAACAACATCATCATGTCATCACAAACGTTCTTCCTCGTTGGTGATGAGCCATCAACTGCCCGCGGCATCGTTGTCGATCCCAAGTGGAAGCTTGAGGAGCTCAAGAGGGCTGTTGGTCTTGCCCACCATATTGCTGTGCCTACCGGTATGTCAACAAACCCCTTTCTCTGTCTTAGACTCGGCATACTAACAACAACAGGCATCACCTTCCACTTTGACGCCGATGACGAACAAGAGCTCAAGACCGTCGAGGACGTTCTCAGGGCTTCTGGTCCTGTCGCCTGCAGAATCGATGGCAACCCTGTCCGCGACCCCCAGGGCCCCGAGGGTCTTCCCATCGTCGGCTCCTACTATGAAATCTTCCCCGACCACTTGGGCAACCACTACAGACTGTTCCGCAAGTACGGCCATGTCATCAAGACCACCAACATGGGCAGGACCAACTACCTGACCGACGACCCGGCCGTGGCGCTCGTGGCCCTCGCCGAATCGGCCTACTTCACCAAGAAGATCACCGAGGAGCACCCCCTCTTCGGCATCAAGGACAACTCGGCCATCTTCATCGGCGACACCGAGACCGAGAACTGGCGTCTGGCCCACAAGTTCCTGCCGCCCGCCATGGGTCCCAAGGCCGTCCGCCACTACACGCCTCTGATGCAGGAGTGCGTGCGCGGCTCCTTCAAGATCTTTGACGAGCTCGACAGCCGCGGCGAGTCCTGGAACGTGTATCAGTACATGGTCAAGCTGGCCTCGCAAACGGTCGGCAAGTTCGCCATGGGTATCGACTACCACCACTTTGACGCCGTCGACACGCCGGTGCACTCCCTCGTCACCAACATCGTCAAGCTGCTGGCGCTCAACAAGAAGGTCACGGCTCGCGGCAGTTGGTACCAGCAGCTGCCCTTCGGCGACCCGGCTAGGCTGCGTGAGATCCGCCAGATCACGTACGGCCAGTTGGCCGAGACCGTCGAGTCCGCGCCCAAGTCGGGCATCGAGAACCTCCCGCTCAACGAGGCCGCCACCAAGGCCTCGTGCGTGGCCGACTACCTGCTCAACGCCGTCGACGAAAAGGGCGAGCACTTCCCCAAGGGCCTGATCCTGTCCAACATGCTCGTCGTCACAGGCGCCGGCTACACCACCACTTCCGCTCTCTTGTCGTGGTGCATCTACTGCATCGTCACCTACCCCAAGATGCAAGACCGGCTGCTCCAAGAGCTCATCGACCACGGCATCACCAGCGAAACCGAATGGGACCCAGACCTGGCCCACTCGCTCCCCTTCCTCGACGCCTTCCTCAAGGAAACCCAGCGGCTGCACAACGCCTCGTTCCAGCCCGGCCGCACCACCAAGACGGACGTCGTGCTCCCCGGCGGCTTCCGCCTGCCCGAGAACGTCATCATGATCCCGGCGCTGTACGCCATCCACACCAACCCGGAGCACTGGCACGACCCGTTCCGCTTCGACCCGGACCGCTGGGACACGGAGGAGGTCAAGAGCCGTCACCGCGGCGCCTACATGCCCTTTGCCACGGGCCCGCGGTCGTGCATTGGCTTCAACTTTGCGCTGCTGGAGATCAAGGTCCTCTTGTCCGAGCTCGTGTACAGGTACAAGTTTGCGAGAGAAGGGTTTGAGGCCATCGAGTATGATCCCGAGTTCCAGCTTATCAGGCCGTTGAACTTGTACGTGACTGCCAAGAGGAGGACCGAGTGGCCTGCTAAGAGCAGCGCGTAAGCAGGTAGGCGGGCGGGATGGTGACTAGACTGATGATGATTTGATGGTTGTGGGGGTTGACTTTCTCTGTCTCGTGTCGTGTCGTTGCATCTAGGGGGCGGGCATTCTGTCGGTGTTAGTCGTTGTTCGGTTGAAATTGCATCTAGATTGATCTTTTCCTGTCTGTCTGCATTCTTAGAGGTACCTAGTGGGCGGGTTTTCTGTTTGTACATATATCCTTATTTCTCTTCTGGCCCTTCCCGGTGGACTTGGAATGGAAAATCGGGTATTGCTCTAACCATTGCGTGCTCTGCTTGTGATGCGCTTTGGTGATCTGGCATGTTCTTGCTGATGATGCCTCCGGCGGCCCCATCCGGGGAGGGACCTCGCTTCGCTCGAATTTTAAAAAACGGGCAACTTCTGGGAGAGATCAGCGAGTACACCGACGGCAAAGTTTTGCAAAGTTCCATGCTCTGATCGAGAAAGACCCGCCCCGCTGAATCACTGCAGTGATGACCGCAGAATGCATGGCCGGCAGGTGCCAACACTTCATCTGACATTACACGTGTACTAACAACAGAACTGACGTAAACATGAATCCGAAATATCCAAAACTCGACATCTCTTTCCAAAAACACAAACTCCATGTATGCTATGTCTACAATGCCAGACCAGCCCATCGTGTATTTCCTGTCAATGCATTGTCCCACGTCTATCCCTGCTTCATAACCATGCTAGGTATCCATCTGTACCTCTATTTCACCACCGGACATAACCAGTCGTCACCGCCCATAACTCTCCTTGAGCGCTCTCAACGCCCTCGAATGCGGTCCCGAATGCCTCACGTTGGTATCTGCATCCAACCACTCACTCTCCCTTTCCTCCTTTTCCAACACGGCAATCAGCTTTTGAACCAAGGGTTCGCTCCTCCTCGTCCATTCCTCTCTTAGTGCCTGCATTCCACTTCCCTGCTGTTGCTGCTGTGGGTGCTGATGCTGCTGATGGCTGGAAGTAGGAGTCGACGAGCCCCCTGGGCCACCACCAACCAGAATCTCTCTCAACATCACCGCCGAACTAACCGCATTATGCACAAACGGCCACGACCGACACACGGTCGGACTCAACTGGTACATATCCAGGAATCCACGAACAGCTTCGGTGGCATGCATGGCGTACTCGCTCGTCAGCTGTTCTTCCTCTTGTCCCTGGATCCCGACAGCGTCATATCCCCCTTGCTGGCCACGATCCTCACGCAGCGAATTCACACACGATCGATACATCCTACACAAAGCACTGGCCCCATGGATCTGGAGCCCCAATCGCTCCAAATGCTCTTGGCGAGTCTTGCAGTGCGAGTCATCCCTGAGGTACTGGACTGCATCTTGTAGGACCAGCTCGAACTGGCGCTTAAAATGAAGCAGCGAGTGTATTTGCGAGTAGCGGCGGTCTTTTTCCGTCCCGAACAAGGCAGTAGGAGATTGGGCAGTCGCGGTGCCCTCGCGGGTCCAGTCGAGAACGACAAGGCAAACTCGGAAGACGGTTTCTGTAAAGGTGTATTTCGAGGGGTCGGGGTTGACGCTGGACGAGCGCGACGAGGCAAGGTGGCGGTGGGTGCCGAGCATGTCATTGTGCAGGATGGTGGAGGTTGCGACGGGCGGGCGGTCGTAGGTGAGGGAAAGGAAGGTGTCTTGCCAGATGATCATGCGCCTGTTTCGAGACTCTTGTTAGCGTGGCTGGGCGAACGAGAGATAAAAAGAGGGGGAGACTGACCAAAGATGTGCCGCTTGGCTACGATGGACCTCGCTCGCCCATGCGCCCTGCGATCCCGGCATGGATGCCTCATGCAATCCAATACTCTGCGCCAACCGGATCGTGGCGCCGAGGAGTATCCAAGCACTGTTCGTCTCCAGATTATTCCGTAAGCAGTGGCAAACGAGAGCCATGGCTTGGATCTGGTTCAGATCGGTCTTGAAAAAGAGGTTGGCTGTTCTGAGGCATTGGAATGCTGAACAAACTGGAATCACCTTCATGTTAGCATCGCGTTACGGCCGCCAAAGAAAAGGAGGCTCATGCTCACCAAAAACCTTGCTCCTCAGATACCTCTCCTCCGCCGTATCCTCACTAAACTGGGTCCCACACGCCAGCACACTAAACAACAAGGCCAGCCAACTCGGATCCGTATTTTCCTCGATCCAACTCATCGTCGGCCCTCCTGCCATGCCATTGCCATTCCCCATCCCCCCTCGGCCTCCTGCTGCTGCGCTCTACTCATCATCGGCTGCCTTGACAAGAAGGCATAGATACTCGCCCTGAACTCGTCGGGCGCCATGAGAATCGGGTAAAACGGATAGACATACGTCTCAAAAGCCTGCCAGTACCGGATGATGTCGCTCTGACAAGGCAGTGTCCGACAAACGTCGCCTAGCTTGGCCTCGGGGGTCCACAGGTTGGTGAATGGATACGTCCGCGGGGTCAGCTGGACTTGGTGGTGTCTGACTCCTCCTGCTCCGCCCTGTCCGTTGAGGCCGGCGTCCCCGCCGGGAGAGGAAAGAGGGGCAGGGTCCTGGAAGCAGCCGAGTGAAAGAGGAGGGTCGGCACGCCTACCAAGAAAAATGGTGGCGCCTGTGGCTTCTTCGACAAAATGTTTTCCGCGGAAGAGGGAGGTTGCTTCGAGCTGAGAGATGGCAGGCGGGGTGGCGCCGTAGCGGGCTTGGGTGGAAGATGGTTTACGATTGTCGTTGTAGGAAGCGCTGTGATGGTTGCCGTAGGTGGTGGCTACTAACGAGTCTAGGCGGGGGAGAAGGTCGGGGGTATCTGGTTGGTGGTGGTGGTGGTGGTGGTGGTGATGCTCGGAATACTGCGACACTGATGGTGTTTGCGCATCTGGTTGGGCATGGGGTTGGTGGTTGCCGGCATTCTGGTATGCTCGGTTGGACCGGCGCTGGACCAAGTCCGACTTGAGAGCCTGGATTTGCCGCTCAATGTTTTCGAGACGTTCGAGGATGTTGTCATCATCATCTTGTGGTTGTGGTTGTGATTGTACTAATGGTGGAAGATGGTTGTCTCTGGGTTGTTGTTGTTGTTGTTGTTGTTGTTGAGGGTTTGGTGAGGCTATTTGGTGTGGTCCTCTCGTCTGTGGCGGCTGCGGTGGGGGAGGATATCCCGAACTAACACATCCACCCGGGCACTGTCAGCATGTGTGTATGTGTGTATGTTTACAGAAAAGAAAGACGAATCGCCCACACACCATCCGTTGACTCCAACATCTGGAGAGCTATGGTCAAGATAGCCATTGTGCTGCTGTTGTTGTCCCGTTGTCGTGGGGTCAAAGGTAGCAAACCCATTACTCCCGGCGCTGTAAGGATCGCCGCCGCCGCCGACGGATCTTGGCGAGGTAGCGGCAACTGACGAGGATATTCGCTTGGTGGTCACGGACGAGGAGGCTCCGGGAGTGGTAGTGACGCGGCGACACAGCGAGACGTGGTCTCTCTTGACGCAGTTGGAGCACGGAAGGCCGCCGTCGCAGCGGACCTTTCGGTGTCGGCAAGGGAAGCAGGACTTGACATCGCGGGCTTTGCGCTTGTGCCTCAACAGCTCGGTGACCAGGGCCGTGTTGTAGCCGTTGATGCCATCGGAGGAGACGAGGTCGACCGGGATGGTCGGGACTACAGCGCCAGGTATGTGGGCGACACTGAGGCTGGGCGAGGGGGAGGGGAAGGGACTGGAGGCACCTGGTGTTGTTGTCGACGGTCGAGCTGATCGGGGGTCCATCTGTACAACGAGCTGGCCCGATGATTGACACGAGTCCCCTGTTCACTTATTTTTCTCAATGGACGTTGCTGGTTCGCGGAATAGTGGTAGTGTGCATTGGCAGCACATTGGCGGGACCTGGAAAACAAAGAGAAATGGAAATGGATTGCAGACAAGGATGGGACAAAGTCAATTGGGGACCGGCATGCCCTTGATGGAGACGACGAACCGATGATGGCCGGCGTGGATCATGTCAGTAGTGTATGTAGTGTGTACATACACAGTAATCTACCAGTGTGGTGTGGACTGGAGGAAAATTATGGCAAAGCAGCAGCAGCAGCGAACATTATCTCCAGGACCCTCCTCTTTAGCGGACGGGCTAACTGTCGACGGGACCACTCGGCTTACGACATGGTGGACCATTCAGGGGCCGGGATATGCCGACAGGGGAAGAAACAAGGCCGAGTCCCGTCATTCAAGCTACGGCAGAACACCAAGAGACCCACCAGCACGACTGACTGGCATCTCTTGGCCAGACACAGGATCTAGAAGTCCAGGTGGTCTATCTGCTACCGAGACTTGGAAGCATGACATCTCATCGACGACACCCCCGACTACAGCTTGTTTTGTTCATTGGACTGATGACAAGAATGACGAAATGTCGTGGTTTGTTAACATGGGAATAGCTCGATTACGGACTACAAAATAGCGACAACAAACATCATACTCGCAAATAACAACACCGTAACCTTGGGATATTGTATTTCTGGTAAACGATACCTCAGGCACTCGCTAACACTACAACTTTGTACAACTTGTACTTCTCACACCGGCTTACACCTCAGTCTCAATCCCCGTGTCCTTATCCCCATGCTCCCCCAACTCCATCACCTTGCCCTTCCCCTTCTTCACTTTGCCACCCAGCCAATCCAGCGTCCTCGCCGCCTTCCACTGCATCACGCCTCGATGTTTTCTATGCAGCTGCTTTCGATGCTGTTTGTAATCCTGCACCTGCGCCACCACACCGCGTTTCCCGTCGTCGTGATCGGACCCAATCTTGTCGCCGTCAAGCTTGGCAGATAACTTGCGCTTGAGTATGTGCGTGGCTTTGGAGACGGGGTTGTGATGGTCGTCCGAGGTATCCTGGAGGTCTTCGGTGTCCGATTCTGAACTGCTGCATGAGGAAGCGGCCGTCTTATCGCCGTGCTTTCGGAGAGCTTTACGCGTGGCTGCTTCTTGCGGAGTGTCCCGATGCTGAGGTGGGTGGATGTTGTGGCGGGCATTGTACTCGTCATCAGACAGACTTGAATCGCTGTCCGAACCAGAATCGCTGCTATCTGTCTCCGACCAGGAACCACCAGCACCGCCATCGTCGTCCTCGTGCATCTTCTCATCACACACCGTGTCCAACACCTCCATCACCGCCTTGACGTCGCTGTTCCTCGGCTTGCTCGCATACTTTCTATGATATCCGGACAATCCCCTCCAGAACCTGACTGTGAACTCGACCTCGCCCAACGGCTTCTCGCCTTCTTCCAACCCGTTATAATCAGCACAGGTGCTGGCCCTCTTGAGCTGCTTTTTGCCTCCCTTCCAGACCGGCAAACGAACAGTGACGTCCTCCTCGTCCGGAATGCAAGACAGCCAGAGAACGGCCAACGCAGGGTTGGAATCTGGCAGGAGAGAGTGCTTGTCCTTATACTGAAGCAGCAACATGCTCTGGTAGCGTTTGACGACTCCCAAAAAGATGCTTCCCTGGCTGATGCCATCGCCGGGCTGTCTCTGCTGCCCATGACCACCAACATGCCGTCTCTTGGGTACCCACACGCCCTTTTTTCCCTCCAGCGGATCCATCTTTCCCTTGCCAATCTTGGTCTTCAATTTGAGCTTGCATCCACTCAACCTCTCCAGTTCCCCCGTCCTTCCTTCCGTGTCATCACCTGCACCACCACCAACCCACTTCACACCCCCCTTAACTTCCACCGTCCCCATGTCCCATCCCCTCAGCTCCTTGGTCATCACCTGCTCTCCCATCTCCACTCCTCTCCAAACCATACTCACCCTCATCCTGCCGTTGCCGATTCCTCCTGCCAACGGGAACGTCTCCATCACCTGGCTCCTGTGCTCAAACACCTTTCTCAGGGGCAAATACACCACCCCCAGCAAAGGATCCTCCTCCCCCTCTCTGCTATCCCTCACGCTGATGATCACCTCGCAAGTGGTCCAATCCTTGACAAACCTTTCGGTGCCGGCATTGAAGAAGGGCTTGGCGTTCTTGGGCTTGGTTCTGGTACGGTAGATCTTTTGCTGGTTGAGGATGATGGTGCAGTACGAGTCTGGCAGGCTATCCGACTGCTCGGCGGCGTCTTCCTTGACTTCGTCGGCGCCGGTGGAGCGGTTGCGGTCTTCGTTCAGCGGAGTGATTTCCAAGCCCGTGATGTTGTGAATCTGGATGGAGAGGATTCCTGATGGCATGGAGGACAGAGGCGGAGAGGAAATGATCATTTGATCTTCTTTGGCCTTCATGTCTTGAGCTTCCTGTTGGTGTTTTTCTTCAGACATGTCCTTGGAGAGGGAGGCTTCGCGCAGCTTGGACTCTGTGCTGTCGTGGACATTTTGCTTCAGGGAGTCGAGCGAGCGGATGGATGGGTCAAAGGTCTGCTTCTCAAGCTGGCTCTGCTGGATGTGTGCCTTGGCAAAGTAGCCGACTGCCCAGGAAATGGTGCCGGGCATGGTCTCGTCGGGGTCAGAGGCCATGAGCCGGTCTTCGCGGTCGTGCATCTTGTTCTTGGTTTCCTCGCTATGCATCAACTCCTTGAGAGAAACCTCGACACGGCCCAAATCGTCATCAGCAGTGTGCTTGTCCGAATCCCAGATTTGGATGCGCAGGTTCTCTTGGGCGTTGATCTCATCCGGCGAGACGAGAATGTAAGCCCACTCGTTCCAGACAGGCTCTTGCTCGTCGATAATGATGCGCGTGGAAAACATGGGCTTGCCGACCTTGCCCCATGACACGGTCACGTACGGATCAGAGGATCCCTCGATAGGGCCAAATCCGCCATCGCCGTACTTGAACCCACGGGCTTTCTTAATGTAGACAGCCACAACGCCTCGAGCAATGGTGTCCTTCTTGAAGTCATCGCCGACGAGCATGTCCTTGATGTCGAGCGTAAGTGACTTGGGGGCCACGTACTCAGCCAAGGCGGCGTCGACAGCGGACTGGACAAAGGACGAGATAAGCGGGATGTCCATCAAGTTGGGGAGGTGTTTCGACAGGGGGACGCAAGACAAGTTGACTCGCGGTTGGCCAAGGAAGGTCAAGGTGCACAGCTCGAAGAAGGGCGGATCGGGCGTCAACTGCAACCGCACACGCATGATGCCCACGAACCCCTTTAGTTCTACCCAGACCGGAACAGCCAGGTCACCAGGCAAGTAGAACTTGAGGTAAAGATGCGCATTCTTGGCCTTGCTGGTAATTGACTTTCCCGAGGACCTAGGTCTGTAAGCAAACGCCAACTCCATGTTGACAAAGTCCCCTTCTTCAGCTTCCATGCCCTCCTGCACCATCTCTCCTCCTCCACCACCTTGAGTCTCTCCCTCTCCTTTAACCTCCCGATCGTTGTCCCCGGCATCCTTCAATCTCCCCTGATCGTCCACCGATTGGCCCGCGGCTCCTGTCGGCAACCACTTGATCCCCAAAATCCTAAAGGCCTCACTTCCCTGGCCGATGTCATCCACGCTGACCATGCGGACAAGCTTGGGCAAGGAAGCTTGCATAACGTCCTCGAGCATGTCGGCGATGGAAGCAAACAGGTCTGGGTTGATCAAAGGCCAGACGGAGGCCAACAAGCCGTTCAACCATGCTGCTGATTCGGGTAGGGGGGCGCCGTTCTTGCTGATGGTCTTTTCGGCGTGGCGGTCGGCGGCCCAGGTTTCCTCTTCAAAGATGGAGGAAATGCGCTTTTCGAGCCAGCCGGATAAACCCTGAATGAGAACGTAGGCACCTGCGCCGGTGAGGGAGAGGAAGAGGAGAAGGGAAAGGTAGCTCCACACTGATGTTTTGCTGGACTCGGATCCAAACCCTAGCAACGAAACGCAACCAAGTCCCAGCATGCCAACGACACTAAGTCCGGTTAGCCCAGCAGTCAATGCCTTTCGATAAGTCTCCATCATCTGCTGCTTTGTCTCCTCGAAGTCTGGTGGTGGAAAGAGCTTGTGCATGCCTTGATGCGCCTGTCCAACCTCGACCGTCTCGTCCTGTAGATGATCTTGGCTCTTATTCCCCGCATCTGGGCCCGTAAAGGTCCGATGATCCGACCCGACCGATGGGAAGTTCTCGGGGACAGAGCCGAGGTTTTTGTCCGTCATGTCGTGAATCGTGATGGGCAAGTGGGTTACCGGGTCGGTTACCTCACGACCGTGGGCCTGGGGTTGTTGCTTCTTCATGACCTTGCGCTTTTCTTTGGGATCGACGGTGGCAGCTACTGTCTCTGTTGCCGACTTTTCCTGGCCCTTTTGTTGCTTTTCCTGCTTCTGCTGTCCATTACCGTGCTGTGTGTTGTTATTCTCCTCGGAGTTGGGCTGTCCACCGTATACACCTTGCTGTTGTGTCCCTGGATCCTCCACAGGCGCATCGGGATCGTTCCTATTCGTAGTCGGATATGGGTTCCCGTCTTGATCCCCCTGTTGGTCTTCATTCTTGTGAATGGCTTTGACAGCATCATACGCCCGTCTAGTCTTGGACTGGGGTTCGTTGGCGTTGCCATTGGCGTCTGGCTGGAGCTGGGCCGCGTTCGCCTGTTCTTCCTGCGCTTTGATCTCGGCTCGATGTTCGCGGTATCCCTGTACGGTTGGGACGGGGTGTTTAGCTGTGTATGGGCCACCGTGGGCGCGACGTGCGCCCCGGTTTTCAAAGTCGTCGTCGTAGCCGGACATGGTGGTGATGCTTTGTTCGTATTGTGTAAGTCAGGTTGGGCAGGTCGAGGCTTGGTCTGCGCAATGGTTCGACGAGTTAGGTGTGTCGAGATGGACGTGCTTTAGGAATCGTGGAGGTTTGATATGTTCGGTTATGTTAAAGGTAATAGCATAAGTTGGATGTTCAGGTACCAACTTCGCCAGGTGAATTCATGAACGTTTCCTCGGCCGATATGTCGAAGAAGAGGAGAAGACGGAAGAAAAGAAGGAAAAGTCCACTTTCCATGATTTTCCCAAAACCAGCAAAGAAGGAAGAAGGTTCCGCGAAAAAACAGACATTGGAAAGGAAACCAAATGCACAACGACGAATGACAAGATTTGGAAGCTGCGATTCGATTGGATTGAAATTGTTTCATGCTTTCGTATTTTGGAGGAAAGAACTGGAAGAAGGGGGGGCAGCTCTTGGTCCGGCTTGGTATGACGTTCCTTTGCTACGTCATATCGAACGTTTCCAGACGGATTGGCTGTTGTCCCGCTGTAACCCCCCACTCTACCTTGTGTTTCTCAACCAGTTTTAGTGGACACGGAATCCTGAAAGCTCGGACAGAAAATCCGCAAGGTAGGAGTAGCAAAAGCACGGAGCTGCTTGTTTTTCTTGTAGCAGCCCCCTTTCCATCGACCGACCGATGAAGGCCTTTTGGACGTCTGACGGAACACTCTCCTCTCCATCCCACTGCATGACAGACAGTACATCGCCGCTGTCAAATTCAAAATACTCAGCTCTCCCAGGAGCTCGTCAGCCCAATGCTCCTACCTAACTCCTGGGTATCGAGCTTTTGAAGAATATGCGTAAAGTTACTATTATCCTTTCCAAAATTCATGTTCTCTCCTTCTCTATCTAACACGTCCGGAACTACCTCTATTTTCCTTGTAGACGTATCCAGTGTATCAAGGGAGTTCTGTTTTTTACAAGCAGGGATTGGATCACGGTCAAGCCACAAAGGCCGTCGTTTCTAGCAAGAAACATTTTCATCATTTCTGCATACGCCCAGCCTTGCCATCAACAAGGGCCGGGGAACGGCGTAGCATTCCCGTTATTATCTACGACATCTTCTCAACGAGCCTTTACGGCGGCGTTTGTTAACCTTGGACGCCGGTGGAGGACGTGGAGAGACATAGTTGTTAACCGAGCTATCGGACTGGTTAGCAGGGGAAGACGCTATCCTGGATTTGGAGCCCCGGGTCACCCGGGTTGTGGGAGTCTTGTCTTGCTGGCTAGCCCGGGCCCGTTCACGTCGAGGCCTAAGCCCAGAAGCTTCATTGGTTGCGGAGCTGCAAGTTCCGTTATCACCACCACCCGGGGGAGGAGGGCTCGAGGTTGTGTTATCGACATTTGGAGGAGAAGCACTCGAGGCTGCGTTATTGCTACCCGGGGGAGTGGGACCCGGGGTTCCGTCATCGTCATCTGGGGGAGCGGGCGCGCCCACGTCAGTTCCGACGCCCGCAAGACCAACTTGAGCCTTCATGTTGGCATGCTCAATTGCCTCGTTCCTCTGCCGCTCTGCCCAATCCCGCCCGTTTCGGTATGCCGTGAGTGCTGCCCGGTACATATCTGGACCGCCTTCAAGGGAATAACCAGTTACCAATGTCGTTACATACCTAGAGCGTCCTCCTGGCTTGGCTGGTGGGATGACATGGGCGGTATTAGTAGTCCACTTCGTGTACCTTTGTGACCTACGGGGAATCGATACGGTTGTATAATACTGCGAGCTACTTGGTTGGAGATGTAATATTCGTTTGAAAAAGGTAGGTATGTCTACCTACACGGCTTTTAGATCCAAGAAACGCAACTATCCCAAATCCTAAACGCCCATCGCTATGAGCTCGGCTAGCCCAATGCTGCCAGCTCCTCGCAGACTATACAGAGTATATAGCATGTCAATCTTTCGATATCGCCCACCTCGCAAACTCAACATTCCGTCTAAACGCCTACTCCAACACCCCATCTAACGTCTTTCTGGACAATAAAGTCTAATGGCCCCCATGCCCAAGCACAATGTTCATTCCCAAACATACCACCATAACAATCACTCCATAGATCGACAGTCCCAGCGCCATCTTCCTCAACAGCCCCGTCTCCAAATGCTCCAGATCCCACCTCCACTTCCTCTTTAGCGTCCTTGCCAGCCTGCTTCCCACGCTGGTATTGCTCCTCACGCTAGCAATGCTGTCCATCATCCCAGCCCCAGATCCGGACGGTCCTGGCGACCCCTCTTCTTCGTCCCCATCGCTAGCAGACGATGAGCTGGAGGAGGAGTACTCGGCATCGTCGTCTTCCTTGGTGAGGCGTTGATGGTATATACTCTCCGGGTCGCTGATCTTGTAGTAGAAGAGTCCAGGCAAGATGAAGCTGATGGCCGTCGACCCGGTAGACCCCACGTAGGCAAGCACTCTATCCAGACTAGACACGTTGATGGCCGTGAAGTAGCTCAGGATCAGGATGACCGAGGTGATCAAGGCGAAGCGGAGTTCGGACATGGCGACTACGGGGGCGCCGTGGCTGTCGAGAGCAGCGCCAGGAGCACCGCCAGAAGGCAAGAGGGGCTGGTTGCCGGAGCCGGGTGGGGAGTAGACGTTTTGCGTGCGAGAAGAGCGGCCAGGTCGCCAGCGCAGGACAGCGTCGATGGAGGCGCGGCAGGGGTGTAGTTGGAGAGGAACGGAGAAGGTAACAAGGAATACGATGGCGGCTTTGGCGATGGTGGAGGCTAGTGATTGTGGGTCTGGAACATGTTAGGCTTGGTTGAGAGGGATGGAAAACGTAGACACCTACACATGCTGACAATGTTACCCTGGATCTCGTTGCCAAAGGTCAGGTAGCCGGTGATGGCGACGAGAACGTAGACCGAGGCAGCGGAGCCAATGCTGGAGCCGATGACGCCGACAAGACTAGCTGGCGAGTTATCCTTGATCTCGTTGACGATGGAGAACATCTGGAGCACGTCAGCAGGCTAATCTCCCGGGGGCCAGAGTCGCCCTACTCACATTCTGATGGCAAGTATACGCAAAGATCATCACCGGCAGACTGCTCAAAGCAGCCACCGGTCCCTCCCACGTAACCAGCCTGATGGGGCCCCTCTCACTATGGTCATCCGCCGCATAGTGGTAAACCACCAGGATGATCAAATACCCAATCGAAAACAGTGCCACCAAACTCGTGTATTTGAGCGAATCCAGCTTCTTGGGAAAACTCAGCGGGATGAGAAAGACGACAAAGAAGACGGTGATCCAAAACCTGCGGTCTGCCAAAAAGTCCCAGCCGGTATTCCCCGCTCCGAACGCTGCCGCCACCGCGGGCATCAGATCACCGATAATGATCATGTACGAGACGCCGACACCGAAGCATTTGATGGCAATGGCCGCGTCGAACACCACGGCGGCGTTGGGATAGGTGATTTGCGACAGCGCGAAGAAGGAAGACGAGCCGCGGTCGAGGTAGCGCGTGCAGCGTGACTGGAGATAGAGACCAAAGGCAGAGGTGAGGCCGCACCAGACGATCAGGATGACGCCGAGCGTGACGCCGAACTTGGACATGGCGTGGGGCATGGCGAGGGTACCGGCACCGATGACTGTGTTGTTGCCCGGTTAGACATGTCTTTTTTTGGGGGCGAAGGTCTTCGGACGTACTGGTATTCAGCAGGTTAATGTTGCTGCTCATCATGGAAGCTTGGCCGCCACCCAGCTTGGGGGCGCGGAGTCTTCGTTGTCTAGACATTGCGCCGTCAGCTATGTCGACCAGAAGAGCCGGAACTACCTAGGTAGTCGCGCAAACGTACTGGACCATGGTTCCTCCGACACCATGACTCGACCCTAGAAGGCCGCTGTTGGATATGGTATGGTAGTTGGTCATGTCACTTTCTCTTTCCGGGGACCGTCCTGTGGTGTCGCCTGATGTTCCGTTGGTTTGGATAAGTAATGGGTTTCGTCGTCGGCGCTGATATGTACGCCCAAAGCCTTCAGAAACAAAAAGACGGAAGGGGAATTCGACGTATTGCAATCGGATCGTAATCGCCGGGGTCGATGAGGTGCTCGAGTCGAGGCTTCAATGAAGATACCGAGTGACGGTGGGCAGTCGGCGCCGTCAGTTGTCGTCGACTGTCATCAAGTCACAGCATCGAGTAAAGCGAGTGGAAGTCTGCAAAGCGCAGCGGCAGAGTGCCTATTCGGGGGCGATTCGATCCGATGTTGGATGGATGATATGGTCGCGTGTTCGATAACTCATACGGGGAGAAAAAAGGGATCGATGATGACGAGACTGGATTGTTAAGAAAAGTCAAAAAGCCAACTTTAGCGAGCTGACAAGGACATCCACGCAACGTGGGCAATGGAGAACAGCGCCAGCACAGACGGGAATGACGGGTCTTCCTTGTTCTGGGGAAGGGAAGGTGTCAGCTACTGTACAAAAAAGGTACCGCGAACGCCAAGCTCACTGCCTGTCATTGCTCACTCAGTCACACGGCCTTTTGTTTCACATTTGTACTTACAGGTTCGGTACCATACTCCGTCAACTCCACACCGCAGCACTAACACCCAGCGAGTGTAATTTACGAGTGAAACAAGATCGTTCAGGGGTAGAGAACTAAGCATTCTAGTGGATCAGCGGTGAACTACCGGGGGTCATCATTTGATATGGCAAAATTACCAGTCACGATCAAGAAGCCAAGCTCTAGCCTTATGAGAGTTAGTAGCTAGGTAGGTTGTTCAGTCGCTGTCCAACGGGCGGTGTCCGGGATGCGGAGGCGGGGTTGAATTGAACGGTATGTTATGTTACCTTACAGCCTTACACGACCCGTCATCGCACCGGTCTAGACACGCGCCGTCAAGGTTCTATTTCCTCTTGACAATTGCCACTGCTTGAGCTCAGCTTCTCTTCACCACCATCTTGATTCATCTTTGCGACATCTCGGGTATAACCGAACCGACAATTGCCAACAGAAGTCGCCCACCATGGACGTCTCCCAAGAAACCTCAAGCCTCGACAAAACCTCTCTAGCCACCATCTCCCTCCTCGAATCCCGTCTCCGGCGAATCGAGCACATCCTCTACGGCCCCTCCGATCCTCCAACACAAGCGCCCTCTTCCTCCGCAACGGCCTCTCTTGCCCAGCTCGAACACCGCTTCAATCTGCTCATCCGGCGCTTTCGCGTGTACGCCGAGCTGCTCAAGATTCGTACGTTCCTCTCCTTGCCATTTCCCACTGCTTCAAAGCTAACTAGAGGTCCCAAACAGACAAAGCCAACCCCACACTCTTCCACACCTCCCCCTCGGCCGATCAAAAGCTCCCGCCAACGGACCTCCCGCCTGCTGCCATTCTCGCGACAGTCCTCTCCTACGCCTCCCAGTTCCCCCAGACCGCGTCCGCCCTAGTTGCAGCCGCCCCAGACAACACCATTGAATCCGCGATTCCCGACAGCAAACTCTCGGCCGAATTGGCGAGCTTGATACCAAGGATGAAGGGACTGGAGGCCATGCAGTTGGCGCAAGAGGCGGAAATAGCGGAGCTCAGGGAGAGGAGCGAAGCCGTGATGAAGGCATGGTATGAGAAGAGGGTGCTGGGGTACGGCAAGTTTGTGGCGGAGGGTGAAGCGAGGGTGGAAAAGTGCGAATTGAGGGTGAGGAGAGCGGAGAGGGTGAGGGAGATGGACGCTGTTATAGAGTGAGAAGGCAAGAGGAGGTCCGAGACAAGATTATGCGATACATGGCTAGTGAAGCGGAGGAGCATGGATTTCCCGAGAGCGAGGCTTTGCCCCGGGGTAGTCCGTACGGGAACAAAAAAACTCTTACGGAAGCCATTTTAGCGCCGCTAGAGAACGGCGTCACGATTGATCAACAGGTTGGGCGACCGCGAACAAATCACTGGGGTTGTGCGCATGGAATACGACACGCCGTTGGGGGCGCGCGTGCACTTTACGAATTGTGAAGAGCAGATCAACAGTGGTTGGCACATTCGTACGAGAACAATGCTAGGGACCAAGGGAATGGGACAGGTGTCATTGCGCGGCAGATATAACGCGACAGGTGCGCGGGAGGGTCATCTTTGGCCGACTGGAATGTTCAGCCGATATCAACACTCTGCTCGCTGTTAGCACCGACAAAAACCAGATCGACGGTGCCGTGATAGCGCTCCATCTGGAATGAGAATTCACGGGAGAGGCTTTTTGCAAACGTCATGAACACGCTTGATAGCCAGCAGTGATTGTTTGGCTCCTGCGGATGGGATTCCGAAACGAACGGCGTTGCCCTAGAACCCACGCGGCGAGCCTAAAGCCCCTGCCTGCATGCTGCATGGGTGTGGATTCGTGGCATGGTGAATCTCTCTGTTGACATTTTCTGCCCGTCACCGAGCTCAGCTGAGTGATGTCGCATGGTAGCCAGCTCTCAGCCTATCATTTACACTTGGTCACGATGTTTCTGGACGACCTAACAATGAGTGAATGGCGCACAGACGCAAGCCACATGGCTAGCTGCCTGACTGCCTTCCGAGTGTTACAATGTTGTGAATGTTTTAACTTTTTGATTATGAGTTTGAACAGTGAAGAGGTAAGATCTATTGACATTGGAAAAAAAAGAACAGAAAAAAAAGAAACGAAAGAAAAAAAAAAAAAAAAGGTGAAGAACGTCCTGGCCGTGAGCCTGTACTCCGGCCTAGAGCCATCATTTCCTTTGAACAAGTCAATCACCCAAGCAAAGGCTATGAATCCCCATCAATTACCTATTTACATCATGATGCTTCCCTTTCCACCATCGATCAGCTACAAAGACTATCAAAAAGTGCAGAAAAAGAAATCGAGCTGCTAGCCAGCCCTGTGTCTGTAATTTGCTCCATACTCCCGTCCCCACGCAGCCGCTAGAGGTACAGTAAGCAGCGCCTGCAGTGGAATGTCTTGGCTGAACGATTTCCATTGAGATGAGGACCGCGCCGTGCCTCTTCTGACTGGACATTGCATTCATTAGCCCAATAAATGCAATAATGCGATTGGTTCGTTCGCAGAGTGTTGCCGCGTGTTGCCCGGACATTTTATGTCACTGCAAGGGAAGGATTCATTGTGCAGGGAGCAGCCGCCAGGCGACGCACTCCAGGAGTCCAGAGCCTCCACAGCGGACATGGCTCCCCCATCTTCAGTGGATTCAGTGGGCTCCATTGTTGGTCCCTTCCTCACTTCTCTTGCGCGGTCTCGTCCACTCGTTTCCACAGCAGCAGCCACCTCATCCCCCCGGTTGCTGCCCGCCCCGGAGTCCCTCAGCCAGGTCCCGTCGTTGGCCTTTCCGGATCTCCCACCCACCACACCACCCAACCGTCGTCACCCACACCCGACACACCATTTCCCTTTTCACGTCCCCGTCCGTCCGTCCTGCCCGTGCAATCCCCTCATTTCTGTTCGTTCCCTCCTTCAATTTTTCTTCCCTTTCACTTCTCCATTGGCCGGCGTTGATCATCGCCCCAGCCACGTCCAACAACAATTTGCTCAATACATCAATCGCTCCCTTCGTTCCCTCAACCTCATCGACCTCGACGACGACGACGACGACAGCATACGAGTGCCCAGACCTGAGCTGAGCTGAGCCCTTTATTAACGCGAACCGGAACAAGACGGGGGGAATAGTACAATACGACGTTGGCAGGTGCCGAGATATCACACCCGACTACCGTCATACACCGGACAAACAAAGAAAAAGGGAAACAAAAGAAGAAAAGAAAACAGGAAAAAGAATTCAGGACCATCTCCAGACTTCCAGTGGACTCTTCTACCGCCCTTCTTCCAACTACCGATTGATCTTGCGTGTTGACCGTCCACCCATACCATACCGCCGCCGCCATTCGTTCCAACGGACAACTACCGTACCGTCACATCTCCCGACCCGTGCGACCGACTCGTTGCTTATTTCCCCTGAAGATTCAAAGACTCTGTCCTCGTCTTGTCCTTGGAGTACCCGACGGCCACTTGGACTCAGCCTTCTCGTTGCGGATTGCCAACCAACAAACACACGAGCAGCCCGACAGCGACCACCCAATCTTTCAATACCATTGCAACTGTCCTACTTTCGACTCATTTCCATACATCGCCCAATTACTACCTGCCCATATTTGCAACGACCGAGACGAGCCATACCGCGTTGCTGGACACCGAATTCCTCGCTCAACGTCTTGCAGCAAACGACGATTGCTACCCGACCCGAATTTCTTGCTTTGATTTCGACCACTTGTCGCCGTCGAACTTTCTCTCTTTTTTTCGCGACATCGCATTTGTCATTGCAAAACAAACACATTACATTACCAACCGCGGACTGGTCCCCGGAATACGACACACACACGGCCCCTCGCCGTCATCTTATGCTCCAAGTGAAGGTGTGCGTCGACTGAACTGTCCCACACACGTCGGTCCATCACTTATAACACGGACCCCGAATATCCCGAGAAAACGCTCTCCCTTGGCGACTTTCGCCCTTGATGCAATCGTACGGAGGATCGGTTAACTATCCCCCATCCTTCAACAACCCCAAAATGGAACACGGCAGGAACTCGTACCGCCGAAAAGGCATAGACATGGGCAACATTATTGGTGACCCATTTGCTTTGGCCACTACTTCTATTGCTACTGTGAGTTTGGCATCCACCCTTTTCCCGTCCGGTCGCCTTCAAGAACTAACAATCACCACAGCTGTCATGGATCATCATCCTATTTGGATCCATCTTTGGCTTCAGGGACCAAAATGACGGATCGAATGGAAATCCCGTCATCGTTTGGCCAACCTATAGCTGGTTCACCCTCGTCTTCAACTTCTTCCTCATTCTCGGCATTTTCATTGTCATCGCCTCGGACAGCGCTCAGACCTACCACGTCGCCATCGTTGGCTACCTGGCCGTCGGGCTGGTCGGCTCCACGTCGTCGATTAACAACCTGATATACAGTGGCGTTGCATCCATGGAGGCGACAGCGGCTGGGTATATCTTGTTGTCCATGGTGACGGTATGCGGTTCCCCGTTAACTCCCCCCAGCTGGCTGACCCCATTTGCTAACGTCCCGCCAGATCATCTGGATATTCTACTTTGGCTCCGCCCCATCGGCTGTTCCCCGCGCCTACATCGACTCCTTTGCGCTCACCAAGGAATCCACCCTCCCTGCGCATCACATGAGCCGCCAAACCATGAACCACAACGGTCTCTCCTCCCCCAATGCTTACGGCTCCTACAACATGCGCCCCGAAACCTCGGCGTCGGGCCTCCAGCCTCCGCAAATGTACACGGGCCAGCTCAACGGGCTCGAAAACCCGGCTCGCCAGTCGCAGATTCCCCAGGGTTTCTCGTCCAACAACATTCCCAAGCCCCAGGGAGAAGGGGAGATTGTTCCGCCAACGGAGTACCCGTACAGGGCCAAGGCGATATTCAGCTACGAGGCCAACCCGGACGATGCCAACGAGATTAGTTTCTCCAAGCATGAGGTGCTGGAGATTAGCGACGTGAGCGGGCGGTGGTGGCAGGCACGGAAGGAGAATGGAGAGACGGGTATTGCGCCGAGCAATTACTTGATTTTGCTATGAGCGGGCTTGAATGGGTTGGGGATGGAGTTGAGGTTTTTCTTTTTCATTTTGAGAAAAAGAGGATCTGGCGTGTGAACTGCCAGTACAAAACAAAATCATGAAGTGGTGTCTTTTTCTTTTGTTTATTTTTCTTTTGAGTCGGCGTTTTATACCCACATTAACGTTACACTTTCTTCTCGACCACCCACGGGACTCGTAATGCGACACATCAGAAACCGTGGCTCGTTTGGAAACGAAGGCGAAACCGGATGTTGGATGCGGACGGGGAAAGGTTTGGGTGGAAACGGGGTTTTTTTCCTCTTTTTCTTGCAATGTCTATTTCTATCTTCTCTTACCCTTTTCTTTCTCAATGTCTTTCCTTTCTCATGTTTCACTAGTTCTTGTATCAACTTTACATGTCTTGTATTCTGCGTTCGGCAGCTACGGCAGAGGACAGGCCGCTACTGGAGAATGGCAACGGAAGGAGGGAACAGGACAAAAAAGGCGGGGGAAGATGGAAAGGGGTACTTTTTTACGAATTTTATGCATGGCGAGGAACGGAGAGAAGATGGACGGACGGATGGAGGCTGTGGACCCAGAAGGAGATGTATCTACAAGCAGCAATGGAACATCCAAGTGGGCGGAGTTGGGGATGTTGGAACTACCTACCTCTAGAGAATGAAGACGGTCCAATTGATCATGATATGGATACTACCGTACCACCGAGTCCGATAATTAATTGAGCTTGTTGGCTGCCTCCCAATTTGCGGGTCTCGTTCGCCAATTTCCAATCTTCATGATGGAGGAAAATCCGAGATTATCGAAATTAGCCAGAAGCGAAGATGTGGAGATGCGAGGATCTTACCTAACCTCGCTCGGTCATCACCACTACCCATGTCCATCACATCTCGGACAGGGATATATTGCTTACATTGACCCAACAAAGAAACAGCCAGCCAGTGATAAGGCCAGCTATGAATGTGGTTTGTTACAATTATCAGCAAATTGGTTGCAAACATGCTCGAGGAACTGACACCTCTAGCGTATTTCAGATCCGCCTATAGCCGGGCTTGGATCATCCGAATACGAGAGCGTGGCTCTTTAGCGATCTCGACGACTCTGTCCGTCACGTTTTTTCGTCGTGCTCGTCTTGTTGGACATGCTTTGCCCAGCTCGTGTTCTTGTCTGTGTGTCGAACTGGCTGTCGTTGTGCTTCTCTCCTTCTGTCTGGGGAAGATGGGTTAGTTCTGTTCATGACGCGGTGGGATGGAGGTTTTGCGACGACTTGGCGGCACAAAGCCAATACGTTTGGGTTCAAGAGAAAAAATCTGTGATGCAGGAACTTGAAGCGGCAAAGAGAGCTACGGGCCTATGGAGTTGAAGATGAAGGCGGGGTGATGCAAGGTACGGCACTAACAGCCCCACAGGGCAGCCGTTGGGTTAGTGCACCGACAGGGCGTCGGGTCCCACCAAAAGGGTCCACCGTTCAGGGGGCTGCAGTGTCCCCCACAGCGGGATCGGGAAGGCTCCCCAGTACATACACACCAAGTTCCAATGTTATGACGCGCCGAGACAAGAAACGCGACGGATTTCGTTCTTCGGCTTTTCCACTTTACCCCTCCGACCATCTTCCCGTCATCTTTGCCTCTTCGCTTCCCCAGGTCAACACGGGGCAACGACTATCCGTATATCTCCATTCCAACACAGACAAGCACTATCGCCATATCAGACTGGGCGAGATCATCGCGATCCAATTCCATAGACGAACGACCACCGCGCTCACCAAGATGAACTACAACTACAACCCACCACCCCCCTCCTTCTCCACCCTCCTTCCGCCTCTCCATTCCTCTCTCAACCTCCTCTCCTCTTCCCTCTCCCTCCTCGACTCGTCCACCTCCGACTTCCCCCGTCTCTCCTCCGTCCTCAAGACGGTTCGGCACTACGAGCTGATTCCCCAACCGACTCTACAAGCCGCCGAAGCTTCGTTGCGCGACGAAATCGGCCCTTTCATCGAGCTGCTACTGGAGAGGGTGGACAAAGAGCTGGAGCGAAAAGGTAGGAGGGTGGAGACGCTCAAGGCCAGGTGTGAGCTCAATGGCGGGAGACTGTCGAATTACAATCGAGAACAGAAAAGTGGTGCAGGAGGCGGCATGCAGAAGAAGGGTGGTGGTACTAAGGAGGCCAGAAGTGGAAGTGGAGGGAAAAGGCTCAATGGGGAGGCTGCGCTGAGAGCCAAAGTGGTCAGGCAGCGCAAGGAGGCGCTCAAGTATAGTGTCGAAAGGTTGGAGATGGAGGTGGCCCAGAAGGAGAGGGAGTTGAGGATGAGGTTGGAGCAGCAGGGAGGTGGGCCGGTGCTGTGACGGAGAAGTTTACAAGGGAAACGGCATTGTGCACCCGCAAAAGAACACGCAGCACCGCAATGCCTACGAGTCTGGAAAGGAGGGACGGCTTGGTTGCCACGGTCTTCTTTCTTTGGGGACCAGAACTGCTGGTATCTCAATCCCCTCGATGTTTTCTTTCTGATTCATCTCATTCGTGCCTGACCAACAACAACCAAATTGTGCTGCCAATTACTAGGTCGATAACAAACGCTCCAAGCGCGAAAAAAAGCCAGTTTCCTTGATCCCATCAACTTGAGTTCTGGCCAAACACCCTGTCGTGCCCGCAGTCAGCCCAGCAGCCGCTAGATGGTTCCGGCGTCTAGCAAACAGCCATGACAGAGTGACACCGCCGGCAAACCCTGCTATCAACGAGCAGTATCGACTCGTTGGACCGGGCATCACACGGGAGACAATCCCCTACGCTGTTCCGATGGCAAGTTTTCCGCCTGACCTGCCCGTGTGGTTGACGCATCGGGTTCACGACCGTCTGCCCATGGGCCCATGAATAACCTGACGAGCGCCAGCCTTCAATATGGTCAAGGTTCGATGTAAGTATGAATAGATGGAAGATGGACAATAGGCCAGTTGGCCAAGTGAATGATGACAGCAGACGCAACAATAGCACGCGGCGTGATTCAGACATGGGTAATCGGTTCTTCGTTGCTAGCCTTTTGGCGACACTGAGAGGTATAAGTTGTTTGGCTTCCCCATACGTTTTCCAGCGAGTCCAGGACCAACAGGTACCTCCCTTTTCAACCCTAAACTGGAAAGCAAAGACACCTGCTTGACAAGCAAACCTGAAGCGAAGTGTCAAGGGGATGGAGGAGCCACAAAGGGTCTCAGAAGGGGATATCCCCATTACCAAAGAAACATCCGAGGAGGAACCTGGCAACGTAGACAACAATGCCGACGTCAAGAGAGCTGCCAAACCAATGAAAGATGGGCAGAACGACAACAAAAAGAGTGACCGCGGCGCTCCTAGAATCATCATGGCTTACATCCCAGCCTCCGCCCCGGCTTCACCCCCAGCCCCTGGCCGCAACACCCCGGAGGCATCTAACGGCGGAGGTCGCCCCGAAACTCCCAACTTGACGGCAAAGCTTAGCCAAGCTATCTATGAATATCGTACTCGCGAAGAGAGAGTCGGCGATCTAGGCCAGCCGAACGACGAAGGCTACGAGGGAGACACGCATTCACAAGGGGAGCATCAAGGATGCTGTGACCACGACCACGAGAACCAGTTTGCAGCCCACCATGAGCAGTACTCGCCTCTTCATCTTCAGCAAGGCTACAATGGCCACTCACCCTCTGTCAATGCACCGGGGTGCTGGACTTCTTACCACCCAGCTTCCAGTGCTCCCCTGTACATGCAGCGACCTTTTGGGCCTCCTTTTCAGCAGCAGCAGCAGCAGCAGCAGCAGTACGCCGTTCCTTATTACCCACCTGTTTCTCAGCCTTCTAGCTTCTCTTTTCCCTCCGCTCCTTACTTCCCCAACCCCCAGGACTACCGGTACTTCCCCAACCCCCATTACCACCAGCACTTTTCAACCACCCTTCCCCCTCCCACTCACCCTTTTGCCCCTCCTCCTGCCCGTCCACCCCATTTCCAGTCTATCCCTCCCTATACTCATCATCCTTTCCCACCCCACCACCACTTCCAGCACCCCCAATCCCAAGATCCCAACGTCCTCGAGTTGACCCAGCGCCTCCATAATATCCAAGCCCAGCTCAACGGCCTCGACGCCGCCCACGAAGTCGAGATTTGGCGCCATGGCAAGTACAATTTTCACCGCCGCCGCGCGAAGCAACTCCGTAAGATCAAGAGGGAGAAAGTAGAGGAGATGGTGACGGTAGTGGGGAAGTTGCGGGCTTTGGGTGTTGAAGGGTATGGAAGGCGGCACCACCAGCCTCAGCCTCAAGGTCAACAAGAGACATGGACGCAGGAAATGATGGGTTGGACGACGGCGCCGGGATGGGGTTACGGAGCGAAATTTGAGCCGGGATGGGGACATGGACATCAGCAAGAGCAGTGGTTGGGGGAAGGATATGGATATGGACATGGACACGGACATGGACATGGACAGTCGAAGGTGGAGGTAGAGGTTGAGCATAATGGTAAAAATGGACGCTGCGGCTGCGACGAGGACGGTGCTCATGTCGATTCTCCGCCGACGGACAGCGCCGTTGAGAGTATGGCGTGCGAGTGCCCCTGCGGATGCACTACGGTTGACGGTGAAGCTGGCTCCGTAGGCGAGATGCCAGGCGAAACCAGAGCTCGCGCCTTGTCGCTTGATGGCATGAAAGAGCAGATCAAAGCCGTCGAGGCTCATGAGAAGCAACATAAACACGGCGACGGCAGCGGAAACGAGCAGGGCGAAAGCGTTGAGAAGAACAGCAGTTGTACGCGTGCCGGTTCCTGGTCGGACGCACAAGTCGTCATTTCTGAAGAGCTTCGGGGTAACTGGCGGAAGAAGATGAGGGAGTAAAGAAGGGGTGATCAGTGAGCGATGGACTCATGGTCCGACATTGGAATGAGCGTGTGCTTTGGAATTGGCGTCAAAACAAACAAACGCAAATGAAAACAGCTGTTTTAGCAAAGAATCATAAGGGGTAGTTCTCCAAAACCGGACTACCTAGGAAGATACACCTGAAATCTAAGGTAAAAGTGCAACGACGACATGGCGTATTGCTGGCTACCCTGTTCTTTGTAAAGCAGTCTGACATGATCAAAATATATCGACGAGCTTATAAACATAAGGATACCTCTTGAATGTGTGTACACAAAACATGTGATGGTTGTAATTCGAGCTTGGTAGTGTTGACTTTAGAGGTACAGGTATGTTCTAGACCCTGATGAAGCGATAAGATAAGATAAAGCCAAACAATACTGTAGTTCCCCCACGGACTCCGCTGTTCCATTGCCGTCCCGACGATTTGGTACCACTGTGTTTTAGCGCAAATCACGTGAAGAGGCATTCGTGATATTCCCTGGTTGGATTTGATTTGTTTCAATCATGAAGCTGATATCAGATCAACTGCCGTCCGTTTATCCGGGGATCGGCGCCCCGGAATCGCGGCAACACGGAAACGGGTCGGCCCCGAGTCGGCCCCGGATCGGCCCCGGATGGAGCGGATGGAGCGGATGAACAGGATTTGTAGAGGTATCGTAAGAATGAACGCCGCCCGGACTTTCAATGTCCTGTTTACTAAGCCAAGACGCCGTCTTCATCGACACTTTAACTATTTTGTCAAGGACGGCAGCATTGTTCAGCTGATGCGGATAATTGTTGGTCCAAGCCGGTTCAAATACCTCGCGAATCATCATCATGGTCATTCCCTGCGGAACTCCGAATCATAGCAGCGACTACGGACCACGATTCCACGCGACAAAAGATGCCAGGCTACACCATGTTCGACATTCACGTACAATCTCCACCAAGTCG